CACTTGCAACATACATATTTTAACAAATCCTTTCCAAAATATTAGGGCAAAATATTACAATTTTTATAGTGAATAATGAAATGATGGGTTAGATGAGTCATCTAGGGCCATCTTAGTGGTCCCATTGTTTATTATGAAGAAAAAAGGCTAAAACAATCAGTGTTGTGAAAGTATATTACTAAAGGGGCAAGTTAAAGTTGATCGAGCTGAACTGCCGAAAGAGCTGGACTTGCCTTTCAGCAAGTTCTTTTGAAAAATAATTTCCAACACTGAAAAGCAGTTGTTTCTGGTGAGCGACTCAGGGCCATCATGGCCCTCTTGTTTAATAATTTCATTTTTCTTGCGCAATTCTCTAAAATGAGACTTGGTTTTTCTATATGCGTTTCACAATTAACATTTACCATACCAGGTTGTAAAATAACTTAATTTGGTCCTTAAATCAGTTTTTACCACAACACCAAACTTCATTCAGAATTCATGTCACGTTATTGTGAGCAAAATTCTGAGTTTCCTTTAGATATGAGCAAGAAAATGTTTATTACCCCCCGCCGAAAAGACGGATATAGAATTAGTCTCCATCCGTCCGTCTGTCCTTCCGTCCGTCACTCTGCATTTTTGTCCGGAGCATATCTCAAAAAGTATCAATTTGAAACTTCATAGGTGGAAGTATCAACTTGAAACTTCATTTGTGGATAAATCATATTTAGGAAAAGTGCAGTGCACAAGAATGATAACTCTACGCTGCATATTTTTTTCATTGTTGCCCTTTGTTATTCTTCAAACTCAATTTTTGTCCACAGCATAACTCAAAAAGCCTTTGAGATATCAACATGAAACTTCATGTGGATAGATCTCACTCAGGAGGTGTGCAATGCAAGAGTGATAACTGTACCATTTCTAAATTTTTAGTTATTGCTCTTTGTTATTTTTCATACTTAATTTTTCACCTGAGTGGAGCATAAATTAACTAAAAAAACAAACTTTGAGACGTCAATGTAACCTTCATAGGTAGATAGATCTTTTTGAGGATGAATGTTGTGCGAAAGAATGATAACTCTAACCTTTATAATTTTTGAGTTATTGACATTTGTTATTTTCTGACTTTTTGTCCGGAGAATATCTAAACAAGAGGGCCATGATGGCCCTGAGGGTCGCTGACCTGTATATAGGCCCCACCCAACCCCCCCCCCCCCCCCAAAGTTGCAGGGCCAATTTAACCCAAGGGCTTTTATTTGCACAAACTTGGTAGACACCCATAAGAAGATGTTTCATGCTAAACATCTAAGCTCTAGCTCATTGGGCTTTTTAAAAGAAGATTTTTTTTAAGTTTTTACTATACACATATAGTTAAAAACAATGACACCCCTGGGGCCGGGCCAGTTTTGACCCCAGGGCTTTTATTTGAACAAACTTTGTAGACACTTACTAGAAGATGTTTCATGCTTAATATCTAAACTCTAGCTAATTGGGTTTTTTTCAAAGAAGATTTTAAGTTTTTGCTATACACATATAAAGAAAATCAATGACCCCCGGGGCGGGGCCAATTTTGACCCCAGGTCTTTTATTTGAACAAACTTTGTAGACACTCACTAAAAGATGTTTCATGCTTAATATCTAAACTCTAGCTATTTGGGTTTTTTTTCAAAGAAGATTTTTTAAGTTTTTGCTATACACATATAAGGAAAATCAATGACCCCCGGGGCGGTGCCAATTTTGACCCCAGGGCTTTTATTTGAACAAACTTGGTAGACACTTACTAGAACATGTTTGATGCTAAATATCTTAGCCATAGCTCTTTGAGTTCTTTAAAAGAAGATTTTTTAAGTTTTTACTATATGCATATAGGGAAAATCAATGACCCCCCGGGGCGGGGCCAATTTTGACCCCAGGGCTTTTATTTGAACAAACTTGGTAGACACTTATTAGAACATGTTTCATGCTAAATATCTTAGCTCTAGCTCTTTGGGTTCTTTAAAAGAAGATTTTTTAAGTTTTTACTATATGCGTATTGGGAAAATCAATGACCCCCCGGGGCGGGACCAATTTTGACCCCAGGGCTTTTATTTGAACAAACTTGGTAGACACTCACTAGAAGATGTTTCATGCCAAATATCTAAGCTCTAGCTCTTATGGTTTTTTAAAAGAAGATATTTAAAGTTTTTTCTTCCGGTTGCCATGGCAACCAGAGTTCTGCATGGAATTAAATTCTTTGAACAATTTTTAAAGGTGACCACCAAAGGAACATTCCTGTGAAGTTTGGATGAAATTGGCTTAGTGGTTTATGAGGAGATGTCATTTAAAGTAAAAGTTTACGGCCGGACGACGGACGCCGGACGGACGGACGACGGACGGACGGACGCCGGACGGACGCCGGACGAAAAGCGATCACAAAAGCTCACCCTGTCACTTTGTGGCAGGTGAGCTAAAAAGTGGTAGAGGTAACAACTTGAAACTTCATAGGTGGATAGCTCTTTTTGATGAGAAGTGCAGCACACTAGAATGATAACTAACCGTGCATTATTTTTCAGTTATTGCCCTTTGTTATTTTTCATACTTAATTTTGTCCAGGGTATAACTACAAAAGCCTTTGAGATATCTACATGAACCTTCAAAGGTGGACAGATCTCATGCAAAAGAGTGATAACGCTACCCTTCATAATTTTTAGTTACTGCCCTTTATTATTTTTCAAACTAATTTTTTCACCTCAGTGGAGCATATCTCTGAAAAAGTCTTTGAAATGTCAACATGAAACTTCATAGGTGGATAGATCTTTTTGAGGAGGAATGTTGTGCGCAAGAATGATAACTCTATCCTTTATAATGTTTGAGTTATTGCCATTTGTTATTTTTCAAACTTTTTGTCCGGAGCTTATCTAAAAAAAATGTTAGAGGTAACAACTTGAAACTTCATAGGTGGATAGATCTTATTGGGGAGCATTGCAGCACACTAGAATGATAACATACCGTGCATTGTTTTTTCAGTTATTGCACCCTGTTATTTTCAATACTTTATTTTTGTCCAGGGTATAACTACAAAAGCATTTGAGATTTCAACATGAAACTTCATAGGTGGATAGATCTTACTCAGGAGGTATGCAGTGCAAAAGAGTGATAACTCTACCCTTCATAATTTTTGAGTTATTGCCCTTTGTTATTTTCCATACTAAATTTTTCACCTGAGTGGAGCATATCTCTGAAAAAGTCTTTGAAATGTCAACATGAAACTTTATAGGTGGATAGATCTTATTGGGGAGGAATGTTGTGCGCAAGAATAATACCCTTTATATTTTGTTAGTTATTGCCATTAAATTTGTTATTTTTCATACTTTTTGTCCGGAGCTTATCTCAATTATTATTAATTGAGCCTTGATTTTAAACTAAATGTGTCTGTATTTCTTACCATCCTTTACTGGTTTTAGATTATCATTATTGTTTAATAGGTTTACTTAATTAATGTTGTTCATTATGTCTTATATATATATATATGATTATGTTTTATCGGATTTATGTAAAGCACTCTTGAACATTTATTATTTATGAAAAGAGTGCTATAGAAATGTGGTATATAATAATAATAATAATAATAATAATAATAATAATAATAATAATAATAATCTCAAAAAGGTGTTAGAGGTATCAACTTGAAACTTATTAGGTGGATAGATCTCATTGAGGAGGAGTGCAGCACACAAGACATTTAACCTACCGTGCATTATTTTTCAGTTATTGCCCTTTGTTATTTTTCATACTTTTTGTCCAGAGCATAACTACAAAGGCCTTTGAGATATCAACATGAACCTTCATAGGTGGATAAATCTCACTCGAGAGGTATGCAGTACACAAGAATGATAATTATTCTGCTCTACTGCATATAAATATGGCTCTTGTAACAAGTTACATGATTATGATATTTTAAAACCTTCTGAACAAGTTAACATGTCAATTCAAAACAATTCTATTTGGAGATACCTTATAAATATATTTAACTGGTTTTTTTTGTTGTTTTTTTGTGTGTGGGGGTTGGTTTTTTGTTTTTTTGTTTTGTTTTTCGCCGTGACAATCATATTGCTGCATTTCCCAGCAATTTTTTACTTGTTTTATGTATTCATGGCTAAGAAAAAGGTAATGATGAACGAACAAAAGTCTGAATACTGTTTTAATAGCTAATATCTTTTGAGACACTTCGTTTTATGTAAATATTTATTCAAATTTCACGATACAATGTTTGTAAAATGTGTAACTTTAAATGTTATAATTCTGTTACTTATGAATTGTGGTACGATATTAATATATTTTACCTCTATGCATGTCATGAAGCAGCTCGACCACTGCCTCTGCATTCTGAGCCATTTCAATATAAAGTTGCAGCCAGTAAATGGCAATTATCATTTATTGAATTTTCCCGCAAATATTTCTGTTTTTAACAAGAAGGTAGTACCCTTGAAAAACTACATGATACTTAATTCATCCGTACTAAACAGTGGTGGACCGTACAAGTCCGTACCGTTTCGTGTTGCAACGCAATAAACCGTATAAGACCGTGCTAATCCTGCCTCTCCGTAATACAACGTATTACGATCGTGGCTTTCCGTGACAATTCCGTATCAATCCGTATTAAAACCGTAGCTTATACGTAGGGTAACCGTACAAATACGTAGTATTCCGTACCAAACCGTGGAAATCCTTGACAAGTTGGTCAAATCAGTACGGACTAGTACGGTTTTCGTACGGACCAGTACGTATCAATACGGTTAAATACGGACTAGTATGGATACGCTACGGTTGATTTTTCCGTAGCAAATTTTTGTGCATGTTCAAAAATTGTCAATGATCGCTACGGATATACGAGGACTACTACGATTGATTACGGTTACAATACGGAGAGCTACTAACCAGTACGAATAGCTACGGACGATGCCGGAATTAATCCGTGGCTCTTCCGTGGGCGTATTCCGTGAATATGTGACCGGGGTATAAGAACATGAATAACCAGTGGCAAGAAATTTATATATATACATATATGTGTATTCAGGAAATGTAATTTTCCGATAAATAGAAGTGGCTAGTAACTATAAATACGCATCCGTGTATCAGAAGATTGGAAGGAAGGGTGGTCCTGACTATCCCTAAGAATTTGCATGTAATGTATTGTCATGTAACATCAAGCTTAATCTAGATATTAAAATACATTTTGATAGTGAAAAATCGTGCATGCATTCCAGTCATAATCCCTCTGAATAAAAACTAGTCAAATGCCAAACCTCTCTGGAATATGCATTACAACATGTACCATGCATACGTATATTGTCAGGAAATTCCTATAAATACGTGTATTGCATGTGTCTTGAAATGGGCCTTAAAGAAGTTTAAAGCAGGGGACTGGTAATTAATTATCAGAACGTGTGTGGCTGGGGACTGTTTTATCATAAAAACCTGTGAAACAGGGGACTGGTAATTTAACCATAGAACTTGTGTAGCTGGGGACTGGTAATTTACCATAGAAACATTTTGGGAACTGGTAATTTTACCATAAAAAACGTGTGTAGCTGGAAACTGGCAGTTAACCATAAAACGTCTGCAGTTGGGGATTGGTAGTTTACCATAAAAACGTTTGCAGCTAGGGATTGGTAACTTTCTTCGTGCATGTTTTAACAAATATATATTTATTGATGCATCTTTTCCCAAGTTGTTTCATTTTTTTTAAATATTCAATGGTGTAGGGTTATGATTCATTATCAACGAAAATTGATTTGCTTTGACCATTTAAGGTAATCTATCAGGATCTTTGGTAGATTTAAGTTGAAAGACATCACAATTCGAATAACTAACGGTATTGTGTATAATCAGACGCACAGTTCTAAGCGCAGAAACGCCGTGCTCAATACTGGCGGCATATGCATGTCATTAACCTATTATTATATGGTTTGATATATTTATATATAATTAACACTAGATGTAAGCTCTGTGATCGTTCATCATTTGTAAACCATGAATTTGTTTGATTATATGTCAAGTTTAAACTGAACATCCGCTCAATAGGGAGTGACTAGATGTGAATCTAAGATGGGAAAACATTCATTTCATCATTTGACATAAAGCAAATGACAGGCAGCTTAGAAGGGTAGCATTCAACATTCGATCTTAATGACAAGCGGTGATTAAGCTGACTAAACATTCGATCTTAATTAATTGATTGATAAGCGGAGATGTTATGCTTACTCGATAATCAGCAAAAAAGAACTTTATTAAAACATAATAATATTAATCCTTCTAATTATCATCTTTTCAAATAAAACAAGATTATTGTATACAATTCGATTGTTGGTGTTGAAATTTTGATAAGCTTTGCTTCTATATACAATATATATATACTTCAAATATGAAATTGAATAATTTACCACCGTATTTACGATTTTTCGTCTATGCTTGCAGCTCAACATTTAGTCAATATTGAATGTCGAGCTGAGATATGAAGCCGGCACGACATTCTTCAAACTCAACATTTGGTAAATATTGCATATATAGGTGTGAAATAAAGCTGACTCAACGTTAACCTCAACATTTAATTAAAGTTGAATTTCTTGGCGAGATATGAAGCTGGTTCAATATTCAGCTCAATATTTGTTCAATATTGAATTTTGAGCCGAGATGTGAAGCTGGCTCGACATTTAGCCCAAAATTTGGTCAATATTAAATGCCGAGTCGAGATTTGAAGCTAGCTCGACATAAAGCTCAACAATTAAATGAGCCGCGTCACGACAAAACCAACATAATGGGTTTGCGACCAGCATGGATCCAGACCAGCCTGCGCATCCGCGCAGTCTGATCAGGATCCATGCTGTTCGCTTACCAACTCTATTACAAGTAGAGAAACTGATAGCGAACAGCATGGATCCTGATCAGAGTGCGCGGATGCAAACGCACTATGTTGGTTTTGTCGTGAAGCGGCTCAAATGTCTTTATCGAATGAAGATTCAGGATGATAAGCTTGTTTAACATTCATCTCAACCTGGATTTTTATGTCACCAGTTACTTGATTATCTGAACTAATTATCTGAAAAAAGTGATACAAATTTGATTTTCATTCTTTGTGTGGGTTAACAAGTTACTAGTAACACTTGCAAACGGGAATCTTTTTCTTAAAACAGTCAGAACTTTTGCCGCATGTCTCGTTTTTATTGTCAATGTTAGATTGTATATAGGCACACCTGTCCTTGCCCGAAACTTGAATCACATTTGAGGCATGTATGTGTTGCCAGCAACTTATATTGTTACCAGTACGCTCCGCTTGACACCATTCTCCAATCCAGTATCCGGGACCTGAAATAATAATTATGATAAACACGCTGTTATTCTTATACTAATATTTCTAAGAACCAAGACATGTGTGCCCCTAATCTCATCGGACCACATGCAAAATCACGCCGTTACTACTGGCCCTATTTTGTGATTGTGAGACAATTCCGTCCTATTTTCTTAGGGCTGACACGACTGGAAAGAAATTTATATTATCAATTTTAAGTGCCTTTACTGTTAAAATATCTTTTATTATTTCTTTTATTTAGATATATGATACAAACATAAATTGAATGAACAAAATTGACACTGAATTAAAATAATAAAGATCTTTAAAATAAGAAGAATTGCTTCAAATTGTTTACATTAGATACAAGTACATGTATGTATATTAGGAAAATACTCGAAAATACTATCGGTTTGACAGGTATTACTGCCCTTGATAACAAGTATTATGACACACGTTTTCAAGTAGGTTACCTCCCTTTACATCTTATATTGAAATGATAGGATTATTTAAAAAAAAAACTTATGAAAGGACGTGTACCTTCATTTTGGAAGCTTTTACATTCACCCGAGGTTCGAAATAACATCTTTAACTTCACAATTCGGTGACAAAATTCCTGAAAATGCAGTATATACATTTTATAGTGTGAAACTAACAGCGAATCTTGTACGTGGTGGTATTTTGGTTTGTTTGTTTTGGTTATGTTGTTTGTTGTTTTTTTTATTGAACTTACTGATATTTTATAGTTATGGAATTAATATTACCATGGGTATACTGCATAAAAAAGAGAGAAAACAGGAAATCTAAACCTTAGCCTACTGGAATCCAAAGTAATGAGCATTTGCCACCGATAAAAAGGAATCCGCCAAAACTGCACATCCGTGCTTTGTAACCATAAAATGAAACGATGCAATCTAAGAAACTTTTGTATCGTTAACAAAGCAAAGTGCGATCATAAATCAAAACAGTGTTCTCCGAAAGTGAAGATATGTATCATATTCTGTGATGTAATAAAATTGACACTCTGCTATATGAAAATAGATAACTGTTTTATCTATAACTAAAATGATCCATCAATTGAAAATAGATAGATTGAAAAATTCGTTAATTATCATGTATAAAAAATGAGAGAAAAACGTTATCATGTAGTGAAAACTGAGATAAACAAAAAATATAAAACATTTATAATTAGTTAAAATATAATGCCTTGATCTATATACATGTTAAATGTATTAAATATATCCAATACCATGGCATCAACGAATGAGACTCCGTCTTCATAAATAATATACTTTTGGTCATCAATGATTTTCTTGCTAATCTTTGAACACTCCGCCGCAAACGACTTTCTTTGATCTGAAAAAAATTAAATTTAAATTATGTTAGTAATGTGTATATCCCGCAACGCAGGAACGTGAAAATAATGTAAAAATCATGCAAAAGTAAAACTGTAAATCAATAATCGAAACGAGCAACACAGTGAGTGAACGAAAACAACAACAACGTTTTATAATTTCTAATTCAACTTAAGTAATCATTGTTAACTATAGTAGCTGGTTTGTGCCAAACGAAAATTTAAGAATTAACAAGTTAATGGCGGGGTGGGGCGAAACGAAAAGTCGCTTTTTAGCGAGGGCGCGGGCGAAATTTAATAGATGAAACAGCGGTGGCTCGGAGCGAAAACACGCTTATTAGCACCCTTGATAATAAGCGTGTTTTCGCCTTTTGGCCCCCGCCATTAAACTTTTTAATTCTCGGCTTTTAGGCGAAAATACGGTAATTAGAGGGGGCGCGGGGCAAAGTGTTATATATTATGGCGGGAACGTGCAGCGAAAACACAAATGGCACAAATCAGCAACCATACCACCTGCATTTTTCCTTGAACCGAAAGTGTTATTATGCAATAAAATCACTGTTGACGTTCTATATTTAGACATATGACGTAATCATTAGATGCTGCGTGCACGCGGCGTCTCGTAGATATGCATTTGTCCATATAGCAATGGGGAAATTTTAGACTTGATTTTGTTTATTTTTTTAATTAGCAAAATCACACGTTTCTCAAATTTTCTAATAAAAATAGCTTTTCTCATGTACAACAAGTTGTAGAGCTTATAAGGGATTAGAATAAACGTTTAACTGAAGTGATAGTGCCATGTTTGAATATCATATTTTTTTAACCATTATCTAATTTTATCTACTTAATAAATAATGTGCCAATGAGCCAGTCTATAGTCGATCGTTACGACTGAGGCAGTGTCACTCACTTCATTTGCTCCGCCTCTGTTGAAGTTCGGCTCCGCCTTAAATTGTCGCCAAATTTAATGTGCTGCTCCGTATGCTAGCATTTTAGGGGCCTCCATGGCCGAGTGGTTAAGGTCGTTGACATGAGATCACAGGTCCCTCACCGCTGTAGGTTCGATCCTCACTCGGGTCGAAATCTTTCATGTGAGGAAGCCATCGAGCTGGCTTACGGAAGGTCGGTACGTGGTTCTACCCGGGTGCCCGCTCGTGCCTGAAATAATGCCCGAAGGGGCACCTGGGGTCTTCCTCCACCAATAAAGCTGGAAAAAATCGACGAAAAAATCTAGGATGGCCCGACTTGAGTGTACGGTCGCCCATATGGACTTTCCGGCGGCGACCTTAAATAAACGCATTAAAAAAAAGCTAGCATTTAGTCTTAGTTGACGGGCTAAAGGGATCAATATCACGAATCATTAAATTACAAATTACAAAGCCTAAATCGCGCCCACTATCTATCAGAGGCCGTTCTCCCTCAACCTCTAAGAAAGTACGCCAAACTCTGTGCATCGGTTACGCTACGGCCAATAAGAGGAGACCACTGCAGAACAGTTCGTTCTCAAAATCATTCGAACATAATGCACTTCGCACCAATATTTAAATGGACATATTCTCGGCACATATTGTCTAGAATTTATTTTAAGTGTACCAATCATTTCAATTTTACTTGTTCTCCAATTTATTTTGCTTCGACCAGACGTTTCAATCTTTGTCGCAACAGACAAACATTTCAAAATTTCAGACATGGCATTACTTTGTGAATTTATGCATTAGGTTCTACATTTTCACAAATATATGCAACTTTATTATGCAAAAATATGCAACATATGCAACTTTATCACACACCCGTGCCGATTTTGCGACTCCGTAAATATGGTATTGCACGGCCGTGCATATATTTTGACGTGACGTCATTAGCGTTATACAAACATAGTGTAAAGACGCGCTAAATGTTAGCGTTATACTATAGGCGCGTCAATGAAAAATGACTCTTATTTCACTTTAAACGGTCATTATTTTGGGTATATGATAAATAGAATATAAAATTCGTGTAAGTTCATTACTGAATTTATTGCACTCGTTGAATAAAATAATATTATGCTCGGCAGAGGCTCGCATAATATAATTTTATTCAACTCGTGCAATAAATTCAGTATTGAACTTACACTCATTCAATATCCTCTATTTATTATGAAACAATTTATTTTGCTTCGACCAGACGTTTCAATCTTTGTCGCAACAGACAAACATTTCAAAATTTCAGACGTGGCATTACTTTGTGAATTTATGCATTAGGTTCTACATTTTCACAAATATATGCAACTTTATTATGCAAAAATATGCAACATATGCAACTTTATTATGAAACAACGAGCACATACCAAGAATATTGAGGAATCAAAGCACTGAGTGTTGTATGCGGTAAGCCCGAGAATTGTAAAGCGTAGGTAGTCAGACTATTCTCCTTACCAGTTCCTGTCTTGACATTTCTATTTTGGGGGAGAACTGTCTGCGTATGTACAGACTATTCTTCTCCATTTTTATTGTTTTCAATAGATTAATATTGATTTCAACATTTCAAGAAATAAACAATTGACACAATGGAATAACAAATATAGAGAACGATTTTCAATGCTGATTGACTGTTCACATCATCTGGCGGCGTCTTTGATGTGCTACATCAACATTTAACTTGTAATACATTTGACATAACCACTAAAATTGCGACCCGCTGAAGATACGTACGGAAAAGAACCAGTCGCAGTTTAGCTTAATATCAGGTACAGCAACATTTATTTCTTGATGTCGTGTTAGAATCGAAATAATATATCCAAATCGGTTATTTTATCGCTCAATAACATCACTGTTTGTCGTTGAGTACGCATCACTATATCGCTCGGGTTACGCCCTCGTGTTATAATTCCTCACATCCGAACTCCAAACAGTGATATTATTGAGCGATAAAATCACTGTTTGGGATAATAAAAGGCATTTTCATTGCCAAAACCGTGTCAGTCACAACGTTCTAGACATATCGTTTCAAAAATCATCAATCGCCCAATTCATATAATTAAGTCACATCGTCCAAGCAGGAGTCATATCGTCGACATTGCCTAATACAATGTATGCTTCGATCACATTATCCATTATAAACGTCATACAAATAGTCCAATACATTTACTTAATACCTGTCAGATACATTATACAATACCCGTGAGATAGAAATAGCCCATATTAGACACGGCGGTAATAGTTAACAGTCCTCATGGTAAAATTTGCATATGAAACATTGCATATTTTACCACGAGGACTATTAATTTAAGAAACAAATATTGTGAAAAACTGAAACACAAACTTTATACAAACAGCAAAAATAAGCAAAAATATATATATAATTCAAAGTAATACTTACCTTCATCTTTTATATCTATGATATTAGGTCTACTGCAATCTTTTAGGCTTTCCACAATTTTACAAGAAGTGTCTTCAGTTGTATTCCTTGATGAATTCATCTGAAACTGATATATTGCAAAACATAATTAGGGTTATTGTTCCCTGCGGGCCGGAGCCCGCAGGGTATTGGTACGTGGCATGGAGGAGCACGTGACCTGTTTTTGGTACATAGAGGAGCATGTGATCTGTAAACCGTACATGATTGATTAATTGACCTTTTCGAAAACCTAGTTAATACTGTTTGTCGGTACATTACGGATTTACCTCTATGGGAATTAGTCCGAATTACATCTTATTAAGAAAATAACACTATTACGTGATATTTCTATTTTTCTATTTCTGTTTTACCGTTTAAGGTGGAAAAACTTTAATAATGTGTTTGAAAATTTTACAAACAATAATTAACTTGTTTATAATGAAAATCTACAGAATTAAAATATTCGTAGTGGCATCTGTCATAATAAATAGAGATATTTTCCGCTTGCTTTATTTATTTTTGCACGGAATTATTCATACAATGGTATATAATCATTTTCTTAAAAAGAAATAATTGTTGTATTTTCGACCTTCTCCTGTCTTCAACGGGCACCAGTCTCCAAAGCCATTCTTCTATTGATCGATTATTGTCACAAACGTTTATTTTTTATTTATATTTTTGTGTGTTCATAATAACAATAAACTTTTCATCTGAAAAGGTGTGGACTGGATTACCAGTGGTCTCAATAGTGATAAAACAATGAATTGGGACTGAATGAAACTGATGTCTTAAAAGTGGATAACTGAGGCAGTCTTCATTGTGGATCATGTTACCATTAACATTAAATTGTAACAGAAAATTCCGTTCTTTTAAAAAAAATGTTCTTAATAGAGGAATGGTCTGAATTCCGGGTGTGTGTGTGTGTGGGGGGGGGGGGGGGGGGGGTAAGTAGGAGTTGTCTGTTAAGTCGGGATCGATTGTTTGTTTAAAGTTACTTTTATCTTTAAGTAAATAAGCAAAATAAAGAAAAGAAACATTGGGAAACTATACGTACTGCATCAAGATAATTATATACAAAATAACCGCCTATCACAAGTCCTGCGCCGACCACGATACCTAAAAGAGTAACCGCAGCAGTTTTCAATCTAGGCCACCCTTGAATTTCATGTCGAACCGATGCAGGTATGGTCGATATTCTTTGCACTATTTTCTGACCTCTACGTTTACGTCTTGGAATTGGTGGGGTAACAGATTCTCTTTCCTTTTTTATCATGTCCCCATTTGCATAAAGTACACTGTGTTGAGATCGTGAATTTAGATAGTGCTGATCGTTCTTCATTTGTTTCGTTTTCATCACTGACGTAATTCTTAAATCCACAGCATTGTCATAGAAAGGTGCATCCTGGGTACTATTGGCAACTTTTGACAAATGGGTGTAATCACCATATCGATCACTTTGTACACTTCCTAAATTTTCGAAGTCAGTCTCACAGAATGTCGAATCCGAAATAAAAGAAACACAATTGTCAACGTCAGATCTAGAATATGAGTTTTTGTCTAAATCAAACCCAACACTTGCACATGTATTGGCATAAAGAGGATTAGCCATTGTTATATATTAGATCTAGACTTTCTCGAAAAAATACCAATCTAAACCAACTTTTAATTAAATTTATTAAAATGGCTTTCAATTGTTCTTAAAACCATATTGATAAACAAGTTTCTTCTAGAGGCATATCTGTTTTGATGCGTAATCATACATTAGATCGGAAATTCCCAGTTAAAGTGAATGACATATACTTCCCGCCCGGAAATTATGAAGCATGGTTTATAAAAGTGGATCTTATGAGTACATTTACATTGTCTTTTTGTCTGTTCTTAATCATAATGACAGTGATAAAACTGAAATTTAACATTGATACCGTTACCTTTACATGTACCAGCTTCAAAGGGTGCATGGTCTTCAATTTTGCACGTGGTACAGAAAACACGTCTGCTGCCCTGGGTGTGATATTGGCCTTTGACATACTGACCTAGTCCAAGCGCGATACGTTAATAATTTTATCGTTATCCTGAAATGAACGATATGCCCTATACAATATTTAGACATTCCACTATCTCTAGTGACCTTGAATTAGCACATATGGACCTTAGTAATGCGTACTATATGGTCATAGGGATCTGAATTGTGCGCGAATCCCCGTCATTAGCCCCGCCTTGAAAATTCGAGCATTAGTGTCGAGTTATATTTGAATAACTTCGTGCACGTAGAAGTGTACTCAAGAGAAAATATATAAAGCTATATAAATAAGTTTAATTCCGTTCCTTGAGCACAGTCATGTAGTCATACTTGAAAATGAAATTATAAACATGCAGCACTGTATGTATACGGAAATACAGTATATATAACAGTAATAGAACAATGAATAAAACATTTGTATTAAAGAAAAAAAAAACAAACAATTAAAATAAAACAAAGGGGGCGAGATACTGAACGAAAGTTAAAAGAAAGGGTCATTGAGGGTTTACTTAATATACTAACACATTGAATTTCTCTTTTTTGTTATATGATGGCGTGGTTAACATTCATTTCAACCCTGAGTTGGTTACTGTTTTAACCAATTTTTAGAGTATTTAGTGTCTATAATAATGTTTGAAGTTTAGTTTCAGATGCGGTGGTAATGAATATGAAAAACAAGATCAACAAGGAAGGGTGGCATTCAATAAACGCATCCCAACAACATGTAGGGCCACCGAGGACAAAACCATAAGAAATAGTCCTTGATATTCTTCATGATGCAATCTATACTTAAGATTTACACTACATGTACATAATTAGTCACTACATATCGTTTGAAATCATAGAATACATGTATATATGTATTTCACTATATAGCAACCGTAATGAACTGTAATGACTTAAAATTAATATAAGTCCTGTAATAATTAATGTTATGAAAAGAAAGTTGCTTGACACACTGCACATTGATGTTAATGTCATTGTGTGGCTTATAGAGCTTTATTAATTGCGATTTTTTTCTCAATTCTTTATTCATTTAAAAATACATTTTCACAATACTAAAAAATCAACAAAAGAACAGGAACTATCAAATGTTTACATGAGTTTTTGAGTTCATGTTATCATCAAATCTGAGAAATTTATAAATATTTTATGGTTTTATATCAAAAACATAATACTCAAATGAAGATTTATCAATATTGTAAATTCCGAAAGGCATTATTTCTAAAGAATGATTACCAAATTTTCATTTCATGTTCATAAAGGAAGGTAATAGAAATTTTAATTTCTATAAAGTCTACGTCAATTTTCTAATAAGAAATTGACTGCATATATTTTAATGATTACATATATAATGTGGACAAATATTTTCAGTACATACTTTACGACGTATTCTTCAATGTTTGAAAATTCTTTATACAGAATCTTAGATTCCTTTCAATGAAAATGTCACGGCCTTTTCTATAGCGAACTGTGAAATGTAGTTCTAAATTTGCCAAAAAAAATGTTGTGAAATTGGATGGTAGTACATCAGAGTATAATTCAAAATTACAGTCTTTTTTAATCAGTGCTAGTCTTGTACACTTTTTTTACATTGTTTACAAAAGGTTCGTACAAATTCAATGAAATCGTGAACGGCGGCATCGTGAATGAATTTGTAGAGAAATAGCTGAATAGGTTTGTGGATACATGTCATGTGGTATTTTAAGCTTCTTCCATTTGGCCTTTTTCAACTTGGGTGGTTCCAGTATTCCTACTTGTATAATCATCCTTATTAAGGATATGTTGCCTGCTTTTTAAATTTGTCTTTTGACGTCTTATCTGTGATATGCATGCAGGCTTCATAACCTCAGATCCCCTTTCAAAATTCCATTTTATTTAGTTCCGCCCATTGTTTTCTCGTTTAGGGCACAAGCATTCTTTTACTTGGAGACCATACGCCGCTTTTCATGGAAAACCTTCTGTGTTACATTGTTACATAAATAGAACTCTTGTATGATGTAATTTTATGTGATGTTTGATTGTAATGTATATTTGCTTTTAATCATTTAATGCTTTCTTACACATATTTATGTGTGCTGATAAATCTTAACTGTTTTACAGAGTCTTTCATAAATGTACATTGATCTTCTTAATACTTTTATATATTTTCTTTTATACAGATTGTTTGTTTGAATTGTTATAGGATAATAAGTTTTGTCGGAAAATAGCTTATATAGCTAATGTTTATATGTTTTTATGAAACCACCTTTAAATAAAGATTATCTTATCTTATCTTATCTTATCTTATCTTATCTTATTGAAGGTTCCATATGATAACCGACGTCTGAACACATCTGCGGATGTTTCAAAATTCAAAATTTTACCATTTTCGTGTTGTTCAATCCTGCTTACTGGTGCTAGGGGGCGTGAACGGTAACTTGCACTTTCCATAACCGTCCATTAACAGGCTCAATCAAACCGAGCCTGCAACATTTACAATTTTGTCGTGTTGGGCTCTGTATTTCTCTATTTTATTAAAATCTTTTCCAGTTTTATATTGAAAGCGATAAAGTCTCTTCAAAATTCAATAAATAAATCTATTCTTTTCTTTATTAAATTTGATGTGAAGGTAAATACGGAAACGGAAATTGATAAGCCCGTCTGACCTTGGGTACTCTCATATGAGTACGACGTTATGTGGGTACGAAGCGTTATCGGAACGACCTCGAAAATGGCTGCGACGCGTAAAATGTTCACAAATTTGCCAGGTATTCCAAAAGATATGCCCTTTTCGTATCTTTCAAGGACATATTATAATGCAGATTTATATTTTATTTTCGTTGTGATAATGTTATGAATTTTTTGTATCTACAAATCCAAATTTGCCATATTCGAAACTAGTTTTCGCGACATATATAATTTCTATGTAATAATGAACTCTTATGTTTTTGGCCTTTTTTAATTAAAATGAAATAAAAACAGTTGTTTTTTTAAAGAAAATGATTAAATATCATTGTATGAATAACTCCATACAAAAATAAAGTAAATACACAAGTTGACACAGCAATTATCTCTATAATGGAAGATGCCACTACTATCTTGGCTAAAGAGACTTCAGTACAGGTTTTATAGTACTGCTAGACCTGTTTGCTGAAGCCAATCCCATATCATACATGTGACAAATGAAATGGGCCAAATCTGGATTTTCAGCTGGATTTTTAGGCTCAAAACTGGATTTTTTTATCGACTTGAATTTCAATGCGTGTTTGGAACATTTGGTTCAAAGAATCTATATTACCCTCAAACTCATTAAATGGTTATACTTTTTATGATTTTTTTGTGGATCAATATTAATTTATTTCACCAAAAAATAAATAAATAGATAAATAAATAAATAAGTGTAGTCATACAGGCTATTTCAAAACTATTTCATTATTTTCAGTTTGAAGAATTTTAATGTCTTTTCAGTCATTCAATAATTGGCTACAAGCTTTTTGAAAACGTACAACAACTATTCATGAACATAAGACTCTGACAGTTAAATAACGTAACATAAGTAGAAGACTCAAAATAAATACAAGAATCGTTCCGTTAATTAAATCCACATTTTTGCCTCGATGATAGTGTAATTCCTAAACAAAACAAAAAAAATACCCACTCACTAAAAATAGGTTAATTAGAAATCTCGAACAGGTTTTTGAATGATCCACTTTAAATGATTCTGCTCACCTTTTATCTTTATCAGTGCGGCACTAATCAAAGAAAATCAAAGGTTGAGCCGAATTCATACATGTAAATTTACAGGGTAGTTTTGATGACGTAGCGTGTAATACCTACTGCCAAATTACAAAAGAGGTCAATTGATTGACACACAACACGTGATAAGTTAAACATGTGAGAATAACTTTGGGTATAGGAATTGTTTATTACGTCACCTTGCTGTCAATTAGTGACTCAACATTTAATCCGCTATAATTTAGGATATGGACAGATAACAATCAATGCCCGGAGGCACGGTTTACATTTAAGATACAGGTGCTGTGTTTGATTTTTTTTTATGTTGATTTTTTTTAAATATCGGGAATTCAAGCTGTAATATCGGGAATCGGGATCAGTGTTGAAATATCGGGATTTTTTAAAATCCCGCCGGGATGTCACATGTATGCCATATGGAAAGTCAACCAGAACCATGACATGCTGTAATTCAATAAATTTGCGTGATCTGAACAAAAGCTATTTTAATACATAGTTAGATATATTTGGGACACTTCAGTCAATATTTTTGAACACAGAATCTTTGATGAAATAAATTATGCCTCAAAGTTTATCAGTGGGTTCACATTTCATAAAATTTGCCACCATTGCTGCCCTAATAATCACGTGACTAGCGACACGGATTTATATTACAAGGATCGGACACTTCCGTTTAGTTTAAAGTCCCATCGCGCGCATGCGCGTGATCGGATAAAGGTAGACAGAATGAGATGGCGGAATGTGCGGAGTACGAAATATGACAGATTTTCACCAGAGTATGTGGTGTTATTGCAGCTTTGTGAAAAATTATACACATATGAATGTATTGATATTATTAAGTATTATTATATGAAAATATGCTGATAGAACGCTGCAATGCTTAGTTAAAAAGTACCTAATTTAAAAAATATTCGCATATTGTTTAGGCATACTCTCTACACTTCGCCGCCCTTTTACTTCAAGCACGAATTATTACCGCGATTCAGAATAAGATAATTATTTTTTACATGGTTTAATGATGGCATTGCAAAAAAACGTTTCTTGATTGCTAAAAAACTTTTAAAGAAATTCATGTTTGAAATGTGTCTTTATTTCTGTGAATTATTTCCAAATGATTTGTACATTTTTTATTTGATTACCTGTATATTAGTATAAATATAGTAAATATTCTACTATTAAGTGTATTTAATATATTTTCAGATCATTCTAGACAAGCATTCCTATATAGATGAATTCATTAGATTGGCAAGGAAGAAACTTTTATTGGCATAGAGAACAGCTGTTTTATAATATTATTTTTTATTTTGAAACATAATTTTTTCATAGATATCCTAAACAATTCACGTCAATTGATTTATTTATCACATATTTATTTTCATCATTTTTCAGAGAAAGGACTATACAAATTTAGTTGTATATTTTCAATTTCATTTATAAATGTCAATAAAGAAAATAGATTTACATATTGTATTTATATATCCTCTTCAGAATCATTTTCTTACCACATATGCCATGAACTGTAGTTAAAGACCGCGCATATACAAAATATACATTCAAATTATATTTGTTTTTGAAGATCGAGTGTTGCAATTATCACATGTAACCTGGTAATGAAAGTTTGGAAATAAAGTTTTTTAATTATCACTTACCCCCCTTCAAAAGTAATTAAACTTGAAAGAAATTTAAGCGATGTGTAAAAAATAATCAACAGTTACTTTTATTTCGCAAAATACTGACTCAAACTGTAAAGATTTTTATTGTTTTTTCTAGCGTTACATTAAAAAGTATAATAAATATCTTTCTACAGGCATTCAAATAAAAAGAATAATTAAAATATACGGATTAAAATATACGAGTGACATTAAAAAGGCCGGAATCGAGACATCCACACGAGAGAACTTTACTGTTACGATGATTGTCTACTTCACTGCACCGACATTTGAAAACAGATTTACAAAAAATAATAATGATATAAATGATGAATGAAATTTAAATATTCTATGAATATGGCAATATTGACAATCTCAGCAATATTTTGTACTAAAAAATGAATAAATTTTCTTCACGTGTAAAGGCCGCAATACATTACCCGTAAAACAATTGTGCGTTAATAAATTTGACTACATAACCCAACAAATCTTAAATATTGCATCTTTGATCATCTGTGAATAACTTACATCGGCTTCTTTTTTGTTTTGAAACTGAAAGTATTATGGTACCTTAATAATAAATTTCAAATACCTGCTTTTTATATAAAAAAATGTAAATTTACCGCGGATTTCGTCAAGTTAATTTTTTAACCGTCGTTGCGGACAGATAAACTGTACCTTTAAAAAATAAATTAGATATTTGAATTAACCAAGTATTTTTCTTCAAAATAAACTTTAAATTTCCAAAATCGGATAATAAATGAAAAAGCTATATGGTATTTTGTAAAGTAGGTGTCCGTTGCGAACGGGCATTTACGCTTCACGCCGGTAAATTATCGATCGATGTACCTTTATCGGGTGCACGACAAGATATTTAAGCATTTATATAGGGTTAACTGGGAGTGTCCGATCCCTGTAATATAAATCCGTGCTAGCGAGAATTAAGGTTTGGATATCTTTGCATGACATTTGGTGACCCGTGACTCAAATGCTTTATTTAATTAAAAACATGGCTTTGTAATTAAGAATAACAGTGTATTTATTCAATAACAGACATTGTACCAAAAACATGTTGGATTTATATTGTTTTGAGTGATGATTCATGAATTATTTGTTTGTTTTTATTTCAAATCATACACTTACTAAAAATAGTGTATGGTCCGTTACTAAAAATAGATGCTAGAATTCCCAAAACTTGAAGTCCTGCGAGATTTCATATGAATCAATGTAGACTCCATATTGGTAAACATTCTCTACATATTTCCCTAACAAATAGTTAGGTACACAATGTCATTGAAGTTTTATTTAAAAACAAAACATGAATTGATTAAAAATTGATTTGTTTATCAAATGGTATTTGTATTTGACCCAAATTTGATTAATAAGGGTGATTTTAATAGGTTTTTATGTACGGCACACAAAATTCTAGTGGCCTTTGCAAATAGGGTGGACCCATAACTTTACTGTCTCACAACCTCAAAATAAAAGCGACATATAAAGTTATGGACACCAGAACTACTACTATCTGATACTGTTTTAAATTTTTGGAATTTCATAATAAACAATTTGTTTTTTGAAAAAATTGCAATAAATATTAATAATATGAAAATGGCAAAGCCTCAAAGCGAGCTTGATTTACTTTTACTGTGAAATAGTATAAAATAATCGTTCATTTTTAGCTCGACTTTTCTATGAAAAGGGGAGCTATCCTACTCGCCCCGGCGTCGGCGTCGGCGTTGGCGTCACACCTTGGTTAAGTTTTTCGTACCACCCCACTTTATTTCAGAAGTATTACAAGTATGGCTTTGAAACTTACCATACTTGTTCACCATCATAACCTCCATCTACAGACAAGAGTACATAACTCTGTCAAGGTTTTTGACAGAATTATGGCCCTTTTTTGACTTAGAAAGTGTATTGAGCTTGGTTAAGTTTTTTGTACCACCTCACTTTATTTCAAAACCATTGGAGGTATTGCTTTGAAACTGACAATACTTGTTTACCATCACGACCTTCATCAACAGACAAGAGGACATAACTCTGTCAAGGTTTTTGACAGAATTATGCCCCTTTTTGACTTAGAAAATACATTGAATATGGGTAAAATCCACTTATTGCCTTAACCCTTTGAGATATTGCTTTGAAACTTTTAATGCTATTTCACATCATTACCCCATCTGTACGCAAGAGAAGGTAACTCTGTCAAGGATTTGTTTTAAAAATAAGGCCTTTTATCGACTTAGAATCTTGGTTAAGTTTTTAGTACCAGTCCACTTTTTGACTGAACTGTTTGAGATATTAATTTGAAAGTTGGAATACTTGTTTACAATCATGATTCCCAAACATGTCCAGGAGAAGGTAATTCTGTCAAAGATTTTATTTGAATTATGGCCCTTAACTGTCAATGTTTTGTATTATAGGCAAGCACTAAAAAACTTAAAAAATCTAAAAAAATTCATTCCTATCCACTTGTTCACTTTACCATAAATTATGTCATATAAACATTGCTGTAAGGGTATCACACAATTCAGTAAAATAATTCTTCACTAAATATCTTAATGCTCATGGCCATTGTTCACTTTAAAAATACAGAGATTCTTGTATTGCCTTTTACTGCAAAAACTTTTTTTATTGGCAAGCAATAAAAAAGTCGAGCGCGCTGTCTTACGGACAGCTCTTGTTATTTTATATTTTCCGTTTAAAAATTGTCATTCTGTACATTATACACTGCTTCCGTTTATTCTGGTTCCCTGTCCTATTATGGTTCCCATATAAGTGCACAGGACACTAGTCTACCCTTCCGTTTTGAACTTTTCAATCAGAATACCTCGGCTTTTATCGTAATCTTGTAATTGGAAAAGTTGCGATTTGTCAATTCAGTACTTCGGACGAAAGTTTTCAAAACCAACACTATCTAGCAGGTACTCGCGTTACTGTAAAGCTAGCAGGCCCTTTTGGCCAACTCTTTGAGCTTGCTGTTAAAGGAATATCCATTATTTTCAAACACATCAATTTTTTCACCATAAACGGTAAAATAATGATAGAATAATAAAAATATCATGTAATTATGTTATGTACTTCATCTGGTGCAGTGATTGTTCTGCTTATATAATAGACTCTGATAAAAAGCCTTTTCCCAATTGAAATTTTCTTAAAAATCATGCAGTTTTCCCAAAATGAACTTAAACCAGCTTTTTTACTTCCCAAATGAGCAATTTTAATTCTAATTAAGTGAGAAAAATCACAAAGGTGTAATTCCCCAGAGCTAAATCGGTATTATACCGGAAAAACAGTGTTTGGCTAGGTTTTCGAAAAGGTCAATAGGGCCGAGTTGACCTGTGCTGCGTTGGTGTAGGGGTGAGTTGACGCTTTACCGACAGTGTCTTTTCTAGGATTCGAAAAACAAAACTGGGGATTATTGAAAAGTGAAAATTGATTACATTTGTTGATCTTTTTCCTTATTTCTCTGTGTAAAATTTCCCCCCTGCCTTTGAAAAAGTAGAGGGGAAATTCTCAAGAATATGAGTCAATCCCCCATTCCCACCGCCCAGTAGAGACAATGTACCAATATAGCACATGGACTTACCAGTTGTGGGACATCTAAACAATGTTTTCCCATTCGTGTTAATCTATGTTTAGGCGACCTAGGTATGTGCTTTAAGTCTTCCAAGTTGACTACTTGCCACTGTCATATCATAACCAATCATGGATTGTGGAATCTGAAAGGGAATCTAACCACTGTTGGGATTCAAATCCACAACCTTTTGATTAAAGTCTGATGCTCTACCCCAGCAAGCCTCACCATTTTTCTCCACATGCAAGATTTAAATGATGAATCTTCAGTATTTCACAGTATATGTTGGGGTCTGTGCTATAAAAAATTGTGTAATTTTCTACCATTATTCAAATGAGTTGAGTTGTCTGTTATAGAAACATTAATCCCTAAATAACTGTACTTGTTTTCTGGTGTTATCAGTGAGTTAAAGACTAATCTTGTGTTGATTATCCAAACATTATTTTCTTAAAAGTATTGTTTTGCCTGATACACAGAAAAATGCCCAGTAAAGACAGGAAACATACAAAAGTCCTTCTGTTTAAAAATGACAGGGCGGACAAAAGCCCTCCCTTGAAAATTGTCAACATGACCTTTGTATATGGCTGTCAGAAACTTACTGGGGTTTCTTGCAGGGTTCTGGGTGACACATCCAGCATCCAGGTATTCATGTTTATAGCTGCTGGATGCATAGATTTCAAAGCTGGGATTCTCAAATCTGTATAAGCTAAATTTTGCATTGTGATTTCTAGACTAGCTAATTAATTTTAACAGTGGTATCGGGCACTGAAGAGTATGATTTCAGGATGCATTAGAAAATTTTACACCAGGTCCTCTACCCATTGTTCAATAACATGTAGACATTAAGATACAATCTTCCTGTTCAAAAGGCACTTTTGCAGAAAAATTCACTGTAATATGCTTACATAGACATGTATTCTGCATATGCAATTCTTATAAATGCCAAATGTAAAGATGTAAACACCTGATAATTGTTAATCTAACTGGTATTGTTAATCCAACTGGTATTTATTTTAGGATTGGCAAAAACTGTTGGACTTCGGTCTATTTACACTACTACAAGACCAAACCTTATGTTGACAAAGGCAACAAAGGTAATCTGCCAAGGTTTTACTGGAAAGCAGGGGACTTTCCATAGTCAGCAGGCCATTGAGTACGGAACTAAAATGGTGGGAGGAGTTTCCCCTGGGAAGGCTGGACAAAAACATTTGGGACTGCCTGTCTTTGGAACAGTGAAAGAGGTAAGAAACATATTTTCATTCTTAAAATTTCTACGTGAAGAAAAAGAATAAATTTATATTAAGATTGTCTGTTTTTGAGAAAAAATCGAGCTGTTTTGATCGCTGCATTGTCATCGGCATCATGGTACAAAAACTTGAATGTGTCCCATTGTTTAAACATGTGTAAAGTTATCAGCAAGAAACTTGAAATACTTGCTTATGACAAGGTGCAGTTGCAAGACAATATGCTTTATTATGAAAGCTGCATTTCCAGAGTTATTTCCCTTTTTGAATGTGAATTTTTGTCAAAATTGCATATGATATTAAATTGGTACATGTAAGTAGAATGATTTTTTTATACATGTATATGAAAGGTATCTGCATGAAGCATGGGATACTTGTTTGGAATAATTGTTTAACATGATAAAGCACAGTTGTTACACAAGGGGCATTATTCTGAAAGAAATATTTTTGGAGTTATGACCCTTTTTAGCTTTTGTTCAGTTGTCTCTCAATGCTGATTCAAGCAGAAATCATGTTAGACAGTCACTTCCAGAGAAATTTGGCAATTAATGTTATTAATGTTATTCAGGAAAGGGGTGCTACAATGTAGATGGATCATCAGTCATGGTAAAACCAAAAAATGTGTTAAAATAAGTATTTAAAAAAAAATTCTGTGAAGTACAAGACTGTCATACAATTCATAAATCAATCAGACTGCTTGTGCATTTTCAGAATGTTTGTACAGGAATAGCAATGACAAAGTAGAGACCACCAGAATATTTTTTGTTGTTGTTAAATTGCAGGCTAAAGAAGCAACAGATTGTGATGCTACAGCTATTTATGTACCGCCAAGATTCGCAGCAGCTGCCATTGAAGAAGCCATTGATGCTGAGATCCCACTTATTGTTGTCATTACAGAAGGTAATATACAAATCCTGAAGTACCACAGGTTTTAAATTCTGAGATCCAATTGTTGTTTTTATCCCACTGAAAAGTGTGGTAATTGAAGATGTAATACCACTGAATATTGTTTTTTATTCCACTGATTAGATTATCCTAGTACATTTGTACCACCTGCGTGGTCGAAGGGTTAGAGTCGATGACTTCTAATCCAGTTACCTGTCTGGTGTGGGTTCGATCCCCAGGAGATGCTTTGGTAGTTTAGCGAGGAAGGTAGTCTAGTACTGGTGTAACTCTCAAGGAATGATGGTTAGGAAACTACCCGCCTATATGACTGAAATACTGTTGGGAAAAGGCGTAAAATGCAACAACAAACAAATAAACAGTACATTTGTGTAATGGAAGGTAATGTATGAGCAATAAAATCAAAATGATTTTTTCTTTTGTTAATTGTAAAAACAGAAGGATATTCATTTGTGATAAAAATTGTTTCATTGATTTAAATTTCCATTAAAAATGTTATATGTGTAGGTATCCCACAACAAGATATGGTACGTGTGAAACATAAGCTGATACGTCAAAATAAGTCAAGAATGCTCGGGCCAAATTGTCCAGGAATTATCAAAGTAAATATGTTTTAAGTACAGTAAACACTAAACATTTATACTGGTAAAATAATAATAACACTTAAATTTAAAAAATCAATGTTTTTAGGAATGCCTTTATAATGTAATCTACTTCATTTGGAACATTAACTCATTTGAGCGATCAAGGGCCATTATAGCCCTTTTGTTTCTTAATTTTATAAAAAAACTTTAACTGATATTCACTTCAAACTTAATATACATGTTAACTGGAAAGAGTAGGTAATTCTGCAATTCAGTTTTACAGATTTATGCCCCCTTTTCTTCTGTACTTTTGTCATACTACCTACAACAGGCCCGCCACAAAGTTTAGCGTGCTACTGTTGAGACAAATCTAAATTTAGAATTACTTATGAATTCAGATTAAAGATTGGTTAATACACATTTATTCTATTTATTGCATATTTGATCCGCTTTTTCAACTCCTTAAAAATGTTATTGAACAGCTGTGCATATACATGTATTTTGAAGTGAAATCATTTGCGTTTTACAAACATAGCGTTAAGACAAGCTTAATGTTAGCGTTACTCTACTGACACCTCATAGGTATGTGATAAATAGAATTTTATATTTGTGTAGATTCATTACTGAATCTACATGTATTGAATTAGTTGATTAAAATAATATTAAGCTGGCCAAAGGGTTCGCATTATATTATTTTATTCACCTTGTTTCAACAAATTTTGTATTGAACCTATATATACACTCATTCATTATCCTCTGTTTATGATATTATGTTTTATTTGAAGCCTGGAGAGTGTAAAATTGGTATTATGCCTGGACATATCCATCAGAAGGGAAGAATTGGTAAGTGATGGCTCAGGTACTTTGTTTATTTGTTTCAGTATTATATATTACAGTAAATATAGAATTTACACAGGTTACTAAATGAGTAGAATTATTTTTTGCAATCAAAATGTACGAAAGGTGATACACGAATTTTGAAACACCCTTTAGCTTTGTTTCTCGCTAATACCTGCAGCACAAGTTTCATGATTTTAACAGTATCTTAACTTTCTGTAGCAATCTACACATATATATTAAACATAAATGTGATTTTAACATGGGTAGACGTAATATTTACTCAAGTTAAGAGGGTGTTATAGAATACCTATTGAAGACAGGAATTTCCTATAGAAGTATAAAGAAGGAGCTAAAAAAGCAGGGGCATGATGTATCTTTGTCCACTATACATAGAGTAAAACATTTCATCAGCAAATCTCGAAATCTTAATACTAAAAAGCCGAAACCATGTGAGTTTTGAAGGTGACATACTAAGTCAACAGATGACGTCATTCGTAAAGTCACAATTCTTATTCAAAAGGGTAAATCCTCCAACCCAGAGAGAGAATGAACAAAGTTAAGGTGTATCTCAGGATACTATTAACCGAATTATCAAACATGTACTGCAATGTAAATTTTGCAAGAAATGCAAAGTTCATAGGCTCAATGCAATCAAATTCAATTTGAGAAAAGATGTCAATGTTTATAACGTCTGTATTTACGTTTAGATAACAAACAACCAGTGGAAAAATTTTGTCAGTCTCAACAAAGCAATGTTTTATCTCGGCGGCAGTAATGGTTGTCGTCAGGTTTGTTTTTACTGTAAAGGAGGACATGATATTTCAAAACTTAATTTTGTAAAATGTGATTTGTTTGCTGCAGGATTCATGCTGGGACTTTAAAAAATAACATTTTAGTGTGATTTGAGTACATAAGATCGTTTTAATATTTTTGTCATGAATTTGCCAAAGCATCCCTTTAAAGTTATACACTGTTAACAAAGTGTTTCAAAAAACGTGAATCACCTCTCGTATGTGCTTATGTTTATAAGTGGAAGTAATTGTTTAAGTTGATGCAATCAGGCATAAAATAAGACTGGTTATTTCCCCTCGTGCTACCTACCCACAAAAATCAATGCTCCCAAATATATGTTATTGCTTAGAAATTAGTTTTAAGTTAGGCCATTATTTTTTGATATTTTGGTTCACTGACTGGCCGCATCCTTTTTTGAGAAAATGAAAAAAAAAAAATCTGCCTTTAAAAAAATTCCGCGTTGAAATACACTGCTAATTAAATTTAGAAATTAATGTCCTATTGGAGACTTATAGAAGTCCTGCTTATTACTTATTAGACTTATCAAAGAAACATTGAGATAATTTTTTATGGCAATGTTTTTTGCGTACAGTATGAAAAAAAAATGTCTGTAAAATGGGTCAAACCGTCCTCGCCGAATTAATGAGTCTATATATATATATATTTAAAATATATTTCATGTATATGTATAAAATCATGTTTTGAAGGTCCAATTTCTTAGAAATGTCAAAGAAATCATGTTTGAAGGTCAAATTTCTTAGAAATGTCAAAGAAAAAAAAGAAAAAATACGCAAGTAATCACGTTCAAGGATAGAGCGAGAGAAATCTTTTCAATGAGATTAAATTGGATTAAAAAAAAATATATTGTGACAAGATCATTATTTACAGATTTAACAAAAACATTATTCTTTAAAAGGAGATTGAATTCAGGTTTTCTTAAAAAAAAAAAATTAAAAAAAAAATGCACTTACGATTAATAATTTACATATGTCAGTAATTGACCCGCTTCTTATCCGATATAAATAACTTGGGCAATAATTTAACAGGTGTAATCGTTTCTTGACAGTTTTTTTAACTTCTGTTAAATAAATAAATGAGTGCTAGTCAGTTAAGTTTTAGCACCTTTGATGATTCTGATTAAAGAACAGGGACTACATTTGACCAACTCTTTTGAAGGGTCGGCGAGGTCATCTTGTGTGTAGATTTCATGTGTGTCATAAATAATGACAACATGATATTTTATCAATTTGTGAATGCTATTTTGTTTTCAAACATGTTTGAACGATGTTTTGGGAATTTATATGCAGTGTGGAATTTAGACAATAGGTCATTTCATTTCTCAAAGTACAAGGTATGCTTCAATTTATCAGAATCGGGATGTACTAATCATAAGAGAAGAGATACTTACAAAGTATCTCACCTTTCAGAGATTCTAAACTAAGCATTCACAAATTCTTTCCTTAAACACATATAATTCAAAAGATATAAATTATATATTTAATAAGAAAAAATTTTTTTTTGAAAATGAACAAAATGAATATTTTACCAACCTACCTACACTATCTAAACTGGCATAGGTCGCTAGAGGGGAAACAAACAAAGATAATTTTTAAAGGCTGGCCTCATTCTACGCGGGAAACATGCAGGAAGTATTAGTATCTGATTGATGAGGACATTTCACTATCATGCATCTAAGTGCATAAGGAAGTAATGGCTTTATTTTTGCTACCATTTATAGCAAGTGCTTACACGATATTTCTAAATATAAGTGATATCTTGTGCATTTAATGGTGAAGCACTATGTCTTTTGTACTGAAAACATATACATGTATTTAATTGCCTAATGAACACTTTCAGATTTTGAAATCAGTTGACCTACATTTTGACTTTATGGTCCACATTTTTGTGTCACCTGCTACAGATTAGTGGCGACTTAGGGATCACTTCTCCTTTGTCTGTCTGTCCATAGGGACTTAGGTGACATTATTGGATGAATATCATTGACTTGTACTTGTTTGGAAAAAAGGTTGATTTTGGGTTGAAAAAATTTGGCTTATGGGGTTTAAGAGATCAAAGAAGATCAAAGAATCTCGGCCATAACCTTAATTTGTGTCACAAAACTAGACTGGACTACTCCACAAAAACTGCTGTGCAATTTCATCCAAACTTTATGGGAATGATCAGTACAATGTCTAAGTGTGCATATCATCTGCATTTTTCAGTTCATTGTTTTTTGGGTTTTTTTTGTCAAGAGATATGGCCTTTTAATGATTTTTAACTCACCTGAGCACAACCTGCTCAAGGTATACCCCAGTGTCAGTTGTCTTGTCGTTTGTCGTAAATATTTTACCTTAAAGTGTATAAAGCTATATAATTATGTGATGCAAAATTTATTGTTTGGATTTTAAAAAGAATGCTTCCAAAATGTTTGTATGAAATAAAAATGGCAATAAATTGCCATTAAGGGAGTGGTGCATGCACAAAGTCATTGCTAAACAGATAAAATCCTACTTAAAATATCAAAATAATGATTTGTTCCTGAACAGTTTATTCTGTTTACGTACATTATTCATGTGTGTAAAATAACAGAGACATTCTATGTTGTTACAACTTTTTTGGGAATCAACCCTATAATAATGTCAACAATATAATTTTACTGTTGATGAATTTTATAAAAATGTAAAGTATGAAAAGGGGACATTTCTTGAAATATGACCTTGACACCTTAAGGACTTTGACCTTAAATTTAGGAAAAATCACTTTCAGAATGTATGAAAAAAATTTTGCTGATTCATGACTAAAACACCATTTCTACAATGACCTATTAGTATGGTGATTAGGGTTAATTAAACTGTTATTGTTGTGATTGTAGGTATAGTGTCCAGATCAGGAACTTTGACATACGAAGCTGTACACCAGACGACACTGGCAGGTCTAGGACAGACATTGTGTGTAGGAATTGGTGGTGATCCATTCAACGGCACTAATTTTATCGACTGCCTTGAAGTTTTCTTGGCCGATCCTAACACAGAAGGTAAGTCTGTTTATGTAATCCACTACTAACAAATGGGTACGGATATGGTTTCCTTTTATTAATTTGGTCAAAAGTATTCTTTGAGCTATGACTGAGTTCAAATTCATGGATAAATTCTCTCCGGTGCATAAATCAAACCATGTAAAACATTTATATTGGAGTCAAGATGGCAATAAGAATTACTGTGTATGTTGGTTATTTCTGCATGTAGAAAAATGTTAGCTAATTTAAAATTCCAGACATTTCGCATGAGGAAATATTAGCAAATCATGCAAGGGTACAATTTAATGACAGGTTGGTTGATATTTAGGCTAGAGGAAATTTTAGTGATTTTTGTCAATTCGCGAAATTTGCCAATATTTCCGCGTCAGTAACTTAACCATACAGTAGAATTAGAATAAAAAAACGCATTTACATTTTGAGTTATGGCCCTTTGTTTAGTTTCGATGAAAAATATGCATGTGGACATTAAAACTGGAAAAAAATTTGAATGATGAAAATTGTGAAGAATGTAAATAAAGATATACTACCCTTGAATTATAACTCAACATTATTAAGTTGTTTAGCATTATTCTTATATAATTTTGAGATTAATCCCACTTATTTGTGTAATGGCATCAAGATGCAAGGCCTTACTGTTTGTTTGTTACATTCTTGTTACAACTTTCCACTTAACGGAACCCTTTGAAGAATGACTTTGAAGTATAAAATACTTGTTTATTACAATTAACACTACTTGCCATAAAGAGACTCAACCAAACTGTGCCTGCAACAGTTTCCATTCTGTCGTTCTCTGTTCTAGGTATTGTTCTTATTGGTGAAATTGGAGGCCAAGCTGAGGAAAAGGCTTCCGAGTATTTAAGAAATAACAATCGGGTATGTATCAAATTTACATTAATTTTGTTTAGAAATAATAAATTACAACTTAAGAATTTTAAAGGCCCATTATAGGGCCTCAACTTAGGTTTTAAGACATGTCTGGGCTGAAATATTTTTTCGAGATTTTATAATAATTAATAAGGTGTTAAACAATGACTGGTGTTCAAGTTTTTAAGCTCAATATATTCCCTCATCCTGTTTTTCCAGAGCAATCTTTTTTACTGTGAAAAATAGTCCAAAAAAAAAAAAGAAATGTGTTGCAACGCTTTTCTCTCAAATTTGGCCTAAAATCGCATTTTATGATACATTTTCAATTTAATTCTGAGTATATTTATTTATTATCCTTTGCAGAGTTTTCCATTTTAATTGCTTAACTTGATATTTGGCATATGTGTAAGCTTGACTAGCTTTATACTGATGGCAAATGTGTTGAAAGCTTTAAACTTCCTCCAAGGAGGTGTGGTATATGGGCCTTGTATGGGTAGGGAAGTTTTTTAGCATCAACAAGTAGATGAATTAGCCATAAGCAATGTATGGATATATGCTACAAACTAAAAAGAACATAGTTTTGCATGTTGTTGAAAATTTGAAAATAATGTCTTTTAGCCAAACTTATTGTTTGATTTGTACCTGAATTAACCAGCTTCACTAGATAAGTATATCTGCTTTATATTGACAGTAATACAATAAACATTTTGTTTTTAAAAAAATAGGGTCCTTCAGCCAAGCCCGTCGTTTCGTTTATTGCTGGTATAACGGCTCCACCAGGTAGACGCATGGGACACGCAGGTGCTATAATTGCCGGAGGTAAAGGTGGTGCCGAGGAGAAGATTGAAGCTCTTAAAGCTGCCGATGTTAAAGTTACTATGTCACCAGCTCAACTTGGTACAACTATGGTAGAGGTAAGTCATATGTTACTAATTAAACACTGAATTCCACTGAATAGCACAGAAGCATAGAGTACCACAATTACAGGGAGGGGTTGAACTAGGTAGTTGAGTCAGAACACGGTATTGAATGACTTCATTCAAACCTGTTTCACCTTGAAAAAAAGATTGGTGGAGTGCAAACTTTAAATATGGAGGAAAAATTCTCAAAATTGGAAAAGTGCCTTTTATCAGTTCTTATAAGTACTTTGATTCTGGTAGCCAGGCCTGATTTTGCTTGGCTCAATAGGGAAAGGATCAGATTGGTAATTCAGGGGTCACTGGTTTGATCCTGGGGGAAGTTGAAATTGACCTGTAACAATTTTGTCAAATGGTCATTTGTCTCTTAGTGATATATCCTTTTAAATAGAGAATTAAATAGAATATTAGTCTATACAGCATTTATTTTAGTTTAATTGTGTTGGAAGCCAAAAACACACTCGAATCTGTGCCTGGAACATACTGGTACTGAGCAATTTATATAAAGTGTCTTGCTCATTGAAACAACAGCTTCCTGCTGATGGGTTTGAACCCACCCCGCCAGCAATCCTTAGATAACTAGTCAGTTGCATTAACCATTCAGTCATGCTGCTTCTTAAATAGATTTATTGATAAATCACTGCACTACATTCACTTGCCATTAAAGGGATATTCAGGCAAAATAATGACAAAAATATTAAAATGATCTTATGAACTCAAATCACGCTAAAATGACATGAATTTGTGTTTAAATTATATATATTTTGGGTTTGAAGCATAAATATATCTATATATGTTGAACAATACTTAGACCCCAATAGGATCACCAAATAGTTTTAAAACAAGTCAGGTGACTTGAACAAACCTTTGAAGTTACAATAACAGATATTGTGAATATTGTATGATTGAAACAAGTCTAAGTCATTCATTTGACATGTTTTTTAACGTTTCAAGAGTTCACTTTGACAACTATTGTGAAATACTAGCGCTCTAACCTGACCCACGCGGGTCAAGTTAGGAAACCACCATTTTATTCTTTATATGGAGAAAAGTTTTGTTCCTTTGACTCTCTTATATATTCATTTTGAGGGCATTTACAGAATATTGGATGAAAAATTCAAAACTAAGAAATGAAAATTTTGCCTGTGTCTCCTTTTAAGATATGTTTTCAACCTCAAATAATGAGGGCCACACTATTGCCCTTGTCTTGTAAGGGTGTCAATTAATTATTCTGTAACATTGTAACTTATTTACACTACCTTTTGAATATAAATTTGAGCCGCGTCACGACAAAACCAACATAGTGCGTTTGCGACCAGCATGGATCCAGACCAGCCTGCGCATCCGTGCAGTCTGATCAGGATCCATGCTGTTCGCTATCAGTTTCTCTACTTGTAATAAAGTTGGTAAGGGAACAGCATGGATCCTGATCAGACTGTGCGCATGCGCAGGCTGGTCTGGATCCATGCTGGTCGCAAACCCACTACGTTGTTTTGTCGTGACGCGGCTCATATGTTAATTATGGAAATGAAAGAGGAATCACACATTACTCATTCTTGATGTCAGTGGATTTATTGTTACATAAAATATAAAAAAAAAATCTATCATAGGAATCGTGTATAACAAGATTTACATCTGTGCCATCATTTAAATTATATTTATTTCTATTTTCAGGCAATGAGCAGAAGAAGGTGAAAGTGTTATTTATAGTAACAAATTACAGACTTAATAGATTATGTTTTAGTTTACTTGTTATTAAAATTGCTGGTATCAACATCTTGGAATTGTGACAGACTCTTCAGAGTTCAAATTCGTTCTTTTTGAGTAATTTGCTGTAAAATGAAATTTTTTTCTTTCTGCGATATATTTTCATTTCTTTTTTCAAGAGTATTAAGACTGGTCACAGTGGTGTATAAGGAAAGTTAATGTTGCTTTATATTTCATGTACGAAATGGTAGAATTCTAGTTAAATTTGTTAAAAAGTCTTTTATTTTGGAAAAAAATCTTGATATGTGTAATGTAAAAATTAAATAGGTTTATAGCTATGTTCTATTGTGATAAATGCTGGTGTGTAATTATGTATACATGTATTAAAAACTAATAAAGAACTAATAAAGCAGAAAGAATATTATACTGCAAGAAACAATATATTTATTGTTGGGATGCCCATAGATTCCTCCTTGTCCATGAGTCCTCACCATTTCTGTTTATGTCACAAAATCTTGTCAAATGTTTGTGAAGTAAAGAGTTACATTTCTATTACCATTAAAGTGTATATTAGTTTAATATATCTGGCATATTTCTTCACCATATAATTTATGGATAATTAAAAGTTTTAAGTGTATTAAACTAGCACTGTGAAAATGCTAAGGGTAACGAATCGTGGCCACCCATGGATAAGTTTCGAAATGTGGTACAATACGCAAAATGTCATAATGCTGTTACTTGTATAAAAATTGTATAAAAAAGTAAGCAAGAAATGTTGTATCATATATTTTGATTTATACAAAAATGACTGTATTGCTTTGAGAATTGGAATACTTGTCTACAACAATTATCTCCACTCCTAAGAGGAGATAACTTGTTTTTTGGGTTGACTTTGCACCTTTCAAAGGCCTGCTAAGAGGAGATAACTCTTGATGTTTTTTTTTTTTGGGTTGACTGCACCTTTCAAAGACCTGCTCTATTTCCACAATCAAGCTCTGAGAAAAATATCCTCAAATCTCAGAATTTTCATTGGTCAATGTACGTTTTGTGGCAGTTTCTGACCAATGGTATACCTGAGATCTGAGTTTAAACCACAAGAATATCTTAATAACCTCCCATCTAGCATGTTTTCCTGTAGATCACTGGCAATACATTAATAATTATGCTGTTACGCATAGGAAAATTGACAGTTATTTATGGAGAATAATAAGAGATGTTTGAGTTATGATATATGTAATAATATTTAAGCATATTAAACAGAATGGTATCATCACGTATGATGTTATTGTTTTATATTCTTATGTTTGTTAAGTGGATGAAAGAAATGATTGATGTGATAGATATTGAAATAAATTGTAACTTAATTTTTGCATGATTTGTTATGTTTGGAAAGGTGTCATCCCAAAGTTTAAGGTTTTGTTGCATTGTGACATCAGCGTTGGATATTTTAACTTTTAGCCTGTTTTTGGTAACTGAGTCTACCCATACCACAACTTATGACAGCACATCTGTTACACCTAGTTGTGGTTTGCCATGGTGTTTTGAAATTGTCTCGACAAAACATTGTAACATGGATGAGTCCATTTTTGAGTCACCTCTACGGAGAAGTGGCGACATATAGGGATCACTTCTCTTGTCTGTCTGTCCGTCTGTCTGTCAATCCGTCACAAAACTTGTCCGGACTACTTTTCAAAAACTACTGGTGCAATCTCAACCAAACTACAGGAATGATCAGTTGTTGTGCATAATGTCGCCATTTTCTGGTTCAATGATTTTTGTCAAGAGTTATGGTCCTTTAATGATTTTTAATTTTTGTCTGGACTACTCTTATGCCACTAAAGCAATTTCATTGAAACTTTAAAGGATTGATCTGAAGCTCAAGTACTTGCCCTTATTACACGGGTTTTCAGGTTAAATGATTTTTGACGGAAAAAAGGTGTTAATATAATTTGTCTTAACTACTCTTATACCACTGACAGAGCTGCATTACTGGTACTGGTACTGCAGTACGTACTGCAGCGATTTTGCAAGTACTGGTACTGATACTGAATTACTCTTACAAAATTTTGCTACTACTGGTACTGGTACTGCATTACTGTCTTAAAAAGTGGTACTGCTACTACATTACCCAGTACTTTTGGTTTTGATAAAAATTAAAAATAACATCAATTTTTCTCATAAAATAAAGCTGTAAATTACATTAACTATATTTATTTTTGTGAAAAAGTAAGTCATCAAATCTAAAGATAATTTGCTGCAATATTCATTCAAATGTTAACATAGTATTCATCATATAAAGCACCAAAGTCTTTAAGCAAAAATTGAATTAAGATAAACAGGCTCAACCTAAAATATCCTAATTAAAATATTTTATTACTTTGTATTTACTAGTAAAAGAGCAAAATAAACACTCATTAATTTCTTCTATTCTAAAAAATCCCATTTCAAGTGAAAAAAAGTGATATTGTTAACACCATAAAAAGTTGTTATTTACTTTGGTTTAAATTGAACAGAGGTATGAAGGTGTGAAAGGCAACAAAAGACTGTTGTGTTTTAAATGAAAGATGTTTGCATTGTATTTATACAGTTGACTGGTTACTAAACAATTCGATATGACATGAATATAATTATGTTGTAAATATTGTTTGTAAAACGTATGTTAAAACTATAAAGTTGTAAATATGTTACGTTAACTTTAAAGCAGCACGCCGCCAGATTCATCCTAATTTTCATGAATTTTGAAAATGTATTTCAAGGTAAAATATTGTTAAATGAACAAAGAAAATACTTGACACATTACAATCGGCACTTAAAATCCACGTAAATTGCCAAAAAGAGGTCAAAACATGCATAAATAGCCCCTACTGCGTTAGTAACGCAGTAGAAATATTGTGATAAATACTACAAAATACAGTCATTAATAGCACATAAGATATAAATTATCACTTGAATCTTTAATTTGTTTACTTATCTCAAAGGTTTAGTAATTTTTTTTCAAAGTTTAATTTTCTTGAAATATTTTGGGTCATCTGGAGGCATGCAGCTTTAAAGTAAATTATGATTTTATTTCTTTGCTGAATAATATTTGCAATTATTTGTTTGACACTGTATTTATTCAAACTTTGATGAATATATAAAAGTGATGGTACTGATACTTAATTACTTCACCAAAAAAAGTACTGGTACTGCAGTACCGAGCTAAAATCTAGTACTGGTACTGGTAATGGTACTGCATAATTTGCAAATTACTGGTACTGGTACTTAAGTACAACACCCTTTGTACTGATGCAGCTCTGACCACTGATGCAACTTTACAGGATTTACTGGAACCATTCTTGTTCAATGATTTTTGTCAGAGTTATGGCCCTTTAATTTGTCCAAACTACTTCTATACCACTGATGCAACTTTACAGGATTGATTGGTAGCTCAAGTACTTGCGCATATTACACAGGTTTTTCGGTGCATATTACACAGGTTATCTGGTTGAATGATTTTCAGCCAGGTTAAGTCCTTTTAGTAAAAACATATTGTGCCATGTTAATGATTTTTGTGTCTCCTGCTACACAGTAACTGCAGCATGCAATTGGCAATCATGAGGCGACACATGTCAAAAGACATTTAACATGGTAAGGAGTTCATTCAGACAACATCGTCGAGACAACATTGTGACAATTCATTATTAAGTTACACATTGCTGATTTGTTGTGCAGGCAACAGGTTGTGCTAGAATGGATTAATTGGTATTCAATTCATTATAAAATAGGTTATATTGTATTTAATTTGTTTTCAAGATCTATGCTGATAATCTGTTTTATCTGATACACATACTGCCTTGGTTGTTGTAGGCAATCTTTGTCATTTCGTTTAACAGGGGGACTGAAAGAATAATATAAAATGGAATTATAGGGTAACAAGATCAAGTCTTAGCTCTTAGTTCAAACAATTTTTAAACCCTATATATTAAGTTTATTGGATGTCCCCAATGCTAAAACAATATTGGTTACTTGGCTTAACAAATGAGCCGCGTCGCGACAAAACCAACATAATGGGTTTGCGACCAGCATGGATCCAGACCAGCCCGCGCATCCGCACAGTCTGATCAGGATCCATGCTGTTCGCTATCGGTTTATCTACTTGTTATAGAGTTTGTAAGTGAACAACATGGATCCTGATCAGACTGCGCGGATGCGCGGGCTGGTCTGGATCCATGCTGGTCGCAAACCCATTATGTTGGTTTTGTCGTGACGCGGCTCAAATGTTCTTTAATTAAAAATATACAGTAAAACCTTTGCAGAGTAATACCTTTGCAGAGAGACATAGATGTTGGTTACAGCTGAGAAAAAAATGAATTTATAGTTTTGGAAGAATTGGTACTGCTGTAAAGATGATATTGTTCTATAGAGGGCTGTTTTAAAGAGGTTTGACTGTATGTTAAAGAATACTACATTTAGTACTGCTGAGTTCTTACAAAAACTTTTTAACATTTATCGATTCTCTCTTGGCATTCATAGTTGGTAAACCAACAACTAGATACATTCTAATAACAGCAAAGATAATAAAATTATATGAAAATTAAGACATTTCCCACCCAAACATTCATAAATGGTCAACCGTTAACTTGGGACATGTTTATTTGTGTAATGGGCATGAATGAGTCTGTCCGTATAGGAATTTTCCCTAAACATTCATAAAAATCCATCAGCTGGGGGAATACCGATTCATGCCAATAAAGATATTTTCATGAAGCATTCATAGAAATGTAAAATGGTAAAAAGGTATCTGAACTATTGCACAGAGAGGCACCTGAGATTTTCCTCCACCAGTTAAGCTAGACATTCGCAATGTGACTTGTACTGTGTTGGTGCGACAAAACAAAAATGAAGTTGTGACAGATACTGTGTGTCTGTTTTAAGGCATTAAAAAGACTTCTTCAGCAGAATGAGTGTAATGTTTATACAGTTAAGTCATGACTTATCACACTTTACGATCCACCTTCCTCAGCAAACACATCTAATATGACATCATCGATTTTTCCATTTTGTATCGCGTAAAAAATATCACCAATCCATGTGTCCATCGGTCCTTGTCCATGATAGAAGGAGATCTTCAGTTCTTGCCTTGCTTATGAAGTTGTACAAACGTTGTGTTCCTAAAATAGGAATGGAAATGACAGGTTGACACATTAATTTACTACCTTTTCTAATACAGAAGGTAACTATTTTCCTGTTATATCACATGACTTAGTTATTTGGTGATATCATGCTCCTACTAATAGAGACTCTTAATACCTTCAAAATAAGCTCAACATTAATTTTCGCTTCAATAGTCTACGTTACGTTACGTAGCGTATCGTGGATACGATATTTTATGAAACTTGTGAGGACTTTGTTTCTGGAAGTTGACTCTTAAGCTTCTTTCCACATTGTTTAAATTACAAAATCGACATTTGATTAATACATATGTATGCATGTATGAAAGCAATTGGTGCATGTCATGCATCCAATTATGTCTAAATGAAAAAAGGACTGGAAAATATAGAAATGTAAAATGTTCCGTTGGCCTAACATATTTAAAACGACGAACGTACCTTGACCGAGTTGCTTGTCAGTGGAACATTGTCCTGTCTTCATATTACTGTAAACTTCTTGTAGGCCTTTTTCAATTTCGGTGTCCAGCATCACCTTTTTCTTACCCATCTTTGCATTGAGTTCATTTATCGTCTCATGGGTGTGAACATAAATTCGTACCATTTCGGTTGTATGCAGTCGGCAATTTGAATATATTTTGAACTGAATTTAGAAGTTTTTTCCAAAGCCAATTTGCGAAGGTATCGAAGGTCAACAGCCTGAACAAGCATGTTTAAGTGGTTGGCAAGCATCATCTGTATAATTTCCAAAGCTTCTTTAGTGAGGCGGCAACTTATCAGTGCTAACGAGTTCACTGATTGGTTGTGAAGTTCAGCACTTACCACGTGATTACTCATTGGATTAACAACGTGGTCTAACTCAGACATGTATGCCGCCATTGCGATATCAGCTCCCTTGAAACCGAAATCAACGCTGAAATGGGTACCTGGCCAAATTCGGGGTTTGGTTAAAGTTTAAATTTGAAGGATCAGTTTTTTTAAAATTTGGGGCAATAACAATTTACCACACCCGCCTAAAACTCTTTTTTTTAGATCAAACGTAAGTGATTTGGGTTTTTTCCCCTTTAAAATTGGCGCCCTTTTGAATATTCCCGTGCGATATCAAAATTGGGTTATCCAACGCCTTTGTAAATCCCAAAAAACCTTTTTTCCTCCCTTTCAAATTTTTTTACGATGGGCCAAAGCCTTGTGGGGGCACTTCTTTAAACTGTAAGGGGGTCTTGCTTAAAAAGGGGGTGTTGGGACGTTTTTCCTTTTTTTTTTGATATCAAAGGGGATTTTTGGGCTTGCAAATTTATTTTGCCCCTTGTAAAAAAGGACGGGGTGCAAAATTTTTTGCAATTTCCCACTGACCGCAAGAGGATAAAAACCCTTTTTATATTGGATGAAAGCTTTTCCGTGGTCCCATGCTGGGCTTTAACCCGCCAAGGCTGTACGTTCGTGTCAGAAGACACGCAAAATTTTTTTCCCTCGTTTTAAAAACCGGGCTGAATACCAAACTGGGGAAAAATTTTTTCCCAAATTGGGCAACGGAAGTCCCCTTCCCCATGCACCCCTTACCGCTGGGGTAAATTTTGCTCCCAAAAACGCAAATTTTTCACTTTTTAAATTTGCTTTTCCCTGTATGTAAAACTGTCAAATCCCCGCCAATCAATTTTTTGGGTGGGGAAAAAATAGCAAGTGGAATAAATACCACTTTGGGGCTAATAGACCCCCGAAGAGGAAACCGGGGAAAATTACAGTTATAAGAACAAAAGCATTTTGGGGAAAAATTCGAAAACCACCCCCAAAAAATGGGCCAGGACTGAGTGAATTTGCTCTAACAAGCCATTGCAGCACGAAACGGGCCAGGAGGAAACCTTTTCCCAAATTCCAATATTTAGTTGTCGTACAAGAGAATCTTGAACATCTTCTGCATTTTTTGGCGGCGAACAATCTGCCGAGCCCCCAAAACCCTGTATTGAGGCCATATATGTATACGCTGCTATCATTGTCGGCTAAATTCTGTAAGAATTTAGCGTTCTTTTCAATTTCGTTCACTGCATTTTCTGTCAGTTTGACTTTGACTTTGCTATCACTGGCAATACGTTTGAGAGCTGCAACTGTGAGTTTATGACCATCAAGATTGATGACGTCAGGCACTGCTTTCAGCTCCCGAATGCAGTCAAGTGATTGTTTCAGGTGCGGCGTTTCCGAAGCCATTGCAGTTATCGTTCCTGGTCAGTATCTAAAAAAAAATTGACGACATTTTCAAAGGATCCCATTAAAAAATTCATTTTTTCTAAATTTTCCAATTTTTTTAAACTTTTATTTTAATATTTATTGGTTTTTGATTAAATAATTTGGAAAAAAATTAAAGTGACTTATTTTTATTTTTTCAAAAGGGAGATTATTTCATTCATTTACGTTCACTGTATTTAATTTTGACTCCTAGAGATCACTTAATCTAAAATTTTAAAATTTAACTTTTTTTTTAAAGTCATTATTTTTGTGTCCCTCTACGGAGAAGGGGAAAAAAGGGGTCACCCTTTTCCGGGCTTTTGTCTGGGCCATTTGTCCGTGCTCTCTCCCTCCCTCACAAAACTTTCCGGGTACTCCCCAGAAAACCCACTTTTGCAATTTTTGCCAAAAATTTTAGTTTTGTTTTGTAGATCATCGGCATTTTTCTTCGGTTCAATGCTTTTTTGTCAGAGTTATGGCCCTTTAATGATTTTTATTTTTAAAGTTTGTCCGGACTCCTTCTCATATACAACTGAAGCAATTTCAATAAAACTTTACAGGACTGATCTGTAGCTTAAGAACTTGTGCATACAACACGGGTTTCCGCTTGGATGATTTTTGTTAGAGTTATGGCCCTTGAAAAAAAGTGTTTTTGTGTGTTGCCAGCTACACAGAATCTTTACCGTTTTACTTCTTAGAAACTACTGGTGCAATTTCATTCAAATTTTATAGGAATGATCAGTACCAAGTCTAGTTGTGCATATCATCGGCTTCTATTCTATATGATTTTTTGTCAGAGTTATTGCCTTTTAATTATTTTTAATTTTTAAGTTTGTCTGGAGAACTCCTCTTATAATACTATTGCAATTTTAATGAAACTACATGTATATACTGGCTTGATTGGTAGCTCAAGTACCTGCACATATTGCACGGGTTTTTTACTTGAATGATTTTGGCGAAGTTATGGCTCTTGAATAAAAAAAGGTGTTAATAAAGTTTGTCCGGAATACTCCTTTTATATATACCACTAATGCAATTTCATTGAAACTTCACAGGATTGATTGATGACTCAAGTTCTTGCGCATATAACACAGGTTTTCCATTTCAATGATTTTCGGCAGAGTTATAGCCCTTTAATAAAAAAGGTGTTTTTTTGTGTTGCCAGCTATTTGTTTGAACTACTCTTCAGAAACTACTGTTGCATTTTCATCAAATCTTTACAGGAATGATCAATACTATGTCTTGTGCATCTCATCAACACTTTAAGATTTAATGATTACTGACAAAGTAATGTCCCTTTGACGATTTTTTTATTTGTCCGGACTACTCCTCTTTTACCACTAATGCAATTTTAATGAAACGTTAGTGGATTGATCGGTAGCTTAAGTACTTGGACATAATACACGGGTTTTCCGGTTGACGGATTTTCAGATGTGTTATGGGCATTGAATATAAAATGTGTTTGTCCTGTAAATATTTTTTTTTTGTCTCCTGCTGCACATCAGCTGCAACATGCAATTGGCTATCATGAGGCGACACATGTCATCACTGATGATCCTTGTTTAACAATTAATTAAAATTTTAGACAGCGGATACTTCGAGAGAGGGGGCAATGAAAAACTAACATGAAAAGGTGAAATAAGCATTAACGGATTCCATTTAGTTTGTACATTGGAGATAATGGGAGAAGTAGCAACTATCATGCCCGGTCCCCTCACACTTGCTCAAACACCTGGGACAAAGATAACTGGGACGAAAGGTGTCATTTTAAGTCCCAGCCAACACTTAAAATGTATTGGAATCAATAAATCAGAAGAACACAGAAAAGTGACACGGCACACGTTTTTGATTTAACTTTGGTAATGGGGTTACTCCTAATTATAGTAAGGGAAAATTTAAGGATTGAAATATAGGAATCGAAGCTACTACATAGTATATTAAATCAAAAGATGGTCTTATTAAAAATATAGAGGTGTACTCATTGGAGAGGTCATCAGACCTCTCCACAGTATTCAGACTGATTGCTGGCGGCATCCATTTTCGCGTATCTGATTTTAGTGAATAAATCTCAATTAAAGCGTAAAATCATTAGAAGCAGTCTACAAAAATGGTTTTGCGCATGCTCCGTTTCAAAATAAGACTTAACTTAAACGAAAAATTATCATCGAAGTGAACAAATCGGTATATAGAAAAATCGGAAAATATCATTAACGTTACTTAGCGCTACATGGATGTTTCATTCCGTTTTAATGTTTTAAACTGCTGAATAGCGTTTTAATATTTCATGTTCCAATAAATAGTAACAGTGAACATTATAGCTACAATATCACCATGTACTATTACAAAAGTACCGAAAGTTTGCAAAGCTTTTGACCGATATGACTAAATAACGCAACGGAGATTTTTTGGCGCAAATGGCACAAATTTTGTGGTTGGAGGCTGCATTATATACTGTTTATTCAAATGATATAAACATATTTTTATGTAAATCCTGGTCTAAATTTTGTTTGATTAACATACTCTTTGCCCATTTTGGAAAATGTAGAGGAAATGTTTCCATATACTTACCAAAACATTAACCGAAAATTTGCTTATTGAATTTTACAAGAAACTTTTTGATAATAGTTTTAATATATATATCATCTATTTTAAATTTAGTTCTCTTTGTAAAAAATCTATCCATTATGCGCCAAGAAAAGATTACATTATTCCGGCAAATAATCTTTCAAAACATTTAAGAAATGAAGCTTTAAACAAACTTTTATTATGATACTACATTCAATATATATAATAAATTCTATTTTGTAAAATAATAATAATTTGTAACTACTCATTGTGTCTTTTCTCAAATATTTTCGAATTAAACAAATCTTCCACAGCAGCAAAAAGACCTCTCGCATGCTTCTTTTTAAAGACGCAAACTTGTGTACATAATAGTTGTCACTCAGATCAATCTCCTACGCAGTGATCTCCCCTTATCAGTACAGATAATATAATAATAATGATAAGGGGAGATCACTGCGTAGGAGATTGGTCTGAGTTGTGTTCGGTATTTGAGCGCAAAACATAAGTTCAAATCATATGTCCAAAACATAAGTTGAAATAATTAGTTTAAAGCTTAAGTTGAAATAATTAGTCTAAAACTTAAGTTCAAATGAAAGTTTATTACATGCATTTTTGTAATTTCAAATTATAGGTAATACATATAGTTGTGTAAGTCGTAAGTAAGGCTCTTTCTATATTTGTATTTTTATGTTAAATGTTAAATCACTTAAATTTAGAATTTTGATAGATAAATCACTAAAATTTCTGACGAACTGTTCCAAATTGAAAGCACTCAAATTAAGCCGGTTATAATAAAGAATAAGATGGAGGTTTTTTCTCTTGATTAGAAGAGCTTATGTCAATATGTGCTGTAAAGGTTTTCAATGTTTATTTTAGGAAGAATCTTTTTAATCTACGAGGGTTGTCCAAAAAATTCGTGCACTGCAGTTATTGTCGTGCGAGTTATTGATAAAAAAACATGAATCATATATCACTTACAAGGGAAATCTATCTCAAATAAGAGAACAAAAGAAAAAGCCGTGTTACCGGCGTGTCGTGAAGACGAATCGTCATACAGTTACCTTGGTAACGTCATACCGGCGCACGTCAAAAAATTCGGTTAGTCCATTACTTTGACGAATCACAGTATCCTTTAAACACTACATATAAAAGTCAAAATTCAGGATAAAGTGTATGTAGGTATTCCTGACGTCAGTAGAAAATATGACGTTATTTGCCCTATTGTAACGGTCGTAAACAAACATTTCTGTGTGGTCGTCAATACTGTCATTACGTGAAAATGTCAGTCGCTAAACGTCTGGAAATACGGACGATCGTAAAATTTTGCGCAAGTACTGGTGAAACACCGACAGATACCTACAAAAAAACTTAAAAAGGGCAAGAGGGACCAGTTCATTGTCACGAAGGCTAAATTTTAAATGGCACTATCGCTTTGTAGAGGGGCAAGAGTCGGTAGTTGATGACAACCGGTCGGACAGACGCCCGTCCGTAATGCCGGCGCATGTGACGATGATTATCCAATATATTTTTGCACTGGTGAAATATGTTACGTTGCATGAGAACAATATAAACTGCACAACACTTTGCATCAATCATTCCGTTATAAACAGTAAAACAAATTATGAAATAAAAAGCAAATGCCACTTTACAAGCCACAAAACATTAATACAATCACAGTAATGAACTAACCCTATTTTTGTCGTGCGCCGGTATTACGTTACTAAGGTAACTGTATGGCAATTCTTTTTCACGACACGCCAGTCACGCGGCTCTTTCTTTTGTTTTCTTATTTGAGACAGATTTCCCTTTCAAGTGATATATAATTCATGTATTTTTAGCAATAACTCTCTCGACAATAACTGCAGTGCACGAATTTTTTGGACAACCCTCGTACACAGCCAAAGTAAGTCTTTTCTGGAGAATACATGGTACTCTATGGAAATGGTACTCAATTTTTAGGTCCATTAAAATGAATTAAACTGACGCTACAGTTCAAAGATGTAGAGTTATTCATGTTATTCACGCAATCATGAAATATTTATTTAAAAATTAATGATAAACATGTTGTCATTAAATGTAAAGCAAATAGAATTATTTGTAAAGTAAATTCATTGAAATACAAAATATTTACGTTTTGTATGCATATTATATTGCATAAATAACAAGATAAAGCATTGTTTTATCAAATAAATGCGTTTAGCACATTAGTTGCAATTTATCAGCTTTATTGAAATTTTGGTAAAAAGAAATTCAAAATGAAAATTTCTGATTTCATACCTTGTATTACCTTTATAAAAACAAGAAAGTCAATTAATACACTTTAAATATCTAAGTACCTAGTTTTAGTATTTTATTTCATGCTTCATCATAGTGTCATCAATGTGATACAATATATATAACATATCATACATAAAAAAACACATTTAAACATAGTAAAAAAAAGCACATTGTCACTCTCTACAGAGTTATAGGAGACTTTGTATATGGTAATATCATAATACAACTTAAAATCATTAATGCATAATGGAGTATTAAAATTCACTCATTAATCTACATTTTGATCATTGTATAATATATTCATCTATATATATGACACAACCCAGATTTGATGTTAGTATATCTGTTTACATGATTGTAAAGAATATGTCCTATTTAGTTTTGGGATAAGGTCAAGTCATGACATGGGGATATATGATGTAATAAAGTGTATGCTAACATAGGACGTGATAAGTGAGAAAAGATATACTCGTATTTAGTAAAATAAAATAGAAAAATAGATAATTCGGTTATATGGTTTCTTAAAAAAATATAATTTTTCTAAAAATTATGGGCTGGAATTAATTTTTAATTAATACGAGTCAAATATAATATATGTTATGTGTTGTTCATGTATATCACGTGACTCAAGTCTTACTAAGATAAAAGGATAAAGATGGTTGTATAGATTTTCACGGAGAAGAGCAAAAGTCCCCAGCGCATTAAATTTGACTGACGACATTTCTGCCTCTGGAAAATACAGAAGCGTTTCTGTACTAGACTAGTTTCGAAGAGAAGAAAAGATGCTTACATGAAATAAATTCACGTTGAATACGGTTTCTGTTAATATTTTACTACTTTTACCATTTTGATGGTTTTCGCAGCGCGAATTAAACATTTACAAAATTCAGGAACAGTCTTATTTCTGGTAATATTAAGTTCGTATAATGTTATTTTTTAATTATATGAACATATTCTGGAAGAAAATTTTATTTTTCTGTGCGATCTAGGAAATATGTTATTTAATAAGATGTGTGAAGTTGGCGGCCTAGCTATGTAAAGTTGGCGACTTAGCGGCATGAGGTATTGACCCATTTAAACGTCTCTTAATGAAGTTTTTAAGACACATCTTTCATAAGATAATTAAATAAAATAAATCAGAATTTCAGAAAAGTTCAGAAAACTTCACACCGCTAGGCTGCCAACTTCACAAAAATAATCGAATCAGAAACTTTTTTTTAAATTGTAGTGTGTTTGTTTATATATCTTTTAAAGACAAGATATGTCTTAAAAACTTATTTATCCACGTTGTTTATATACTTTGCTTTAATGTAAAAAATGTGCACATGTACCAATCGATGTAGTACGAGAAAGATCGATAGCTGTACATAATAAGTACTGAGCTCCTATTCCATATATAGGGTGCTCCTGTTTTCCCCTTTTTCGTTTGCAATGAAAATAAGAATAATCGTTATTTAAAATTAAATTATTGACTTAAATTACTTGAAATGAACGTTTGTATATAATTATATGTATACTGTATAATATACTTATAAATGAAATATTGAGAAATATTGATGAAATAAAATGAGTATTTTAATTTTTTGTATTTTCAATGCAGTGAAGTATATTTTCCGTATTTCACTGCAGTAAAACATACTTTCGTATTTTCACCGGTGTGTTGTCGGACTTTTTCCCTTAATTCAGTCAATATACAAAATTTAAGGGATAGTCTTTCAAACTGTGATGTGAAAAAAGAGAAAAATGTATATAATCAACAGAAAATTCTAGTTTTTTCTATAAATACAGGATTTATTTTCATCTTTGCATTAAACCACGAACAACGATGCCTTGATATTGTAAAAGTATTAATTGGTTTAACTTGGTGATTTATATACCCTTTTATAACCATTATTTTTTCACTACCAAGCAACATAAGTCATGGCGAATGGTTTTATTTTAGTAACTAACCGATATTGCTTGTATAAGTCAATGTTACAAAACTTGTCGTAAAGAAAATATATAAAACGTCAACGGACACAAACGCTTGATGAACGTGACTGTTTTTATCATGGTTTTTGCTATAAATGTCACCATTTGTCAATGTGGGCAGTTAATAAATCCAATTTTCCGTTCACATGTGTTGGAGGACTGGACCATCCTAGACGTGTTCAAAGTAAGTGCTAATTTCCTCTCTAATTAACTCCAATATTGTAAATCTTATGCACATTATCTTATCAGAATCTTCTGCTTATTTCACATAGTTATGTAAGAGTTTCGGAAAAGAAATATTTATTTCGTGTATAGCATTTCATTGGTGAAGTCCTAGTTTCCGTGATCCTAAGAATAGTTCTGCCATCTAATACTATTTTATTTATGTTTCTAATAAAACTACCTATCCGCAGTAATTTAGAGATATGGCATTGTGTTAAATATAGGGGTAGAGAAATCAAACACAAACAACACAAACAGGAAATCTTGTAGTTAATGGTTTCACATGGTCTGCAGACGACACATTATAAATTATAATTACAAATGTATATATATTTTCAGAATATTTACATGGACTGATTGCAACTAAATTTCGTCACAAAAAAGCATAAAAAAGAATATTTGCAAAAACATGCGAATAGAGTGAAACTTATTACAATGAAAATATTAATATATACATATGCGATAATATCAGTCACGTAGTAAAATGTTAATATTTCTTAATTATAATTTAGTTTTTATCGATTTAGATCTCGACACAACTCTTTCGTAACTTCAGTAGATTAAAGAAGAAAAGATGAAGCATGTGCCCCTAGCACATTGCTTCCCTAAAATTATATTAATTTCTCTACCCTTTTAGACTTTTTAATTTTTATCATGCTTATTTTAAACGGACTCACCCAGCTTTAAATGTTTGGAAATGCCCTTATTTTGTGCATGGCTGCATATATGTTGCCTCTTCAGATTACTTATCTGCTGTGGACACATTTCTCAAAGCTGAAACTAAAAATCTTATGAATGATATACATAAATCAATAATTTATTCAATAAAAAATTGTATATATTTAAAGGGTAAATGAGGTGTATACACTTGCAGTAAATGTGATGGCTTCGGAAACGCCGCACCTGAAACAATCACTTGACTGCATTCGGGAGCTGAAAGCAGTGCCTGACGTCATCAATCTTGATGGTCATAAACTCACAGTTGCAGCTCTCAAACGTATTGCCAGCGATAGCAAAGTCAAAGTCAAACTGACAGAAAATGCGGTGAACGAAATTGAAAAGAACGCTAAATTCTTACAGGATTTAGTCGACAATGATAGCAGCGTATACATATATGGCCTCAATACAGGGTTTGGGGGCTCGGCAGATGTTCGCGCCAAAAATGCAGAAGATGTTCAAGATTCTCTTTTACGACATCTAAATATTGGATTTGGGAAAAAGTTCTCCCCTGGTCCCGTTCGTGCTGCAATGGCTGTTAGAGCAAATTCACTCAGTCTGGCATATTCTGGAGTGTCTGCGGATTTTGTCCAAAAGCTTGTTGATCTTATCAACTGTAATATTGTACCGGCTGTTCCTCTTCGCGGGTCTATTAGCGCCAGTGGTGATCTTATTCCACTTAGCTATGTCGCAGCTGCAATGATTGGACGAGAAGATTTGACAGTCTTTTACCACGGAGAGAAAATGAAATGCCAATCAGCTCTCGCGTCTGCAAACATTACTCCAGCGGTAATGGGTCATAGAGACGGGCTTGCCGTTGTCAATGGTACATCGTTTACAGTTGGTATTTCAGCACCTGTTCTTTACGATGCAAATATCGCTTGTCTTCTGACACAAGCATGTACAGCTTTGGCAGTTGAAGCACTTCATGGAACCACAGAAAGCTTTCATCCAATCATACAAGGTTGTATGCCTCATTGCGGTCAGTCGGAAGTTGCAAAAAATGTGCGTGCCATTTTACAAGGCAATCAACTTGCAGTCCATCGCCTTGATATGAACAAAAAGGAAACGCTCTCAACACATCGCCTTAAGCAAGACCGCTACAGCTTACGAAGTGCGCCACAATGGCTTGGCCCAGTCGTAGAAACAATGAAAGAGGCAAACAGGAAGTTTCTTGTCGAGTTACAAGGCGTGTCGGATAATCCAATTATTGATCATCGCACAGGAACTATTCTAAATGGCGCCAATTTTCAAGGAGAAACGTTGTCACTTACGCTTGACCATATGCGACAAAGTATAGGCGTCTGTGGAAAATTGTTATTTGCCCAATTTTCAGAGCTAGTCAACGTAAACTTGAACTTTGAGCTACCTCCGAATCTATCAGGAAGCGATTTCCACGTTGATTTTGGTTTTAAGGGAGCTGATATCGCGATGGCAGCATACATGTCTGAGTTAGACCACGTGGTTAACCCAATGAGTAATCACGTGGTTAGTGCCGAAATTCACAACCAATCAGTGAACTCGTTAGCGCTGATAAGTTGCCGCCTCACTAAAGAAGCTTTGGAAATTATACAGATGATGCTTGCCAACCACTTAAATATGCTTGTACAGGCTGTTGACCTTCGATACCTCCGCAAAATGGCTTTGAAACAGTTATCAAACCTCAGTACAAAACATATTGAAATCGCTGACTGCATACATCAAACGAAATGGTACGAGTTCGTTCTTCGTCCAAAAGACATAATACAAGAACTGGAGATGAAAATAGATGGAAAAAAGACGCTACTGCAAGCTGGACTTGAGAACGGACTGCAAGATGTGTATGGTGATATGAAGAATGGAAAATGTAGCACACATGAACACCTCGGACAAGGTAAAGATGAAATGCATTTGATTAATATATGGCAATTATCTAAAGCTTATTTAAAGTATCTTATAAGTTTAAAAATGTTTGCCAGCTCTTCGAAACAAAGTTACATTTTATAATGATTTCTCTTGGTCTTAAGTACTATCTGGGTTTCTTTATATCATGTAAGATGTTGCGTTGTTGTAAATTTCTATATAAGGGACCAGTTTAGCTACACAAGATGTTTCTTTTTCAGGGACGAAGCGGTTATATAACTTTGTAAGGAAAGAGCTGCAAATACCGTTCTACCACGGACAGGGGCCGATGGACAAATGGATTGACGATATATTTAAATCGATTCGGGACGGAAGAATTGATGACATCATTCTGGACGTATTTGCTGAGAACAATGTATGCCATGAACAGTGTTGAAATGGAAAACAAAAATGTCGTGTCCGATCAAACCTTACTTTCAAAAAGTGCTTAATTAAAAAAATTGAATGTTTTAAGCTAAAACCATTTGATCTACTGGACTGAGCATAGACTTATAATTGGAATAATTGGCAAGTCTTCGAAATCTATTTAGTCGTCAGACCAAACAAATATTGGTAGCGAAAATTCAGACCCTGATGTTCTTATTTGCAAATGCCGAAAGTAGTCCAAACTCCTCGAAGCGGTTACTTCCCTTCATTTGTACATTAACGCCGAAAAATTAAGGGGAGATCACTGCGTAAAGATTGTCAAATGACAGGCGCATTAATTTTCCTAAAGAAAAAATAGTTCCCGATTGGTCGAAGATTTCTAATATTGTGTTATTCTTATAGATATACATGCTTATATTAAGCTCCATGATTATTTACTTCAGTGTTAAACAACAGGTTTACCGTGAACAAAATATATCGAAATTAATAAGGGTTACAAACTCTAATTTAGAATAATATGGTATTCTTCAGGCTGTTATCTTATAACTCCCCGTGGTCGAGGGGTTTACACGCTCGCTTTGGAAGCGAGAGGTCTGGAATTCAAATCCTAGATTAGGCAATTCGTTTTTTTTGTTTTTTGTTTTTTTGTTTTTTTTAATTGTTTAAGTCAAATAAACATTGAATTGAATATCAGTGGTGCAATTTGTCTTATAGCAAATTTACTACAGTTATAACACTGGAAATAGCATTGGTGACAATATACAAACAATTGGATTATAATCTCGCAACCTTCACCTTTCTGACATTCTGAGACCCAAACAAAGTCAGCGCCTTCTTTGCTTTGATTATTGAATGTATTTATCAACCAGATTTTACCAGTTGTATTTCTTGTTCTCATTGCTCACGGGCGTTCTACTTGGGCTAGCGCTATGAGACTTTTTTCCAGATTTGAAGTTTTATACATGTAGTATATTTCCACAGTTTTTGCTGTACACCGTTTAAAATGACACAATGCTAATTTTTTCACTGTCAAATTAAGCTGAATTAGATATATTTTTTTCAAAGATTGATTGTTCTAATGGTGATTGGCCAACAGTTTATACGAGGGATGATCAAAAATTAACCGAACTTTATAAATGATTCTTAACCTGTTAAATGAATTTACATAACAATACACGGAAAATAAATTGGAATCTATCCCCTAAATGATACAAAAATACCAACACGAAATATTAACAAAGAAAAAAGTTATGATGTTATTGGCATGCACATGTAAAGCAATGCGGCGCACGGTATAACTTTAAAATTGACGTTAACGACGTCACAAGCGTATTGTCCTTAACGGAGCAGATTTTTACTCATTCACGGAGTAGGCCAATATGTGGTACAGTCATGTTATTGATGCGGCAGATCCCCTGCCTATATATATTTCTGTACAAATGGGTATCATATTGTATTGTAATAGAATGAATGGTGATAAAGAGCTCCTGTTATAACGCAAAATTCCGTAATTTCCTTCTGTAACTTGATCGCACATGCAATTAACTATACTATGTATTACAAATAATGTAAAATAATGTTGCTGAATGATAATGTATCATACATACGAAAAAATAACAGAATAATACAACTATGATCAAAATTGTCATTATTTTAAAATAAATAAAACGCATAGCCAATTTGAACAGTGGCTGTTAAATTGTTGACACAATTTCTCCATAAGACTACTGCGTAAAATAAGAAAATAATTGATACAATTGTAAACCAAGAATACAATACATGTAATTAATGCATTAACTATTATCATTTTAAGATCCTCAGAGTTGACTGCACCGTCCCGTAGTTACTGTCGAACATCGTTGACAATGTCCGCAGTCAATCGACTGTCATTTTTCAACGTCTTGGCGATTGACGTCACCAACGTCCTTGAAAATGTCTTTTTTCTGTCTCTCCCTTACTTGTTTCTATTTCTCTATTATCCTTTCTTAATCTTTTAAGCTAATCAAAAAATATGCTGTGGCTTTCTGGAACTTTACCCTTGATGGCCATAATCTTTTTCTACGTTTTAAACAGTTTTCTCGTCTTATATTTGACAATTTTTTCCTATTGATCGATTTTCGAGACATTCCGACGACATAGTTTTAACGCGAGTAATTCATTAACATGTGACGTTTGAATTGTGACTGTAAATATAAATATGGTTTAAATGAAGTCATTTTTACTGACAACGTCAAATATATGGTATGTGACGTTTTGGCGTATTTTGAAATCTAAATGTGCCATATTGTAAAATACACGCAGCATAAAGCGCCTCATGTCAAGGAGAATTTACGCACTGCGCCGGGTGTGCGTTACCATGGTTTTTGAATTTGCTGTTACGGACACGCTATTTGCGTTATCAGATTAGATATAGTATCAGTTTACAGGTATTGTGTTCCGATTAAGTGTGATATATAACAATAAGTGATAGGATGAAAATTCTTCAATTGCCAGTCACAGTCCGGTTTATTTTTGATCATCCCTCGTATAACAAAATGTTTAGCTGAATAAAATATAAAAAGACTCTCTTTTTTATAAATTGAACGATACAGGAAAAACTATAGATATTTACAGAAATTTCCTTAAGCCGTGAGACTTATATTTATCGTTCGTTCGAATTGAAAGAAATTATAGTAAAATGTAAACTTATTTTGACTTCCGTATACACATTTATACCCTTGGATGAGCATAATGTCACTGAAGTAAACCGTTTCATAATGAACTAGAACTGCCACTATCATGGCGTGAATACCCCCGCATACCACTTTGTCAGAATCAACAGTGGCCATTTAGAGCTCAAGGACAACCTCCCTGCCAAATCTGAGGTTACTAAGCCAGTGCATTGCTAAGTTATGTATTCTACATGCTTCAAATGTGAAAATGTCAAAATCAATACATTGCAGACAGGACATTCTTTAGCAATTGAGAAGAAAAGCTTTTTGTTTGTCAAGGTCCCTGTGACCTTGACCTTTGACCCAGTGACCTCAAAATCAATAGGGGTCACCTTAAAGTCATGATCAACATCCATACCAAATATGAAGACTGTGGGTCAAAGGAATCTTAAGTTAATGGGTAGACAAACTTTTTGAAGTCAAGGCCCCTGTGACCTTGACCTTTGACCTGGTGACCTCAAAATCAATAGGGGTCATAAACTAATCATGACTAACCTCCATGCCAAATATGAAGACTAAGGGTCAAAGGAATCTTAAGTTATTGGGCGGACAAGCTTTTTGAAGTCAATGCCCCTGTGACCTTGACCTTTGACCTAGTGACCTCAAAATCTATAGGGGTCATCTACTAATCATGACTAACCTCCATGCCAAATATGAAGACTAAGGGTCAAAGGAATCTTAAGTTATTGGGCGGACAAGCTTTTTGAAGTAAAGGCCCCTGTGACCTTGACCTTTGGCCTAGTGACCTCAAAATCAATAGGGGTCATCCACTAATCATGACTAACCTCCATGCCAAATATGAAGACTAAGGGTCAAAGGAATCTTAAGTTATTGGGCGGACAAGAAAAAACCGACGGACGGACGGACAGCCGGACGGACAAGCTGATTCCAGTATACCCCCCTTACAACTTTGTTGTGCGGGGGTATAATTATTCTGGCAGAGATGTAGATGTTAACTATATGTCTCTGACTCTACCAAAATCGCCTTTCTGCAAGTTGACATTTAACAAGACATTCTAGTAATACATTATATTAAAAACTCAACATAATTACCGCTATTGTTTCAAATGACCCCGCTTTGTATAGCAAGCAGTAACTTAAACCACGGTTTGTAATCGTTCCGGGCTGATTTGGAATATTTAAAATCTTTCAATTTGTACATACTTGTTAAAAGTATAAAATGTCAAAAATCGTCTAAATAGTTGCATACGTTAATATATGAACATATGAAACTATTGGCAGATTTATAGTGTTGTCAAATGAAAACCGATCATTTTTCGGTATGAAATACACAGGAATTTGGATCTAGCTATATACTAAGTATAGCGATAGTACATTATGGATGGTTGTAACGTGCTTCTTAAGAAGGTATTAAGAAACCAGTTATGGTGGTTTTGAAGCGATACTCTTGGAGTAAGGAAAAATGGTGGTTTTAGCCAAATATATGAACGTGCAAATTAATTCAATTAATCTCTATTTAATACAAGAAAGTAGAGGACTTTCTTTTTGTATCGAAGAGTCATATAGCTCTTATTATCTTTGTCCAGATTTCAGGTCACTTAGCTTTAGTTTAGAAAAATAAAATAAGATGAAATTAAAAAACAGCTTTGAAATAACGTTTTCTAAATTTGATCTTGTTGAATCAACCCGTTGCCCGATCCTCTGGCAGCACGTTTCCACTTAGACAATCACATTGATTCTTATTTCTTTACCAATTTTATTGTTTTAGGGTTAGCTTTATTTTGGTTTAATTTCCTGGACATGTAGGAAGTTTCTGACCAATGATTCACCTACTGGTATCTTATATTTCTCTTGAAGTCAAGATAAAACACATTGGCTATACAAGATTAAAATTTCGTTAGAAGAATATCGTCTGCACCTTTTAAAGCAAACCAGAAAATAGAAGATGAGCCGCGTCATGACAAAACCAACATAATGGGTTTGCGACCAGCATGGATCCAGACAAGCCTGCGCATCCGCACAGTCTGATCAGGATCCATGCTGTTCGCTTACAACCCTATAACAAGTAGAGAAACTGATAGCGAATAGCATGGATACTGATTACAGTAGACTGCGCAGATGCGCAGGCTGGTCTGGATCAATGCTGGTCGCAAACCCATTATGTTGGTTTTGTCGTGACGCGGCTCAAATGTTGGTGTTTGAAGATAAACTGGACACTAATGTTCCGTGGTGATAGTTTTATCATGTATCATTTGATGAAAATAAGTAAAAAACTGAATTTTTCAGAGAGGATCACATGTTACTCTGGTCACTTTGGATTATTTTCAATCAATCATCCCAGTGCAAAAAATCCAAATCAGTTCAGGAACGGGAAATAATCCAAATCAACACAGAACGATTACGCACCGTTTTTCTTTAAACTTTATTTAGAATAAGATATTTTGGTTTCGTTTACTTACTGTGTTTTTTTTTTCGTTTTGGTAATAGCGTTGCACAGATTCGGCGTTACTTTTACGTTTTTTTTTCTCACAGTCCTGCGTTACTGGATATGCACGGTGTATAGGGGATTTCCATAGATAAGGTACATGTAATCAGCTTATCGTTACTAACGGTTCACAGTGGATTCAAGTCTCATATAAGAAAGCTATCTACAAAACTGTAAGACCCAATGGTTTTTCTTCTAAAAAATGCATAATTATGCACGCAGGGGAACTTTTCATACAAAAATTAAGTTTGAAATTTGTCATACCTGGGACAAAGAAAATAACCAGAAATAACCTAAACACTGTCTGTTTTGACTTGAGAAACTAAAAAGCACAAAAATACATGTAGATCTTTGATCACGCTTTTTAATCGTCCGTTTAGGTTTTGTATAGTTTAACGGCGCACCAACACAATTTCGGTCATTTGGCGCCAAAAAAGGAAAGATGAATTTGGTTTACCTCTGTTGTTACAAACTTTAAGCAACCACAAATGTCAAAACCACCTCACCTGCTAGGTCTAAGACACGCATAGACCTCTGGTATTCAAACCAAATTAGTCCTCTTACGATCACGCACGGATAAACGGTTTCTGCAATTCTGATGCCTCAATCCCTCAGCCACAAGGGGACTTTTTTTAAATTGCCAACAATTAAAATCCAACACCTAGCAATTATGTTTTGAATATTTATTTTATTATGCTGTTTACAATAAAGGATTGAGATACAATCTCATACAAAACGCCTTTTATGCAAGTGAATAATATCATACCCACAAAAACTCACACTTAACGAAAAAAAAACATATTAAAAAATGCCCCTTTTTTGGCGAGATTCAAAAATGCTCTTTTTTTAAAAGCAGATAAAATTCTTCTTTTTCACCAGATTATTCTTGTGAAGAGTCAAAAACACAGACCTTTTCTAAGGGAGATTAAAATTACAAATTGTACAAGCACTTCAAAACAATGCATCAAAATGGTTGACAATAAAAATTAAAACAGAATGATACATTTTGATAATAAGACCTGATAATGATAATTTACTCATTAAAAGCTACACATGTAGTGATAATAATAATAATATACATGTAGTTCTGAACATTCAACATTATTTCATGTTCGAAAGTTATCCATATAAATATTATAAATATTTGTATATTTTAAGTATCTTATTTTTACAGAAAATCCCATACTCTGAATCTCATATGTAGTGTACTAAAATAGCTAAACAAACTAAACACACAACAAAAACACTGAAAGCTATATTCCCTTTTTCCATAACACAAAACCAACACAAAAATGAAACTGCATGTAAAAAGTTTTAGACAAAAACACCCTGTAAGTTCACTTTTTTTTTTAAATAAATATTTTTATGAATTGCATTAGTTCTGATATTGTTTTTTTTAAATTCATTATACTGAGGTAAACATGAAAAATGCAAACATGAAAAATGCGGCCACAGAAGCTTTTCAACATTTATTGTTAAGGGAAACATGTGACAAGAATGCTTCAATATTTCTCAAATAATCATTTATGTTCTAAGAAAAAAACTAGAGATAAAAAAAAAACATTACTGAACAAACAGAATTTTATTCTCCACATAAATCATTATAGTGCAAATGTTGTTATTTTTTTTACAAAAAATAAAAACCTTGTGCTTAAAATACACATATTTCTTAAACTTTGCAGTCTTTTTTTGTATGTTTTATTTTATTCCACTAAAAATATATTGTGTCTTAATAAAAAATCTACATATTTGGAAACAAAACCGTTACTAATTACATGTAACTTTATTTAAAATAATCACTTTTATCAACTTATATCTATAACAATATCAATGACAAACAAGTAATACGATAAAAATAAAGCACTCCATCTAGTGTAAAATCAAAACAACATGTAACAAACCTTTCAACTTGCCAAGATTTATTTGAACTTGAAAATTTGTACTTCTTATAATGATAAAATAATGGCCATATCTTATAAGGTCAATGGAATTCACGGATCTGAAATATGGGGTGCGTCATATAAGCAGATAAGTTTTATAAGTGAGTATATAAGGCACAAAAAATCACTTTCTTCAAACTTCTAACAAAACGTTAATGTGATAAGCTTTAAGCTTACAATAAATAAAAAGATTTTAAAAAAATGTCCAGCAAATTGAGATTCTCATCTTATCTTTGGAACATCATAAATACAATATCTTTATAATTGCAGTTATAATCTTGAATTGATGTAAAAATTCTAATAACAAGTATTAAACTATTACACTTATGACTACTGAGATTCTTTTGCATAATATATTCAACAAAAATTAAAAAAAAAACAACATCATGTGCCATTTCGGCATAATTTTTATATTATTAATCCATTTCCTGTTTAACATCATTGTTATATAGTAAATGGAAAAGAAGTATAAATATAGAGTAAAATTTAACGTGATTATCTAAATGGAGGCATTTCAACCCCTAAGAAGTAATAAGAATAAAAACAGTCTGTTAAATAATTTACATAAATTCATGAAAATTACACAATTCCATGAAAATTACACAATTCCATGTAAATTACACAATTCCATGTAAATTACACAATTCCATGTAAATTACACAATTCCATGTAAATTACATAATTCCATGTTAATTATTTTACAGACTGTTTTATGATGAGATAGTATTTATATCCATCACTAAAAATACTGAAAAAAAAATACTGAAAAATATGCTGTTATAATTAAGCTCTAAATAACTGTCCGGTAATTTAACCCATAGCCCTTCTATACAAAATCAATATCAATGTCTACATCTTGAAATTTTCTTTTTCAACATTTTTCATTTTCACATCAAATCTAAAAAGCCAGTAAAAGGCCCATATTACTTACAAACTAGCTTTGAAAAAGCATGAAAGTCTGTCAACCTCCTCCCCTTCCAAACAAAAAATAACATTGGATAGCACATAGCTCACTGCAAAACTGTTACAATATTCCAAAAATAAACCAGGTGGTTTTAAAACAGAAACAATCTTCTTAGGTTCTATAATAGTACATACAAGCTGCATTAAAATCACTTGAACCCATCATTGAACCTTTAAGCCTCCAAATGCATACAACGTGGCAATGACTTTTTTCTTTGCATAAATATGTAGACAAATAGCTGTTTAAAGAAATTGTAATATCGATTACACCATTTAAAGCAGCATGCCTCCTGACATATTTAAAAGTAAAATTTTGTGAAGTGAAGAAGGAAAGTAACTTACACATTGCAAACAGCACTTACAATAAACGTTAATTACCAAAAAGAGGTAAAAAAGGCAACAATAGCCCCTACTAAACAGTACAATGTAAAAGTGCAAATACTGACCACTATAATGTATTTTCATCACAATACTGTAGCATGAGAATTATTTAATCATTACCATAACAACAAAAACAAAAATATCAAATCTTAAACAACACTTTTAACAAAAGCATTGCATGCAGTGTTAACACATATCTTCTAAGGTAAAGAAGGGCATAACCCAAAAAATATTGCTTTCAGAATAATTCCCCTTGTCCAACAAATGCACCTTGTGATGATAAGCAAGTGTTTCATGTTGATAACTTTGCAAATGTTTGAATAATGAGCTACATTAAAGTTTTTGTCGGCAACACCACAACAATTATAATAGCTTGACTTTTTCTCCGAAACAGACCAGATAATGAAATGAGCTGTGTCATGACAAAACCAACATAGTGTGTTTGCGACTAGCATGGATCCAGACAAGCATGCGCATCCCCGCAGTCTGATCAGGATCCATGCTGTTCACTTACCAACTCTATACAAGTGGAGCAATTGATAGCGAACAACATGGATCCTGATCAGACTGCGCAGAGGTGCATGCTGGTCTGGATCCATGCTGTTCGCAATCACACTATGTTGGTTTTGTCGTGATGCCGCTCAAATGAATATAAAACATGGAAAAAAACCTTCATCATTATGCATGATTATCACTCTAGATATGTGTATTATGCCAAAAACTCATGGATAAAAATAAAAATGTTGATTACACAGTAACCAATTTAACATTATCACTATCATAATGTTCCTTTCAATTTTTGTAATGATATATTTTTTCTCTTATTTCAAATTTCTTCAACAATCGCTCACACCTCACTATTTTTAGATTTACATGGAACGGATTGTAGAACTGATGATTTCAATACACTCATTTAATTGGCTGTCGTTGATGACAAGGGGCGGAGCAAATCTGATGATGTCACCATGGGTGGGCTTGGCTAGCAGACCATTTAACAGCAGCTTCTTGCAAACTTTACCAGCATCAATTTCTGTAAGAAAACATAATAAATAATTTTTTTTTTTTGTAATTCTTTTCGAAAATTATATATGCTATTCAAAATAATTACATCTAATTGTATGAAACAGTATTAGATGTATTATTTAATTATAATATTATAACGTTTCTTTTACGTGCCAAATGTGGCGTTTATTAAAGTAGTCGTCTGTTTGGTACGTTTACGTCATTTCTTTTATATATCAACTGACGAAGCTTATAAAGTGAAACATGTATTGATATTTAAAATTTTGTTGGTTTTGATGTATTTGTCCTCTGTAAGAAAAATTACAGGTACATGTACCAAGATAAAAAAGACCCCCCATAAATGTAAATACTTGAATCGATCTAGTTTATTAAAAGCATTGTTTTAATTTTATTTTTTACACAGGACAAGTAGATGGACACACTCATATTTGCTAGAAATTCCCTATTTTTCCCAATATGGTGTCAATTATCATTCCTTGTTTGTCTGTTCAATTTTCTCATTTTTTCTTACACTTAGAGTCTACCTATTTTAACGACTCAAAATAAATTCCTAATTTTGTGGATACAGACCAAATCCAATGAAGTTGAAAAAAAAATCAAATAAAGATGACAATACAACATTAAATTAAGCACATTTCTTCATGGATTTGAATTTTGTAAAATTACCAAAATATCTATCTAAAATTTGGCAACCAGAAATTACTGAAGCAGCAAGCCCAAGTAAAGAGATGATAAAATCAAAACAATTATCAGACCTGGATCTATAACAATGGCATTCAGTAAACCCTTCCCTCGGACCAACTTCACCCTATCTTTGGGGAGCTCATTCAATTCCTTTCTTAACACCTGGCCAAGTCGCTCTGCATTCTCTGCCAGCTTCTCCTCCTCTAGGACCTACAAACAAAATCAAACAATACATTTGAGCCACGTCATGACAAAACCACGTAATGCATTTGCGACCAGCATGGATCCAGACCAGCCTGCACATCCGCGCAGTCTGATCAGGATCCCTGCTGTTCGCTATCAGTTTCTCTACTTGTAATAGGGTTGGTAAGCAAACAGCATGGATCCTGATCAGACTGCCCATATTTTGGTTTTGTCATGACGTGGCTCATTTGTAATTATATTATTATAGGAAAATGTCTATTTGGGTTATACAGAATTTATTTTAGTAGGATTGTGTAGGAAGATATAAGCTTATAGACATACTTTCGAATCCGTTCCTGGAAACCAACCAGTACTGAGCAATGAGTGTAAAGTTTCTTGCTCAAGGAAACAATGACTATTCCCTTACTGGGTTTGAACTCATGTGGCTAGAGATCATTAGATTACTTCGCAGTAATTTTCCCCTGACAGGGTTTGAACTCATGTGGCTAGAGATCATTAAATTACTAGTGCGAGGCGTAAACCACTCGGCCATGGCGTCACATGTGTCAACTTAAATGCAGCATGCTTCCATGCTTACTTTCATGAAGAGAAAAAAGGAGTAATTCACACAATGCAAATGGCACTTTCAATCCACAAACATGACCAAACAAGAGGGCCATGATGTCCCTGAGGTCGCTCACCTGTATATAGGCCCCTGGAGCGGGGCTAGTTTAAACCCCAGGGCTTTTATTTGAACAAACATGAAAGACACCCATTAGAAGATTTTCATGATGTTAACCAATTTTGAACCCAGGGCTTTTATTTGAACAAACTTGGTAGACACCCATTAGAACATGTTTCATGCTAAATATCTTAGCTCTAGCTCTTTGAGTTCTTTTTTAAAGATTTTTTAAAGTTTTGACTATATGCATATAGGGAAAATCAATGACCCACTGGGGCGGGGCCATTTTGACCCCAGGGCTTTTATTTGAACAAACTTGGTAGACACTCATTAGAAGATGTTTCATGCTAAATATCTAAGCTCTAGCTCTTTGGGGTCTTTAAAAGAAGATTTTTTAAGTTTTTACTATATGCATATAGGGAAAATCAATGACCCCCTGGGGCGGGGCCAATTTTGACCCCAGGGCTTTTATTTGAACAAACTTGGTAGACATTCACTAGAGAATGTTTCATGCCAAATATCTAAGCTTTAGCTAGGTTTTTTAAAAGAAGATACTTAAAGTTTTTTCATTTGGTTGCCATGGCATGGAGTTCTGCATGGAATTAAATTCTTTGAACACTTTTTAAAGGTGACCACCAAAGGAACATTCCTGTGAAGTTTGGATGAAATTGGCGTAGTGGTTTATGAGGATAGGTCATATAAAGCAAAAGTTTACGAACGACAGACGGACAAAAAGCGATCACAAAAGCTCACCCTGTCACTTTTTGACAGGTGAGCTATTAAGAGGTCAAAAAATGCAAAAATAGCCAGTACTGCATTAGTCATGAAATAGATATGTGATAGATAATAAATACTGCAAAATCAGTAATTAATCACACATAACGTCTCAATTATTACTTGAATCTTGATTTTTATTTTTTTTCTTCTTAAAATCTTGGAACATTTTTCAAGTTTTATTTTCTTGAAATAAATTGGGTCACTTGGTGGCATGCAGCTTTAAATGACTCATACTCTACACAGGCTTTATCACAACTTGGATATCTAAAGTTATCTGTATATACAGTACGCTCACCGCGGGTTTTGCTTTTTCAGCGATACCACCGCGGACGATTTTCTTTTATCGCGGACAAACGCGGGGGTTCGTCCGCGATGAGAAGCCTAATTTCCCCGCGATCCCCGGTGTTCAGTTGTTTCCATCGCGGACAAAATTCTGACGACTGTTCTTCATTTATCGATAAAATCAGTCACCCGTTTCCCGCGGGGGAACGCCATGGTCAGTTGGTCAGTATAAATTAACCTCCAAAAATAATAGACGTTTGATTATTTTTTAACGTCATCTTTTTTGCACAATGACTTGAAAATTGACCACAATCGTCACCTTAAATGTTATTATACGTTAAATTATTTGAACGGAATTTGAAATAAAAATAATTAGAGCTGTACCTGTTTTTGTTGTTGTTTTTAATATTTTTGTTATAAACGTCCACAAAACTATTCGTCCACATACCAATATTTTTACAACTGAAATCGTCATTTATCACTGTCATCTTTACTTGTTCATTCCTTGTGGTTCTATAAGTATTATTGCTGTTAAACTATATGGGAGCCATAAATATGATACTTAGTAAAAACAGGGATATTTGTGCTGATTTCTCAATGATGACTGACGCTACAGTACATGTCTTATAAGAGGTCGATGAGTGTGAATACAAGACAGGACATTAATAAAATACATGTACATATATTAGAAATAAAAGAGTTACATCGCTCTTTATATAAATTAATTGTGAGTTACATCGCTCTTTATATAAAAAAAGTTTAAAAAGGTCGTATAATGTAAACTTAAAAATGGTTAAAGTGACACATTTTGATAAACTTGAAATTGTACGGCTGTACACAAGTGGTTTGAAAAATATTCAAATTCAGAGGAATTAAGAGTCTAAAGGAGTTTCTTTATCCAGACAAAACATTAACTATTGGATTCGCCAGTATCTTAGAAAATAACTGCCATGTGCTCGTTTGCCTTATATACATGTATGTACATGTATGTACATGCATACTGTTCATAATAAAATAACAAAAGTATAACGTCAAGTTTAACAAAATTCTGCAAAAAAAATCTTTAAAAAAAATAAAAAGAACAAGCAAACAAACTACTAAAACAAAAATGAAAATAAACTTCAACAGTTGATACAAACTTCAAAACATATACATTACGCTCACATCTGTAATTAGATAAATCAAAATATCATTTAATGTATACATGTATTTTGGTGAAATAAACACTTTCTTTTAATGTTCCAAATAAAATATAAGACTTTATGATCAACATGCAAATAAACAGAAACAGTAAAACGCATCTGACAATTGAAAGAGACGTCCTGGAGTATTGCCTGAATAAAATTGTTGAGGGTTACGTTTTCAAAGTTTTTAAATAAGAAACAAAAGCTGGCATATTAATTGTTGTAGTATCTTTTCATAAATGTCATATGCCGAATTTTTCATTATTTGACTTCAAGTTTCTCACTACCATGAAGTTGCGACGACAATGATTTATCTTGATGTCGAATACATATTATATATTACCCAACACAATAACAAGAAGAAGAACAAGAAAAATTCTGCATTTGTACATGTACTTTTATTACAACAAAAAAGAAAGAAAACAAACAAATTTTACATATAGTTACATGTATATGTACAGTACATGTTACAGTACATGCACGTACGTATACTGATGTTTAAATACAGAAATTAATTTTTAAAATTTAAGGTTTCCACCGCGTTGACCAGTGTTTGACCGCCGCGTTCCTCCGCAATTTACCACTGCGTTCCGTGGGGGAAACGGTTTCAGCCGCCGATTTATGTCCGCGGTGGTGAAAATTTTCTGTCCGCGGGGTCACGCGGACAATATCTGAGCAAATTTTCGTCCGCGGTAAACCTCATCCGCGGGGTCACGCGGGTTTTGAAAAAGTCGCGCTGAGCGTACTGTAGACATGGTAATCGGGAAGTATATGCTTAATTGACTATAAATTTTTCTGCTTTAAATTGGCTTTTAAATCTAAAACTAGAACTATCACTAAATGTGATTAATACCCCCAAAAGACTGCTTCGGATATGTTACTAGTAACAGAATACCTTGTAAAAGAATTGAAATATAGAGTTATGGTTGTGGGCAATTAAAGATAGTTGTGGTTCTTGTATGTTGCATTTCCTTTCAATGTGGTTGGCCATTGATGAAGTTTAATTGAATTACTCTGTAATAAGTCCAGAAAGACAAAGAAAAGAAACAAAGGGCAATAACTCTATAAATACTGAAGATAGTGATAGTTCCATGATGGCATTTTCTTAAAATCTTAGCATGAATTTCTGTATAAATTCTATATATTTTGGGTTTGAAGCATAAAAAAATCTATATACAAGTATGTTGAACGAAATTTAGACCCCGACAGAATAGCCGAGTAGTTTTAAAACAAGTAATGTGACTTGAACAAACCCTGGAAGTTACAATAACAGATATTGTGGATATTGTATATGTAATTCATTTAACACATTCATGAACGTTTCAAGAGTTCACTGTGACAACTTTTGTGAAATTTTAAGCTCTAACCTGACCCATCCGGGTCTAGTTGGGAAAACGACATTTTATTCTTTATAAGAAGAAAAGTTTTTCTTTTGTGACTGACTAGTGTATTCATTTTGAGGCCATTTACAGAATAATGAATGAAAAAAAAAATTAAAACAAAGAAATGAAAACTTTGCCTGTGTCTCCCTTTAAAACGATGAGCACAGAACATACTACTAACGACTGTGTACTTATGATTAAAAATTTAGCAAAAGATTTTTAGTGAAATGCATGATGATACACATGTATTGTAAAATTGGCAAATTTGATCAAGTTCCCAACTCTGCAACCATGGTGGATACTTAATCATGAGGAAGATTTCACTTCTCAGCCTCCACATAATCTATAAACAAATTTTTACCTTGAGTGACTCCATGGCTACACAACAAGCCAGTGGATTACCACCATAGGTTGAACCATGCTCTCCTGGACGTATGGTCATCATAACCTCATTGTTGGCTAGAACTGCCGATACCTATGGAATAATTACATGTAAAAAAATCTGGAAACAAAGTGATCCCTCGGAAGCATTAATCACAATAAAATTACAAGAGAATTGCAGACTCGGTTTGATTGAGTCTGTACATGAGGGATAATGAATACATGCAACATCCCTAACGCCCGCCTAGCACCGGCTTGAGCGGTACTCAATTCTCAACACTTAATAGTGCTGGCATCAATGATCCAGACGGACCAGACAAATATAACAACACTGAAGTGAAGTATGGGGCAACTTTTTACAGCTGCCACACAGCACTTGACACCTGCTGTTGTGAAGTATAGAAATCTGGGAACAAAGTGATTCTTGGATGAGCATTTATCACAACAAAATAACAAGATAACTGATTACTGTGTAACATGCTGGTCGCAAACCCATTATGTTAGTTTTGTCGTGACGCGGCTCAAATAGTTTGATATTTGGAAAGACAATATAAGCCTGCTCAATTATTCTCAGTGCCTGATAGTAAAGCAAGAGCCTGGATGATGATAATAAAGAATTTTCTAAGTTCAAAAAGGGTCATAATTTTGTTCAAAATCTGTGTTGGACAGTGACCTCCTATTATGCTCTCAAATAAGTTTGGGAAATTTCAACCCATTCCCTGCAGAAGTACATTCAAAACCTTAACCTAAGTGTGACAGTGATGCCGATGCAGACACCAACAGAATAGCTCTACCTTTTCTTTAAACTACATTGTACACTTCTTTAACCTTAATTTGAGAAAATAGAAGTAAAAATTTCCTAAACAAACAGTGTAGAGCCTTGCGGGGCTTCATAGGGGTACACACTGGTCCGACTCAATACTGATGGTAAACTTTAAGTCAAAATGTTTTAATTCACTTACTGGTAATACTCCACCGGACAATGCTTTACCAAGGATAAGTAAATCTGGCTTCACATTCTCATGGTCTACAGCCAATCTCCTACAATACAATATTATGTTAAAATTAACAAAGCACAACAATATGTGATTTTTTTTAAGTATCCTTTTACAGACTAAGGGGAGCAGTGGCCTAGTGGTTAAAGTGTCCACCTCTCAACCGAGTGATTGTGGTTTCTTGCCCAGTGATTGCGGTTTCTTGACAAGGGATTGTGGCTTCGAGCCCAGTGATTATGGCTTCGAAGCCCAGGGATTGTGGTTTCGAGCCCAGGGAATGTGGTTTCTTGCCCAGGGATTGTGGTTTCTTGCCCTGGGATTGTGGTTTCTTGCCCTGGGATTGTGGCTTTGAGCCCAGGGATTGTGGTTTCAAGCCCAGGGAATGTGGTTTCTTGCCCAGGTATTGTGGTTTCTTGCCCTGGGATTGTGGTTTCTTGCCCAGGGATTGTGGTTTCTTGCCAAGGGATTGTGGCTTCGAGCCCAGGGATTGTGGTTTCAAGCCCAGGGATTGTGGTTTCAAGCCCAGGGATTGTGGTTTCTTGCCCAGGGATTGTGGTTTCTTAACCAAGGGATTGTGGCTTCGAGTCCAGGGATTGTGGTTTCGAGCCCAGGGATTGCGTTTTCAGTCCAGGGATTGTGGTTTTGAGACCAAGGATTGTTTGTCAACAGTACTGGTTAGTTCCAGGAACCAAATTGGAAAATAACTAAAATACATTGCAAGAACGTGATTCAGAAACAAGCTAAAATACATTGGTTTCAGTTACCTGCCAGTTCTGGCGAGTCCAGTTTGAACCTCATCCGCTATCCAGAGCACATTGTATTTGGTACAGAGATCTCTCACCCCCTTCAGGTACCCATCATGAGGTACCACTACCCCTGCTTCTCCCTGTATGGGCTCGACCATATATGCACACACATTCGGGTCTTTTAACTTTTGCTGTAGAACAAATTTATTTACTTTGTTTATAAACAAGTCTTTTAATAAACAAGTCACACAAAGATATTTAGTATAATTATATACCTATAGATATTTTTCTATATTACATGTATTACATGCACAAACACGACCAGAAAGATAGAACTTGGTATTACATAATTTTATATTGCATATGAATGAGTGTATCCCAAATTTGTTTGTTTTTCAATTTAGACTAATTTAGCACATTTTTTAAGTAATATCTCTGTGGTCTATCAACCTAACTGGCTTTTGTGGATAACTTACCAGTTATTACAATTTTCTCTGCAAGTGACCAACAACCAATTAAATAAGATTTCTGTATTATTGCCATTTATTGGTAAGACAAATGACAACCAGACTCAACAGTGTCGGTACGTGAAACGGTGCAGATTTTCCGTGATACGGGGCTTCCATCCAATATGGAGGAAGGTAAACAACAAGAAGGTACGTTTCTTTTTATTTCTATGTATTTAGACAAATCCATTTTATATTGTAAAAGAAGAATATTTGCATGTAACGTAAAAAAATTCACTATAAGATCAATAAGTTCATAATGTATGTTACATATGATATATGTGACTTTTTACAAAAAAAACTTTTGTAAACAAATGCACATGAAATTTGAACCGAGAGAAGTGGTAAATTTTTTAGTCAATCTCCGTACAAGAGACACCTATATTGAAGTGAACACTCTTGTTTATTACAGTAAATGTATAAAATCATCTGTGCAATTTAAACACTTATTCTGTCAATTTGTTTTGTCAAAATTTGTCTACTTTCTGTTTCGTCATGATAACGGTGCAGACACTAAGAAACGGTTACGGAAAGTCCGCACCGTATGACGGAAAATCTGCACCATTTCACGTACCCGACAGTGCTCAATGTCCGAGGAGAAATAAAGCCTCACTGGAGGATAGAACCAGTGACACCGGGAGCATTATGCTGCTTAAATGAATGCTATACTTTACAGCTGAATATATTGTTTATATGCAAGGATTTTGCAAAAATGAATTTTAGGATTATCTGCCCTTTTGAAATGTTGTCATATTTTAATAGTGAACATTTTTAGTTTTAAGTGAAAGCTTTTATAGTATCTGATAAAATGGATCTTTATGAAAAGGTTAACAATGCCAACAAGAGGGTCATGACAATAACTCTCCTTTTTTTCTTCGAAAAGTGGAATTGAGCAAGGTGTATATCTCATAAGGAATCACTTTAGTGTTAATCTACAATTATGCGATTACAACATATGTAGGACTTAATTTCTTAAACAAATATGTTATAGTTATATTACATTACAAAAGAGCAATACCATGCTATAATGATAAATACATCATTTGTACTACCTCTAAAGCATTAAGATCATTGTATGGAACCATGTCGAAGCCTGGCATGTAGGGTCCGTAATCCTCGTATGCGGAGGGATCTGTGGAGGAGGAAACAGCAGCAAGGGTTCGACCCCAAAAATTACCCTCTGCAAATATGATCTTGGCTTGATTCTTAGGAACGCCTTTCACCTTATAAGCCCATTTTCTAGCCAGCTTACAGGCAGTCTCACCACCTTCAACGCCTGAAATAAATCACTGTATTATCAAACTATCCACAAACTTAATAATTTTTAGAGATGTGACACAGATGTATTATCAAGTTTTCTTTTCAAGCTGTCATGACTATAAGCAAAGTAAAAATTTCTGTGAAAGTATCTTTGTTATTTTCTAAACAATATTTTGACTATCAAAAGCATAGTAGAAATATTCATATGATAAAAATGTGTTTGAATCTAGAGTCATGCTACTTTAAAACATCATGTACGAATGGTATTAAAAATTCACTATTTTGTAGTTGGTAGGTGTTTTTTTTTTCATTATAAAGGAACATGAACCAACCCCTAGAATTGGGAATTTTTGCCACATTTTTGACAAAATTGGGAAAACTTAAGCGGTATTATATTTATATAAAATACACTGTACTACATAATATTATATTATATAAAATAAAACAAAGAAATCAAATACAAGTATTAATTTGTTCATTCAACTCCTTTTACATTTCTACTATAATGTCATTTCAAAATTAAGAATGGATTAAACAATTAAAATTTTGCTGTTGTACAGTGCATCTGTCACAAAACTTCATTGTCTCTCCTCCTCCCCCTCCTTAAATTAGAAAATTGACATTGGGGAAAAAAAACACCTTTTTTGGGGGTCTTCGTATCATGACCTAATATTGGTCTTTAAAGTAGGCCAATTGAAACCCTGTAGTGAGCACCTAAGTAAATCTACTAATCTCTCATAAGCTAGCTAGGGGGGGGGGGGGGGGGAGGAGTAGTTTATTGTCATCCTCACAATTGTATGGTGTTGAATGAATTAAAGTGCACATACCTGTATTCATGGGTAAAACTTTATCATAGCCAAATAAATTGGTGATATATTGTTCATATTCTCCCAAGCGGTCATTGTAGAATGCCCTCGAGGTCAACGTCAGTTTGGAGGCTTGATCAACTAGAGCCTGTATAAAAACAAATTAAAATTTGTAAATGAAAAAACAAAATTTGTAAATGAGAAAACAAAATCTGTAAACAAGAAAACAAACTTATCCAGGTAATTGCATTGATTGGCAACCAATATAAAGCAAGGGCCATCATCTATAACCATACATTCTGACATACATGCCATAATTTTTGGACAGCTTTCCGGGACACTTTTCATCGCGGCAATAATGGATGTGTAGGCAGTTGTGGAAAAGGGGGGGGGGTGTCAATCGTATAACGTTTTTAAATTAGGACGACTTTCTCCTGAATTTTAATGATAAACAATTAACTTACTAGTTTTATAAGTTGTCTTTTAGGTCGACATATTTATCATTTTAAAAGTATTTCTTTATTTAATTTATTATTCCCTAAAAGCAAGTAAGTTGTAAGTTATAAACCCGGTGAATGGGCGCAGCCATGTTGTTCACCCGTTATATCTTAAAGATATACTATGCTCAAATTTGATGTCCGAAAATATTGATAATTGCTACACAGTCTCTTTGTAAATATAAAATAAAGATGTTCTGACTTCACAGAAAGTAGATGTGTGATATTTAAAACTCTACACACTATGGGTGGTCACAATATAAATATATAGTGTCGTTAAAAAAACTGGCAGTTTTTATAAGAAAAGACCAACTTTACCTGTCTAATAATAGGGGACGTGGCTTCCAATACATAGTAAATTCATTTGTTTATTCAAATTAGATATATTCAGTAAGGATTTCATAGGTTTTAACAAATTTCTTTGTTTAAAGTACATTACTCAAATATGAGCATAGTATATCTTTAAAGTCATGATAATTACTACATGTCACGTAATGCAATTCTTCCAGTCATAAAAACAAACACAGCAAGGTGATTTATTTGACACCTTTAATTTTTTTATTTGATAGATATATTTACATTGTTTATAATAATTAGACTTTCCGCAAGTTAGCGATTGATCTAAAAATTAATGATTATCGGGGATTAACGTTAATTGTTAAGGGCCTTAAACAATTAATTAACCCGACCATTAAACGCTGCCGAATTCAACAGAGAATGTTAATTGCCGATGCATGAAGAATCTATTGCCGAGGGGAATCGACAGTCGATAATTGGGGGGCTGTATATTGTAAACTTGTTAGTGTCAACGTTCCTGTGTATTATGTGTACCAGGTCAGATTATGTTTTACGATCTAGAGGTGAAATGTGCGAGATTTGATTTAAGAAAATTTATGAAAATTTTGCAAAATATCATGATTTTTTTTTCCGTGATCAAATCGATGCCCGGGACATCTCCGGGACAGACATCCGATTTCCGGGACAATCCCGGGCATCCGGGACGTTATGGCATGTATGCATTCTGACAAAGCTCTATTATTAAGATAAAATGAAGAAATGCGACACCAGTGCAGGTTTTATAATTCTATAATCTGTCTGTTTTGGTTCTAAAGAACCTTCATCAGGATAAACATTTTACAAAATTTTCAAGCTAAAGTATACAAAATGTGGACGTCTTTTATGTTACTAAAAATAGAAAAAACCTGGCATTGTGCCAAGAACATTTTTTTTTTTTTTTAATTTGTTGAGTAAGAAATTGTCCTGCACCCAATTGTATAAACGTTGGTTAAATTAACCCTGGGTTAAACGCTAACCATGGGTTAAATTTAACCAACTTGTTGTTATTATTCTGTAGTTTTAAAGATTCCATATATAGAAGAGATAGCTATAATTTATTTATTTCTGTGTAGGCTTCTATTTATATTTCCTTCTGAATCGTTTATTATTTTGACTCTATATTGTTCAATCTAAGCATTCAAAAACATGTAATGAAATCCCTTCATGTAATAATGGACGGTAAATTAAAAGTAGGACAGACCTAGAATAATAAACTCGAGGGATGAATATTTTTTTGGTTAGATTATTTTAACCCTTAACCTGTTACATGTATCCAAATCTACTCATGCAACAAGTGTAGACTGTGATCAACTGGGATGGATGTTTATAAATGAGCCGCGTCATGAAAAAACCAACATAATGGGTTTGCGACCAGCATGGATCCAGATCAGCCTGCGCATCCACGCAGTCTGATCAGGATCCATGCTGTTCGCTTTCAGTTTCTCTACTTGTTAAAGGGTTTGTAAGCTAACAGCATGGTTCCTGATCAGACTGTGCGGATGTGCAGGTTCAGGTCTGGATCCATGCTGGTCGCAAACCCATTATGTTGGTTTTGTCTTGGCGCGACTCAAATCATACATATGAACTTGAGGCATATATGAATCCAGACCATGGCAAAGTTGGTATAGGATATACCGGAAGTTGTTTCAAAGGTCATTTAGACTTCTAGTTGAAACTTATTAAACTTCAAAGGGTCATTGAAAATCAAACTTGTGAAAAATGTAATACGATATTAATTTATGAAAATTAATGTAAAAATATATAAGACATGTTATGTGAAATTTAAGACTCGATTTTGCAGTCTTTATCACCATATATTGACTGCATGACTGCTGCAGTTGAAGCTTTTTTGTGCGAGTATTTTGACCTCTTTTTCAATTTGGTAATTTACATGCTTTGTAAGTATTGTTAGCAATGTGTACCTTACTTTTTTTGTTCACTTTACAATATTTTACTTGTAGATACATTATTAAAATTTTCATGAAAATTACAATGAAAATGAAGGCATGCTGCTTTAATTTTTCATAAATGATACTGAAATCCCTTAAACATTAAATGGACTATTCCAATTCAAGCTGGGCAAATCCATTGAAGAAATTCAACAGGTTAAGGGTTAAGACGGCCTTGTCCCAATTTATTACGGAAATTTTTTTGCAAATTTATCCACTCAAAAAGACAGGTTTTAATTTTAATCAACTGTTAGAATCGTTTTGACAAGATTTACCGTTAAAATCCATTATGCAAGGAGATAAACACTGGTTTGAATTCTTTTGAAATCTTTAATCAGATAATGATACAAGTACACAAGAAGTAGAACACTTTTGACCTTGTAACGGGACATATTTGTCGATTTACACCGCAAAATATAATATTTCATCAACCGTGAAAAGAGCTGGCTCTAACAAAAACAATCTTTACAACAGTTTTTCTCATCGGTTAACAATAATGCAAATTAACTCTACTGTACCCTTCATACAAAAAAAGAGATCAAATTTCATCCAACTTAAATAAAAAAGAAAAAATTCAACAAAAATACTTGAAAAAACAAAAATTCACAAGTTGCATTTTTATAAAAACTTTAAAAATGGTATCTTCTTTATAGTAAAATATAAATTTTATTGAAACGGGATCATGTTTCCTGTCCCAAACTGAAATAAGCTGAGCAAAAGAGAGAAGACTGAAATAAGCTGAGCAAAAGAGAGAAGACTGAAATAAGCTGAGCAAAAGAGAGAAGACTGAAATAAGTTGAGCAAAAGAGAGCAGACTGAAATAAGCTGAGCAAAAGAGAGAAGACTGAAATAAGTTGAGCAAGAGAGAAGACTGAAATAAGCTGAGCAAAAGAAAGAAGACTGAAATAAGCTGAGCAAAAGAGAGAAGACTGAAATAAGCTGAGCAAAAGAGAGATGAGCAAAAAGAGAGAAAAATTGTAGTTATGTGTTTCATGAAAGACTCAATCTATTTTATAACCATTTTGTGATTTAGATTTAAAAATAATCAAATTTTCATATGAAACTGAATCAAAGAGGTTCATAACAGTTTGAGGGGACACAACTTCCAAGTGTTTATGTATGTTATTATTACTTAAATTGAACTGTTTCTGAAAGACAAATTGAACAGTTTTGAGTTACTGAAAGATTACGTAGAAGTAAAAATTAAAATGAAAAAAACAAAAATCAGTGTTTAATCTCTTAAAATAATTTTTAGAAGTTGTAAAAAAGTAACAGTTGTATAAATCAAAGTTTTTCTTGTCAAATGTGACATGAACTACACAGAAAAGTTAACCTTTGTTAAATTAACTAAACAATATTTTGGGGGGAGATTGTATGATTATAAAACCAATGTTTCCTCTAAAACAAAATATAGACATTATTATTGTTATCTTTACTGGGTGATGCATCATTTATCTGTATACAGTATATAATAAATGTATACTACGATGTGTGTAATTTTTTTATTACTTACAAGGGCGTAAGCTAATTGTCATTTTTTAAGACAAACGCTCAGTTTTGGGAGTATGTACCCCTTAAATCAATAACATTACCTGTCGGGACATAATAAAACACCTGACATTAATTATTAAAATATACCTTGTACTAATGATTAAATTACCTTAAAAATGATCCTTTAGGATGACAGTGACCTTGGGATTTTACTTGCACTATTACGGCACTGAGGAAATTCAAAGTACTTATTAAAACCAAATCCACGTCCCAGACAAAACATATCTCCTTGTAAAAATGAAAAAAAAAATATTATGTAAGTAAAATATACTACTTTTGTGTCCACGGAAATTAAGAATTTCAATACCAAAACTCGAAACTGAATAAACCCCAACAGTAAAGGGGAGCCTGGTCAGAAAACTGCATGGAAGTACAGACCTGGCCTGGCCCTCTAACACTGGATGGTAAAAGGATCATACATCTAAAACTTAAAAATCCAAAACCGCTGAAAAAATGATGAAACTTTGCTACCCTTTCTTTCCAGGTTTACCCGCAGGCATCCAAGTAGCTAGCTAAATACTTTTGAGGCTAGAATATAAATTCCCCATATGGATTTGAACCCAAAGTGGTAAAGAGTAAGTTAATCAAAGTTATGACCTTAACCTTCTTTACATTAAGCTGACTCTTGTTTTCTTACCTTCGCCTTTGTTCAAGGCCACTCCAAGTGGGGCATAATTGTGAGCTCCAAATTTATCCTCCCTCTCAAATATGGCCTCCGATTTCTTCCCGATTTTTGCTGGTTGCACGGAAGATGCACATCTCACTGCATTCTGGGATATTTTCTGGCATGATGCCAACACTGGTCTATAAAGTCTACTCAACATGATTAAGAATTAAAAATTTCAGTATGTAAGGTATGTCATCATTTTTTCAACTCAAGAGGTGGTTTAAAAAACAAGTCCAATGCTTTCTTCTTAAGCAATCAAAAAGAGCTTAAAATAGATAATTGTTAAAAACTAAAAAACATTGTAATGTATAAAAACCTGTAAAAGAGAAAAGGACCTAATTTATTAAACGTAAATAAATCAAAATTGATATAACAAATTCATAAAAAAGAAAAGAAAAATTTTAAAAAAACAAATCAATTTGTGGATCCAAGACTTTTTTTTTACCAGGGGTGTTCATAAAATAAATTCTGTGAAGGAGAAATACATATTCCAGACAGAGGAGGTTTTTGGCAATATTCTTTTGAAGCTAGAATTGTTTAATTTCAACGTCAATTACAGGACTAATCAAAAGTATTGGCATCAATACAAGGAAACAAAGACTGTGGTTAAAAAGGGAAAGGCTCTTGTTCAACTAAAAAATAGGTCAATAAAGTCTAAACATGCCTGGGGAATGAAAAGTGATTATTAGTAATTTGTCACAACAAATATAGAACCAGGTCTAGCCCCGGTAACAAACAAGTGAAGTCTGGTCCAGGCTCTAAAATTAATCATCCCTACATTTTTTGAGCCCGCGCCATGAAACAAAAAACCAACATTAATGGGTTTGCAAAAACCAGCATGGATGCCAGAACCCAGCCTGTGCATTCCGCACAGTCTGATCAGGATCCAAATGCTGTTCGCCTTAAAACCCTAATAAGCAAGTAGAGAAACTGTGTAAACAGCAATGGATCCTGAATCAGACTGCGCGGAAATGGCGCAGGCTGGTCTGGAATCCATGCTGGTCGCAAACCGACACTATGTTGGTTTTTGGTCGTGAACGCCGGCTCATTTATTTCAAAAAAATTTCAAAGTCTAATTAAAACAAAGTTAAACTTACCATAAAAATTTTATTTTTTTCCTCCAAAGGTTTATCATAATTATCTTAAAAATCAGACTAAAGTTTAGTAGACTAGATCTATGACTTTCACATTAAGTCAAGCTATATTCTCATATTATGTGCTATCTTTTTTCCTAAATCAATTGCAAACTCTGTTAGTGATTTAATTTGCATGAGAAAGTTATAACATCTGCAGGTGGTGGATCCAGGACTTTCTACCTTGGCATTAATGTCATAAAATTCTTTTTGAAGGGGGGTAATGACAAACAACTAAACATACACATGTTATAAAAAATACGGGTTTAATGCAAATTTTATATCATCCCAGCTTGGCAAGGATAATTTAATAACAATGTAACTTGAAAAAAAACTATAAAAGAACTCTGGTATTTTTTTCTCTCATCCTTAAATTGACACCTCTCCTTTGATGTGCTGAAAACCTTCAGGTGTATATCAATACATATAGCAAATATACCATCTATGCAGGGTTGAACATAACCTAAGAATTTTGAATCAAAAATTAATCCATAAATAAACCCTGCTGGGATTAAAACATTAGTTTTTAATCAATCATATTTTTAAATTTCAGGGATCATGTATAATATCAAATGTATATAATAAATTCAGCAGAAAAGAACTTGGAGCCAGAGTTTTGTGCTAGTCCCAACTAATTAGACCTTGTCAAAGGATAATTTTTTTGGATGGGCATTATGGTGGTTTTTGACAAGTAAATGAAAAAAAAACAGTCTGTTAAATGGGTCAAACCCTGAATTTTCATGGCCCAAGTAAAATAATTACGGCAGGCCCTAGAGGCTGCCAATATAGCTCATGGTAATGTCAATCTCCTCTATAAAAAAAAAAAATTTTTAAAATTTAATTACAAAATTTTGGGGTTATAAAAACAGCTGATTAAGGGCTCTTTTAATTTGAAGACCCTGTTACAAATTAAAATACAGTATTGTCAATTTTAATAACTTAAAAGCATTTGTTAGTGTATTTCAGAATCCACAATTAATGTGGTGTGGTGTTGCTTTTGGTGGAACGAATTTTGTTCTCTTTCAAAGCCTTGATTCTGTAATGATATTTAGTGGGTTTTGGTAAACCTAAATTGTCGCGGTAAAAATTAAATATTGTTAAACCAAAAACGTTATTCTTGTGTTTAAAAGTAGAAAGTTTGAATCGTTTTAATGAAAATAAAGTAATAAAAAATACCATAAAAATTTTTAAATGATTAAGATTTTTAACGAAACTAATCTGAAGCAATTATTTTGATATAACGGCATATTTTTATTATTTTCTAAAAATATCAGAACAATTCCGTAACTTAAAAATCATTCGAACTCAATGCCATTCGTACCAAATATTCGCAACCATTATCAATTTATCCCTTGGATGCTTGGATTTCTTCAACTTTTCAGTAAACCGAAATCATTAAAAATATAAAATTAATTTATTGGGTTAAAATAGAGCTCAAAGCTGCTGACATTCAGGTCCTCTGTCCAGCTGCCGAAAGTGGTCAACAACCACAGAAATAATTAATTAATATTTTTAGTTTTAATTTACTTTGGGTTCTTTGCACTATTTTAACGAAAGTAATTTCATTGCATAATCAATTCAACATTGCGTTAGGTGTAATTGTTTATTTAACTAAAGTATTGAAAAACTGATATCCAAGTGGTTTTTTTCTATATATATTAAATTAAGCTCTTACAAAAGTTGTCACCCCAATTTTATTAAATCAAGTTCAAGGTTTCCACTTATTTACTTTCAAGCACGTTTCCTGTTTAACATTGGTTTTTAATTAAAACTTTGATTCCAAAGTTTGAAATAAATCAAAATTTTATAATCAACATTTGTAACCCAATCAACTGGCTGAAAGTAAAGCCATAAAGAAAAATTAATATATAAACAGCTAGCCGCGTGCACGTTTACAACAAAACTTTTTAATACTTGTCTATTGGAAAACCTATTAATATAAAAAAGTGCTTATCATTAATGCTCTAAATTAATTGCTCTAATATTTTTTTGCCTTCATTATTAAACTGGTTATTGTTATAAGATCAGTTAAGTCCCAACTAAATTAGACTTAAAAATGTCAAACCCGCAAAAAAACCCCGACGTTGAAAACCCAACGTTGGTTTCAACGTTGAATTTTTTGGTCGCGACGTCGGGTGACCTTCCATAACAACGTCAAATCGACCGTTGAATCCCCGACGGTCTAACAAAACGTTTCATTTTGCGTCGGGCTTCGACGTCGGGTTTTGGTCGGTTTAATCTGAACTATAGGTGAATTTAATTTATGAAACCAATATATATATAAATGGAAGGCATAAAACAGCGAGAATTTTAAGTTTAAGTTTTGAGAAAGGGAACATTATATATTTATTTTCTCCATCAAAACAACAGTATCACGTGGGTGGGCTAACGTACGATATTCGATTTTAGGTGGCGCTCTGTAAAAACGGATAGTCCGCAGATCAGTATGAAAATATATTTGCTCTATTTTTCGTTTAAAATAATATCTTATCTCCCTGATTTAGTCTAAAGAAGTGTTAATATAATTTACAATGAAGCTGTTATCATTTTTTTGAGGGCTTCAATTTTATAGTTGGTAAATAATTCAGTAAATTCGAATTTTGCGACTTATCGGGTTTTTGAAAATTCAATTGTATTGGCGGAACAAAAAACGACGGGTTGAACAAGACAAAGTTGTATTTTCCAAAACAAAAGAAAAAGGTAGGCAAAACATTTTATATTGTTTTTTTCAATGCTTATTTTACCGCAATGTTTTTTGATTGGATTCGATGGTTAAATTTGATCATTGAAATGTTTGAAACTGGAAAAACTTAATTGTAACGTTGATTTCGCGAGATTAAAATATTTTTGTTCCCCCACGTAAGAACACTTTAAAAATTTCATTTGCTATAGAACAATTTTTCTGATAATAATCGGAATGCATTTTTCCCCCACAACTAATATCGCCAATGCCAAATAAAAAATGCACAATCACAATGGTAGGAAATATCTTATCAAAATTGAAATCAAAAAAAAGTTAAAATGGAGTACGTTAATACCTATTATTATTTAAAAATGCTGGTTAAATAAGAATTTCCCTCTTAAATTTCTTATCAACAATGAATTTCCCCCTTATATGAGGGGCTAGTCATTTACACACAGTATCAAGATGCCTTTTTCATTTTGATATATGTGTAGTTGTCTTTAAAACTACTCGTTGTTAAAAATTTTGAATACTTTTACCCATACTGTTAAGCCATACCATGTGTTTCTTTATATTATGAAAATGATTCATTGGCATTTGAATACATCTGCAAATGATAACGACACTTTTGGTAAGATATATTCCTTGAAAGCACATTTTGTAAATTTGAACCTAAAGCTTATCATTTTTTTATTTAATGTAATCAAACAACATAATAATTAATCAAATCAGAAAACACATTATCATAGTTTTTAAAATCAATAAAAAAGTAATAGTTTTGTTTAAATATATGCAGCCTGCTTATCAACAAAGTTGTATACTCGTATCATAAAAACGTTTTTTAAAACAACTAAGCCAGTTCTGTCCTATATACACTTTATAGCAAGACGGCAGATCAATGCTGGGCAGAGATGATATCTATATAAAATGACAGTAACATGTGAATTTCTTTGATGTTGTATGAGCATTTGTACAAAAGTACATTGAATATAAAAAAAATAACAATATCAATTTTTGCGGGAGTAGAATTAATTTTATTTTGGTATTTGTTATATCAATTTTCATGCGCTTATGAGTTAACTAAAGATTAATAGTAATTGGATTTTGCCTATTGTATTAAGACAAACATCCTTCCACCACATGGTTAAATTCTAAAACGATTATATTTCGTCTTTTCAGATTGTGAAAATTATGATAATTCAAACATGTGTCAAAAGATAGGAGGAAGATGAAAATATTTAGAGGAAAAAGAAAAATGAAAACCTAACCAAGATTTTGTGACAGGTATATTCAAAATATTATAGAAAATACAGTGATCTTATTACCCTTGATTTTATAATGAAATTCACGAAGCCATTTTTTTATCAAAATTAATAGATATATACAGTAGGTACACGAAACTACATGGTTTTAAAACTAAATTAAAATAATAAGTATCTTTTTAAGTAGTTGGAGAGTTTTGTTAGAATTTCGTTTAATTATAATATGTATAAGTGATTTAATTCTTGCACTTGTAACTGATTATTTTTAATTTTTTTTTTTAATTTCAGAAAGTGTGATGAGATCTCAGGTTGGAGACGGTAGTGATACGCTTATAGTATGCCCCAGATCGACATAGTGAAGGAGGACGAAAGAAGCTAGAATACTAATGAAGATACATGAACATTGCTATTTATAGTTAGAACAAAATATTTCAGAATATTGTTCCATTTAACATTCAGATCTAGATTCAGTTCAAATATACAATCAGTGAGTTGGATAGATGATTGAAAAATGCCAAAACTCAGAGTGATCAGTTTCAGTGGTGATATAAGAAAAAAACACATGCATGGATTTTTGCTATATAAAATGTCAGTGTTAATATTCAAGAAGAATTTTTGTTGATCTTATTTCTAAAAACATGCTTAATTAATACATGAAGCGTTATTAAAGTACATATCCGTCAAGTTTAATAGTTTCAAAAAATATTATGTAAATCTTGCATTTGTTATAGTACCACATTTCTTGTTTTTGTACTTTGTGATTCCGAGTAAAAATAAATTGCTACAATCATAAGAATGCTTATTTTTATTAACCCTATTTAAGAGCTTCAAAATGAAAAAAAAATCATATTCCAAAAGTTTTGAATGAGGTTAATAAATCATGGTCAGAAAATTTGGTCAGATAATGGTCAGAAAAGGTTGGATTATGGTCAGAAAAAAGGTTGGATTATGTCCAAATAATGGTCAGAAAAGGTTGGATTATGGTCAGATAATAGTCAGAAAAGGTTGGATTATGGTCAGAAAAGGTTGGATTATGGTCAGAAAAGGTTGGATAAAGGTCATTTTATGACGTTGTATAGACGTCGGTTTCTGACGTCTAAAAAACTTTCAAATCCAACCTTCTGCCAACGTTTACCCAACGTCAGGGTCTAACGTCAGTACAACGTTGGTACAACGTCTTTTGTTTGCTGGGAAGAGGCATTGCGATAATTTTGGACGGGCGATGTCTTTCTGATAGTATGAAAAAGAGGTTTGTAAATAATAAATTGGGTCTCAAACCGTTCACGCCAGATTAATTAGGATATAAAATCAGAATAAAACAATAAATAAATCAATAGATCCAAAATGCACTGGTCTTTGGGTCTTCACTAGTCCAACTAATTGTACTCCGCGACGAGACACTGGTCTTTGGGTCTTCACTAGTCCAACTAATTGTACTCCGCGACGAGATATTGTGCTATTTTCCTGTCTGGGCAATATCTCGCCTCTACAAAGCGAGATTATGCCCCAGAACGAAAATATCTCAGAATCAAGCTTTGGCACGTCAATATATTTTGACTAGGTCTTCACATGATTTATTATATATATATACAGTATATACTATAATACATGTTGAACTAAAAATATATAAAAATTCCATTCACTAAACACAGAAAATTGTATGAAAAAAAATGTATGACTGACCTAAACACTTGACATAATTTAATTTGACCTTTCACCAGCTCACAGTGTATATCTGTTTGTAGTTTGACTACAGTTTATATATGCAATTTTTTACTGCCAATGCAGTGGCATAGTGTCACTTTATGAAAGAAATGGTCTAAAAGTTAAAATATGCTATAAATTAAACAAATTTAAACCTGTTCAGTTCCTAAAATCGCTTTTATTTGTAGAACAAAAATAGTCTTCTGTACTTCTGTTGTACATGTACTTGAATACTGGTTCCCAAAATTTTCCATAAGACACAATTAATGTCGTAGGCGCTAGGAACAATCTCACACGTGTCAAACAAATGTTTTATTCGGAATTTAATGACGGGATTCATTGAAACTAATGGCATTTAGTGTCACCCGGTGTTCCCGCGGAAATGTCAACATCAACAAAAATGGAAAGCTCGAGTTTGGTATACATATTGGATGCTAAAATTCAGAAACAACGCTTGAAAGATATGAAAAATTCGGCATCCAAAAGAAAAATAAAAGTTACAGACACATTTAGGTACGTCTTTGCCAGTTTCTTATTTGTTACCCTAACCTTAATTCGGACATTACGATCTCGGATAAACAGAATATCAACGAATCATGGAAATATGTTATTGTACTCATGTCATGTTAAAAGAAAATTGCGATGTGTTTCATTAAACAAATCTGAACATAATTTGAAATTAATGATTTCTGTGTTTACAAATAAATATTTGAACACGTTAATCATTATCTAGCCTAATTAATTTTTCATACTGTCAAACGAAAAAGACATTGCCTGTCAAAAATTATCTTGATGTCTATTTGACAAGTCTATTTAGTTCTGGCTTCCAAAACTTTATAAGCCGCTATTTAACATTTTTGTTTTTCATCTGATGCGGCATTAAAGTTTTGGATTAGACCTGTTACGAAACCTAACCAGAATAATAATATCTGTCATATTTTGCGGTTCGGATCGGAATATCCGTCCCGAGGTGACCCGCCCATTGGGCGGTAACGAGGCTTGCCGAGTTACCGCCCATGGGCGGGTGACCGAGGGACGGATATTCCGATCCGAACCGCAAACATATGTCAGATATTTTTTCTTGCATATTCTACCATATTCCGTTATATTTTAAATTCTTTATCTTTATTTTCAATGAAAATTTATATCATTACAACCGTAACTACTTTCATTCAACAGCGTATGAATTACAAAATCATTCATAACGGTAAAATGACGTCATTTTTATCGTGCCATTATACAGCACGCGACTCATCTGGAACCCCCCATGCCAGATGAAATTTCCGGCATGAGTAAAACTAACGGAAACGTCAGTCTGATATGCAAGAATAACATAAGTTGATTTATTCTTATTTTTCACTTGCAAATACGCTTGACCCAATCAATTCTTGTGCATTTTACGATAAAACAATTATTTTAAAATCATTCTTTATCAATAAAAGTATCAAAATATTAATACCGTCATTAAAATTGTCCATTAAACTGTAAAACATCAATTACGCCGGCTACAGTCTGCCATGACATTTAGGTGCCATGCGAGACCTCGTTTGACGTCCTTCGCGGGAACCGATTGGAATAGGATCGTGTACTATATTAAGAACATCTTTATTGACATGATTTCAGTATTTTTATTCAAGATAATGTTTTTACTTTTTTCATTAATTTTTATGCCCCCACAAAGTGGGAGCATATAGCGTTGCACTTGTCCGTCCGTCTGTCCGTCCCGAAATCTTGTGAACGCAACTCCTCTTAAACTGGATGGCAGATTTTGCTTAAACTTCCAGCGATGAACAACCTTAATGTGTAGATGGTAGTAAAGGAAGGAATTTTTGCTGCAACCAAATTTAACAGAATTATGGCCCTTTGTTGATATTTCACTATATACCATATAGAAATTTTGTAAATGAAACTCCTCTTAAACCAGATGGCAGGTTTTGCTTAAACTTCCAGGGATGAACAACCTTAATGTGTAGATAGAAGTAAAGGAAGGAATTTTTGCTGCGACCAAATTTAACAGAATTATGGCCCTTTGTTGATTTTTTCACAATATACCATATATATGTTGTCAGTGGGGGACACAGTTCTAGTTTAATACTTAAATATGATTTTATTGAATACAAATGACAGTGAAGCACCTTTTTCAATATCTTTAAAAAAAGTAATTTATAAAAATATTGGAAGCACATGGGTACGTAAAGGTCAATCTCGTAATCACTTGGTCAAACATTTCGGCAATATGGCGGCCAAGTGCCGAAATTTTTACCTGTCGGAAACTATTAGGTAGTTTATGTTCATAATAAGATTTTTATTTGTCCATCCTTGGCTTATCAACAGATTATATATAGTTTTATAAAAGTATGCTTCACTTTACTTCATGGCATGTTCGATGAATGAATACGAGGGTGTCAGATTCCTGGCACGATTATTGGTGGACTTTCCCTACGGGGTTGTCTTCAGCTTTCACGTCATGTCATAGTATATAAACGGGTACGCTGAAGACCTTAAGCTAAGTCTAATTAGTTGGACTAATCACTATCTAATCTAATATAGCAATATCGTTGAACAGTGTTAGTATTAGCTAGATCTATACTAGGAATGTGTAAGTTTGAACAGATAAAAATATCATTTCAAGTCGAAGTCAATATCATATAACAGATTTTTGACTTTGTTAGTTTATACAAATTTATTTAAGATTGATTGTGATGGAAGCTATATGCTTATTGAAGCACTCTCAAATCCGTTCTTGGAAACAACCAGTGCAAAGCAATGAGTGTACAGTTTCTTGCTCAAAGGATTCAACTGCTTGCTCCTGACTGATTTTGTGGCCAGCAATCCATAGAGTACTAGTCTGACATGTTAACCACTCAGCCATGCAGCCAAACAACTTGGTGCGACATGATTGATTGATTGTTGTTACCAGGTTACATCATGCTCACCTACATGTACATGTAATTAATTTGGCATGAATGGTCCTATAAACGACATCACCAGTCCAAAAATATCTTGTTGTATTATTGCCATGACTGATCTGTTTGACTTTAACATGGTTTTCTTGATTTTTATGTATTTAGTTTTCATCTATGAGGTAACTCTTTTAAGCATCAAAATTTACATTTAATTCACAGCATAGGAGTTACTCACCTTGTAACTGAGTTTAAGGAGTATGATCAAGTTCTAAGGAAACTGGATCTAACAAATCAGTCCAGTCTTGATGGCATAGAAGTTGTTACATTGCAATGGTTTGCTGACTGTATAAGAGCTGGGAAAGTGGTTGATGTGGAACAAAAACACAGACTACAGAGGGCTGTAACTCAAAGAAGTGAAGAGGTTTGTATTAATTGTATAGAATAGTCAAAGGTCTCAATCTCCTATTTTTAATGTCGTTATTGGGCAACATTTCCCTTGCGAAAAAGTATGTTTAATTTTTGTTCCCCCAGTTGCAAGCCAAATTCTCCTAGAGACAAAAGTATGTTTGTCTGGTGAATGTCATCGCAGTTTAACCTGTATTTAACAAAACTTCTAGACAGGAAGTATTTTCTACATGTTTATTTTAATAGAGCTTGTGTATATATATACTGCAAAATTTGTCTGAAATTCTCCCTTCAACTGTAACAGACATGAATTTTCCCCTTCCTACAGGAAGAAAAACCCCATAACAGAAAGAGAGCCCTGATAGTTCTTAAAAGTTAAGATACAAGATAAATGACTTGAATTGCTTGTTCTTAAAACTTAAGATACAAGAAAAATAACTTGAAATGCTTGTCCTTAAAACTTAAGATACAAAATAAATGACTTGAATTACTTGTTCTTAAAACTTAAGATACAAGATAAATGACTTGAAATGCTTGTTCTTAAAACTTAAGATACTAAATAAATGACTTGAAATACTTGTTCTTAAAACTTAAGATACAAAATAAATGACTTGAAATACTTGTTCTTAAAACTTAAGATACAAAATAAATGACTTGAAATACTTGTTCTTAAAACTTAAGATACAAAATAAAAGACTTGAAATACTTGTTCTTAAAACTTAAGATACAAGATAAATGACTTGAAATACTTGTTCTTAAAACTTAAGATACAAAATAAATGACTTGAAATACTTGTTCTTAAAACTTAAGATACAAAATAAATGACTTGAATTACTTGTTCTTAAAACTTAAGATACAAGATAAATGACTTGAAATGCTTGTTCTTAAAACTTAAGATACTAAATAAATGACTTGAAATACTTGTTCTTAAAACTTAAGATACAAGATAAATGACTTGAAATGCTTGTATAATGTCTGAATTATAATTTGAATTTAAAGCAGTGCAAAAGGATACATAATTGCTTTATCAAAAATATAGTTTAATTTATTTATCCCTTTTTACCAAAATATTTAGGACTTGAAAATGCTTTGATAATGAAAATTTCTAGAATTTTCATTGTAGCTTTTAATTGTTATGATGGAAATTTGCTACACATATAGGAAAATGAACTGCACAGTGTACAATTAATGAAGTTGTGTATCAGCATGAAAAACAATTTCATCTATGATAATTAAGTGGTAGAATTGGTGATTTCAGGTTGAAAGACCAAGCCAGTCATCAGGTTTACCAGAGTATGCCTGTCAAAGAGCCACTCCATTACAGCATATGAATGAAAAGTACACAGTAAGTATTTGTTATGTGAAAAATTTCATTATAAAAGTTGAAAAAAAAAAAACTCATGCTCCCATCTCAAACTATAACCCTTTTGTACCTTAGAGAATTCCGTAAGTGGTTAAAGATTTGCTTTAAAAGTTCCTTCTCCACACCACTGAAGGTAGTCACTTGAAAATTTACATGTTTTCAGACTCACAATAATTGGTCACTTGACTTATCAAGGTCCAAAAACAATAAAATTGTATTGCATTTATGGAAGAGGGGCATTTAGTTTATTGTACTTTTACTCAAGTATGGGTTTTCACTGAATTATTCCCCTTAAAGAAATTAGAAAATTCCTGCATAAAACTTGTGTTACTGTCAAGAACTGAGAATAGGTAAGAGTGTTGTCCATTTGTCATGAGCTCCTGTTTTCATTTTGCAAAAATTTAAACTTTAAATTTCTTTTTTTTTTTTATTTTTATATGCCCGAAAGAATTTGGGCATATTATGTTATACCCCCTGGCGTCCGTCTGTCCACCGTCCGTCGGTCCGTCCGTTAGCAATTTGGTTTCCGGAGCATAACTTAAGTTCCATTTGGCCCACAGTATCAAACTTCATAGGATGATTGGCCATATTGGGTAGAAGACCCGTATTGATGTTGGGGTCACAAGGTCAAAGGTCAAGGTCACTATTACCGTAAAACTGAAAATGGTTTCCGGAGCATAACTTAAGTTCCATTTGGCCCACAGTGTTTTCAAACTTCATAGGATGATTGTCCATATTGGGTAGAAGACCCCTATTGATTTTGGGGTCTCAAGGTCAAGGTCACTATTAGCTAAATACTGAAAATGGTTTCCGGAGCATAACTTAAGTTCCATTTGGTCCACAGTATTCAAACTTCATAGGATGATTGTCCATATTGGGTAGAAGACCCCTATTGATTTTGGGGTCACAAGGTCAAAGATCAAGGTTACTATCACCTTTAAACTGAAAACAGTTTTCGCTCAATAACTCAAGCATTAATCAACCTACAGCTTAAGTACTTTCGGGCATATAATGCTCCGCCTAGTGCTGCTCTTGTTTTAGATATTTGTTGGTCAAGATTCATAATTGTGTATTCTTTATGATGTTTAAAACTTCTACGCCCTTCCTGAAATTAATCTATATGAAGAAAGTTATATATGCAATAAGACTACTGTAAAGTTTAATGTATTTGTGATAATGATTATTATATACTAAGGTTAAAATAATTTAGACATTATATAAAGTATTGTTGCCATACTACCAATCTTATCTTACAGAAAGCATTAGAAGTGTTGGAGAAGTATGCTGACTTACGTGAAAGTGACCATGATTATTCCAGGGCGCTAGCCTTCAGGTGAGGCAATTATGTAACTTAGGTTTAAACCCATAACCTCCTGGAATTGAAAATGGTAAGTCTTTATCACCGGTATAGAGCCAGGCCAGCCTGCACTTCTGTGCACTCAAACCAGGGATCTACACTGTTAGTGGTTTAATTTTTTGTATTTTGCGGTTTGCAGTGCCTATAGTGTAATGCTAATATTTGCACACTTTAACGCTATGTTTGTGTATAATGCAAATTACCTCATGTCAAAGTGGCCCTGCAGTGGTGTAATACTGTTTTTATTTAATGTGTATATTATACTTCTGTGCCACGGTTTACGTGATTAATATAATTCACATGTATACAGTTGTAAACAAATAATAAATCAATGTGACATATTTTGAAAATGTTACTTGGGATATATATATAACATATGTGTCTTATGGACAAAATCCCCCAATTTTTGGTCATGTCCCCCGATATCCTGCACTGGGATCGAATTCCACGGATGTACAAAAAACCCCCTTCAAAAAATTAACATAATATATTTTTACCAAAAAATCATAATTTTACAATACACATTTTAGTATTTTAAGCACTTTTACAACTATGCATCGTATAGCATGGCCACACAAAGTGGTAAATACAAATTATACAATATACATGTACATTATGTGTAATTTTTCAGGAGAGCTTCATGTGTGTTGAAGTCGTTACCTTTTGCTTTATCTAGTATACAACAGTTACGCAATATCACAAATATTGGAGACCATAGTAAACGAGTGATACAGGTACAAACAAATCTATCATTCATTTCATTTTATACTATATTATTTAAGGGCGACCTCAGTTGCTGTTTAAGGCTGCTGATGAAAACTTGTTTGAACTGTTTATTATAATAATAATAATAATAATAATAATATTTTTATTCGGTAAAAGTGTACATGACATGGCAATGACATAATGATGCATAATGATACAATACATATAACAATAATCAAAATGTTAAAGAGACTAGAAATATCACATGACATAAGTATACGACAAAATATAAATATATGAGCCATGTAGTGCCCACCAATACCAGGGATAACACAAAAAAGAGGAAAAGATTCCTCTTATTTCCATTGTGGTCCCTGGTTTCCTTGCGCAGTGTTGCATCTAGGCAGTGTGATTGCGCGATTTGCGCATTTTTCATGCAGATCGTGCATTTTAATGAAGTCAATGCGCGCCCAGCCGCACATCTGACGATCTTTTCAACTTAATTCAGTTTATACGCTTCAGCCATGTTTGTTTTCACTCGTGGTTATGACTAAAATACATACTTAATCGCGTGTAGCAGCCGACTAAGTCATCTCGCGTGTGTTTTGTAGTATTCATCAATATTTTATTTTTTCTACTTCCGTTTTTGAGCGTACGATAACTGTCAAAAATGCCTGAACGTAAAATAAATGAATTATTTTCGGTATGTCATACTGTAAGGTAAATATATGTCCCCTAGATATTTTTCAAATCCCCCACATTTTTCAGTTGAGTGAGGGACAATCCCCCATAATTTTGAAATTCTAGATGCAACACTGCCTGTGGGTTGGAATCCAGTCTGAAACTTTAGCTTCTTACACACCCAGTTATCATTATAAAGTGTATAAATCTATATCTTATGAAATATTCTTTTAAAATTTATTAACTGTAAAATCATATTGGTTCCATTATTATATGATTGATTCCCGAAAAAGTTGTAATATAGAATTTCTCTGTTATTTAATACACATGAATAATGTATGTAAAGAGATTAAAATGTTCCAGAACAAAATATTATTTTGCTATTATAAGTAAGGTTTTATCCATTTAGCAATGATTATTTGCATGCGCTATTCGCTTTTGAGGCAGTAAATTACATGTACCATATTTATTTCATACGAACATTTTGGAAGTATACTATTTTAAAATTCAAACAATAATTTTTGCATCAGGTATAATTATAGCTTTATACACTTTAAAGCAAATTTGCTGTTAAATTATTAGTTTTCGCAGGGAGTTGTCTTGTATGCATATTTCTTTGTGTGAAACCTTCTTTTTGATTTGCCATCAGATGTATGTTGCTATGCCTCAGCGAACCTCTTGTTGTAATTCTTAGGCAGTTTTTGTTTGTAATTATTAGGCAATTATTGTTTGTAATTATTAGGCAATTATTGTTTGTAATTATTAGGCAGTTTTTGTTTGTAATTGTTAGGTAATTTTTGTTTGTAATAATGTTTAAATTTTGTCTGTAATTACATGTACATGTGTTAGGCAGTTATTGTTTGTAATTTTTAGGCAATTATTGTTTGTAATTATCAGGAAATTATTGTTTGTAATTATTAGGAAATTCTAGAAGATGGAGAGTGTCCAGAAGTTGAAAATATTTTGAAGGATCCATGGTTTCATAAAATGAAGGTAAAACCTTGAATAATTTATATGGTCATTAATATAATGGTGAAAATTTAGATGACATGGTTAGGTATGAAACATGTAAAAGATGATAAAAGACTGACAAATTGGCCAATGATAGTCAGCAGGCCGGAATAAGAGTGTTGACAACTCTTTACACAGCATCGTCGTGCAAAAATCGTTTGTGACTATATACTTGTTTTGTAAATTGGATTTTCCTTTGATCTTTCAAAAGAGCGAAATGGGGATACAGTGTAGAAAAATTGTGCCGACTCCTTCGTGATGAGCCGTGAACATTATTTGTTTGTAAATGAATTAAAAATAGAAATTAAGTAATCATTTGGCAACTCGAATACATGGTATAGTATAATACATAGAAGTACCTCCGTTGAAACGGAATCGTTTTGGTTTTAAGCAATCATGTAAATGTTAACAAAAAATTGTAAACATGGGAGCCTTACTATCAATACATCGAGATTAATTGTTTGTTTGTGTTTTTATGCTCCCCGAAAAATTTCGGGGGAGCATATAGTCGGCGCCTTGTCCGTCTGTCCGTCCTTCCGTTCGGCCGTCCGTTGTCTTGTCCAGAGCATAACTTGAAAACCCTTGGAGATAATTTGTTGAAACTTCATACAGTGGTAGAGGGCATTGAGGGGGAGTGCAGTGTCAAAGAACCATAACTCTATTTTGCCCGGTTTTTGAATTATCTCCCCTTATAGAAAAATCATGTCCGGGGCATAACTCTAAAACTATAAGAGATATCAACATGAAACTTTGTAGGTGAATAGATCTCAATGGGTCGATGTGCAGTGCATAAGAGAACAATAACTCTTTTTGTCCTAATTTTGGAGTTATTGCCCTTTGTTTATTTTAACACTTTGAACTTTGTCCGGAACATAACTCTAAAACTATAAGAGATATCAAGATGAAACATTGTAGGTAGATAGATCTCATTGAGTAGAGGTGCAGTGCAAAAGAACCATAACTCTGTTAAGCCTCATTTTTGAATTATCTCCCCTTTTAGAAAAATCTTGTCCAGGACATAGCTGTAAAACTATAAGAGATATCAACATGAAACTTTGTAGGTAGATATATCTCAATGCAGTGCGCAAGAATCATAACTCTGCCTTGCCTAATTCTGGAGTTATTGCCCTTTGTTTATTTTTACTTTTTGAAATTGTCCGGGACATAACTCGGAAATCATAAGAGATATCATCAAGAAACTTTGTAGGTTGATAGATCACATTGAATAGAAGTGCAGTGCAAAGAACAGTAACTCTGCTTTGCCTCATTTTGGAATTATTGCACTTTGAACTTTTTCCAGGGACATAACTCTGAAACTACAAGAGGTGTACTTTCTGTGTCCAAAACCTATTCGGGGAGCATCACCCGGCTCAAACCGGGGTCTTGTTTTGTGTTGTTTTTTTTTTAAATATTTTTTTGTTTTTTATTTTACTCATACAGTGATATTTTAACCATATATTATATTTGGTATGTACACCATTAAAACGATCGTATCATAACTAAAAATAGTAAAATTTGGAGAATAAAATTATTGTGTATAAATGTATATTACCTTTTTAACAGTTGTTCACAGAAATATTTGGTATTGGACCATCAACTGCCAAACAGTTCATAGCTAAAGGCTGGAGTACAATAAACGAGGTCAGGAATGGTCATAAGTCAGCTGATTGGAGAGTCCAGTGGGGTCAGATATTTGTGAATTTTTATTTCTTTTGAATTCATTAATTTAGTTACCATGTTAATAAAAACAACTTTTTCTTCTGCTTAAGGTTATGTTAAGGTTTTCTTCATTGTGTAGGACTGTGAAATTAGAAAATAATGTTACAAGCAGTTCCAAGAAAATGTTTAGTATAAAGTCAAGAACTGGTGTTAAAACATATGAAATTTATATTTATGACAGGACTTGCTTTCCATGAGGATCTTATAACACCTGTTGTAAGGCAGGAAGCTTGTTACATCTATGAACTTGTCCTTAAACATCTCAGAAAAGTTCTCCCAGGGGCAATAGCAACAGTCACTGGAGGATTCAGGAGGTTTTGTAACATTGATTTTCATTGGATAATCATTATGTATTATATAATCTGTATGCATGGCTGCTGTCAATTTACCAGGTTCGGTGACTGTGCAGGTCAATTTCCTTGTGATTGATCATGGAATCTTTTCTACGGTCATTCGCACTGTACCTCTGCTCTGGCATGTACAGAAGTTTTAGTTTCTTGCGGAAGTGAAGGCAACTAGTACTGGTTAACTGCTTTCATTCACACTGTACCTCTGCTCTGGCATGTACAGAAGTTTTAGTTTCTTGCGGACGTGAAGGGAACTAATACTGGTAAACTGCTTGACAGCCTGCCCAGGAATGGTGGTTGTTCTGTGCTCTGGTAAATTTTATGTGTGGCTTACCACCATGATTTGGAATGAAAACTACCACGCCTGCTGTCAGTTAAGTAATTAAAGTAATTAATAAGTAATTTTCATTTACAGTAAAGTACCTGTGCTACAATGTATATTATGAATTTTGTTTATAATTATTTTTGACATGTTATATGGCTGTGTATAAACAGTTACATTGTATATATATTCCTTATCTGGCAGCTAGGGTTGTATAAGCTTAAAAGCATTATTTAATATTTGGTCATATAAGTTGTTGAAAATCTTTAAACTTATAAAACGAAAATTTGTAACAGAGCTACTTACAGCCTTTGCCTAAAAAAAGTTTTACATGAATAGTAAAAAATAATTTTTTTTGTACTATTTCAAAAGATTGAGGTATGGATATGGACTTTCAGTGCAAAATGTTTTGATATGTGTGCCAAGTTATTTCATAATTCTCAAACAATGAAAATATTAATGACCGGATGCAAAGTATAACCTATAGCAGACCATGTTAAAGGGATATTTAGGCAAAATAATGACAAAAAATATTAAAATGATCTGATGTACTCAAATCACCCTAAAATGACTTTTCTTGAAGTTTCAGCATGAATTTCTGTTTAAATTCTATATATTTTGGGTTTGAAGTGTAAATATATCTATATATGTTACACAAAATTTAGACGCCAATAGAATCACAAAATAGTTTTAAAACAAGTCAGGTGACTTGAACAAACCCTTGAAATTACAATAACAGATATGGATATTGTATGGTTGAAACAAGCCTAAGTCATTCATTTGACATGTTCTTTACGTTTCCAGAGTTCACTTTGACAACTATTGTGAAATGCTAGCGCTCTAACCTAACCAACACAGGTCAAGTTAGGAAACCACCATTTTATTCTTTATATGGAGAAAAGTTTTGTTCCTTTGACTGTCTAATATATTCATTTTGAGGGCGTTTACAGAATAATGAATGAAAAATTCAAAACTAAGAAATGAAAATTTTGCCTGCGTCTCCCTTTAAGCTTTGACCTCAAAGTATGACTTTGACCTTGAAGGTAGGGGGTGTTGTGCATGAAATGTTTTATTATTGTTCCAAGTAATTTCAAATCCCTTGATCTGTAAAAAAGTTACACAAAGTTGTTTCTTTTTTAAAGTTTTGCATATAAGGTATACATTTACACTTTTGAAAACTTAATCTGTGTTTAATGCGTTAGTGACTCTCTGTTTTTAAAGACATTCTGTCTACAACTACCTTATCTTAGCTATACCTTGAAATATATATCTATTTATTGCATCTTGATTGATAAAATGACACCCTGTCAGATGCATCAATCAATGACAGCAACTGAAATTTAAAATTTATTCCTGCCAGAAGTAAATAATCATATGCTAACATATATTCCTGTTAGAAATAAATAATGATATGTTAACATTTATTCCTGCCAGACATAAATAATGATATATTAACATTTATTTCTGCCAGAAATAAATGATGAGATGCTAACATTTATTTCTGCCAAAAATAAATAATGATATGTTAACATTTATTCCTGCCAGACATAAATAATGATATTTTAACATTTATTCCTGCCAGACATAAATATTGATATGTTAACATTTGTTCCTGCCAGACATAAATATTGATATGTTAACATTTATTCCTGCCAGACATAAATATTGATGTGTTAACATTTATTCCTGCCAGACATAAATATTGATATGTTAATATTTATTCCTGCCAGACATAAATATTGATATGTTAATATTTATTCCTGCCAGACATAAATATTGATATGTTAATATTTATTCCTGCCAGAAATAAATAATGATATGTTAACATTTATTCCTGCCAAAAATAAATAATGATATGTTAACATTTATACCTGCCAGACATAGATAATAATATGTTAACATTTATTCCTGCCAGAAATAAATAATGATAATCATATGTTAACATATATTCCTGCCATAAATAAATAATGATATGTTAACATTTATTCCTGCAAGACATAAATATTGATATGTTAATATTTATTCCTGCCAGACATAAATATTTTTGTGTTAATATTTATTCCTGCCATAAATAAATAATGATATGTTAACAGACATAAATAATGATATGTTAACATTTATTCCTGCCAGACATAAATATTGATATGTTAATATTTGTTCCTGCCAGACATAAATATTGATATGTTAACATTTATTCCTGCCATAAATAAATAATGATATGTTAACAGACATAAATAATGATATGTTAACATTTATTCCTGCCAGACATAAATATTGATGTGTTAACATTTATTCCTGCCAGACATAAATATTGATATGTTAACATTTATTCCTGCCAGACATAAATATTGATGTGTTAACATTTATTCCTGCCAGACATAAATATTGATGTGTTAACATTTATTCCTGCCAGACATAAATATTGATATGTTAATATTTATTCCTGCCAGACATAAATATTGATATGTTAATATTTGTTCCTGCCAGACATAAATATTGATATGTTAACATTTATTCCTGCCAGACATAAATATTGATATGTTAACATTTGTTCCTGCCAGACATAAATATTGATATGTTAACATTTATTCCTGCCAGACATAAATATTGATGTGTTAACATTTATTCCTGCCAGACATAAATATTGATATGTTAACATTTATTCCTGCCAGACATAAATATTGATATGTTAACATTTATTCCTGCCAGACATAAATATTGATGTGTTAACATTTATTCCTGCCAGACATAAATATTGATATGTTAACATTTATTCCTGCCAGACATAAATATTGATATGTTAATATTTATTCCTGCCAGACATAAATATTGATATGTTAATATTTATTCCTGCCAGAAATAAATAATGATATGTTAACATTTATTCCTGCCAAAAATAAATAATGATATGTTAACATTTATACCTGCCAGACATAGATAATAATATGTTAACATTTATTCCTGCCAGAAATAAATAATGATAATCATATGTTAACATATATTCCTGCCATAAATAAATAATGATATGTTAACATTTATTCCTGCAAGACATAAATATTGATATGTTAATATTTATTCCTGCCAGGCATAAATATTGATGTGTTAATATTTATTCCTGCCATAAATAAATAATGATATGTTAACAGACATAAATAATGATATGTTAACATTTATTCCTGCCAGACATAAATATTGATATGTTAATATTTGTTCCTGCCAGACATAAATATTGATATGTTAACATTTATTCCTGCCAGACATAAATATTGATGTGTTAATATTAATTCCTGCCAGAAATAAATAATGATATGTTAACATTTATTCCTGCCAATAATAAATAATGATATGTCATGTTAACTTCTATCCTGCCAGAAATAAATAATGATATGTTAACATTTATTCCTGCCAGAGGTAAAGCCAGTGGACATGATGTAGATATACTAATCACCCATCCAACAGAAGACAAGGTAACCGGGGCACTACCAAGACTGTTACACAGTCTGGAAGCCACGGACACGATTCTTCACGGTCGCCATGAACGTAGCACATACACAGATGATGTGATATCACGAAATACTAAACTCAGCACGAGGGGACAGTTAGACCACTTTGAGAAGTGGATTGGTATCATAAAAGTTCCGAAGAAAATAAAAGCAAACTCTGATAACGAAGGAAATGGTGTAGTTCTTAATGTCAATGAAGGTCCAGTGACTGATAAATCTAGAAAACTATGTAACGGAGCTCATAAGCTAGTTAATGAAAATACAGATGTTAATGAAAAAGATTATGACACTGTAACAAATTCTACTTCAGTAATTTATTCAAGGAATGGGGCTAGCGAAAATGCATCTAATGTGATGAATTTAGAAAATGAAGAAAATTTAGAAAATGATGTTTCTCTTGACGAAGTAAGAAATGAGCAGGTGGCATCTTTAGAAGGAAGTGTAGATGTTACAGAGTTAAGGTCGGTACAAGGTGAAAGGTCACATGACCAAACACCGGCTGAACTTGCTGCAGGGGAAAGAGACTGGCTTGCGAGGAGGGTTGACCTGATTGTAGCACCATACAGGTTTGTACTTTGTGTCATAAATGTAAATTTTTGACTGCCATACAAAAACTAAATCACTGTTACATTTCTTATTGCAAGCAACAGAAGCAAAATATTGTACAGGTAATTGGCCTTTAAGTAAATTTTAGGAATCAATCTATAAAAGTACACCAAAAATAAAAAGCATTTGAAAAATGAAAGCATTTCTTACCTTAGCCATAGTAGGCCTTTAAGTACTATATGATTATATTTATTGAGATTTCAGACTACCATTGTAATACAAGTTATTCAAGATGTGTATGTGTTTTCAGTCAATATTACTACGCATTGGTTGGATGGACGGGTAGCAAACAGTTTAACAGAGATGCTAGAACTTATTCTGATAGAAAACTGAATATGATGTTGACAAGTCATGGACTGTATGATAAAACTCTTGTAAGTTGAATCACATGATGGTACAGTGTAGGTCTGAAGTAATAATATTGATGTGATACAAAATAAGGGGTGTAAATACCAAAATTTAAAAAAAAATTGCTAGAGCTTAGATATTAATCATGAAACATCTTATAGTGGATGTCTACCAAGTTTGTTCAAATAAAAGCCCTGGGGTTAAAATTGGCCCTGCGCCAGTTGGTCATTGTTTTTCCTTTTATGTATATAGTAAAAACTTAAAATGTCTTCTTTTGAAAAACCAAAATAAGCTAGAGCTAAGATATTTAACATGAAACATCTTCTTGTCAGTGTGTCTACCACGTTTGGTCAAATAAGGGCCCAGGAGTTAAAATTGGTCCCGCCCCGGGGATCATTGATTTTCCTTGCATGTGTATAGTAAAACTTAAAAAATCTTCTTTTAAAAAAACCCAAAGAGCTAGAGTTTAGATACTAAGCATAAAATATCTTCTAGTGAGTGTCTACCAAGTTTGTTCAAATAAAAGCCCTGGGGTCAAAATCTGCCCTGGCCGGGGTGGGGGGGGGTCGTATTTTTCCCTATATATGTATAGTAAAAACTTAAAAGATCTTCTTTTAAAAACCCCAAAGAGTAGAGCTTAGATATTCATCATGAAACATCTTCAAATGGGTGTCTACCAAGTTTGTTCAAATAAAAGTCCTTGGGTTAAAATTGGCCCTGCCCCAGGGTCCTATATACAGGTGAGCGATTTCAGGGCCATCATGGCCCTCTTGTTTATAACACTAAATTGCTTGTGGCAATAGTTTACTCATGCAACCAGTGCAGACCAAGATCTGAGCTGGCACATCTGTGTGAACTGATGTTGTTTTGTTTACTTGGGTCAAATCTTTAGCCCCTATATGGCCACCTTATTGCAGTAACGGAATAAGTCTTTCTACATCTAATAGTTAATCAGTTAATAGTCAATGAGTTAATCAGTTAATAGTCAATGAGTTAATCAGTTAATAGTCAATGAGTTAATCAGTTAATAGTCAATGAGTTAATCAGTTATTGCACTAAGGTGATGATATGTAGTTCATGCATAAACCTTTCTAAAGTAATGGTTTAGAAGTGATGGATTTCAAGAATATGTAGTGTTTAAAAGATATATATAAATGGAAGTTAAAATGTTTTTACCGCTTTTATTTTACAGGGGAAGAAAATCCCAGCTTCAAGTGAGAGAGAAGTTTTTGATAATTTGAAATTGCCGTATCATGAGCCATGGGACAGAAATTGTTAATTTTATAATCCATCCATTGCTGGAATAGAAAGTGACTTAAGATTTGCCAACAATACAAGGGCCAGGCCAGCCTGCATATACTTGCAGTAAGCCCAGGCTCTATCAATTTAAAAATTTTCATCTTGTCATCCCCAAAAATGATAATGAACAGTTCCTGAATGGGAGCTGGGCAAGTCCATTTACAAAAGATATATGATTGGGTATTTTTATTGTCCCAGAAAATACTTATTCACTTTATCTTTACTTATGGCCAATTTGGCCCAAAAGGAAAAGATGGTGCTGTAATATGAGTATCAATTGTTTAATTTAAAAGCTTTTAAGAAATGAAAATATTAGTATATTTTGGGCCTTGATTGGCTTTAAATAAGACTTCTAAGTATTTAAAAGAATGCTGCTCTTTCATTTATTCAATTATGCCACTTAGTTGAGTTAGTACTTTGTAACCTGTGTGTTAATTTTAGTCCTTTGGAACCTTTTTAGTTGTTAGTATAGTTATCTTCCTTGTTATTTGTGCTTCCTTTTTTATAACATTCAATTTCGATGCAAATCATGTTGAAAAGTTGTGTTGTTGTTTTTTTTTGTATTTGCTTCCTGATCAGCATTACAACGTTTTATAAACATTTATCTGTGATTTTTTTGTTGTTTTATTTTATAAACAGAGACCTCTTGATTAAATGTTTTCTTCCAATGTTGCAATGAAATTTTCATATACACATGTACATACATAGGTTACTGTTTATTTAAGTTGTTTTATTTCATATATTATTTTCTTCTGTTAATATGTTATTGTTATATGTATAAGTGATGTTTTCTATTTTTTTTAAAAATATTTATTAAGGGTGGTCTATTTGTTTAAAGTGCCTGCCTCTAAAAGCAGCATGCCTCCAGATTCATGCTAATTGTCATGAAAATTTTGAAAATTATTTAAAAGTAAAATATTGTGAAGTGAACAAAGAAAGTAATTTACACATTGCAAACAGCACTTACAATCCAAGTAAATGACCAAAAAGTGGTCCAAAATACATAAATACCTCTGACTGCGTTAGTGATTGATACTGCAAAATCAGTCATTAATTGCACATAGCATGTATATAATTCAATGAATATTGAATCTTTTTTACTTTTCTTAAGGTCTTTATACATTTTTCTAAAGATTGAATTTCTTGAAATATTTTGGCACATCAGGAGGCATGCAGCTGCCTCTAAACTCAGGAATCTTGAGTTCAGCAAATCCTACTGAGATAACAACCATGTTTACTGAATTGATACATATTCTAACTAGATCCTAGTTTTTGTGTGGTAAAAACTAAATTTGTTTGAAACATACTAGATTTTGTTTGATACAAGCTGAATTTGTGTGAAACAAATTAATATTTGTTTGATACTAACTGAGTTTTTGTGAAACATACTAGATTTTATTTCATAACGTTTTGAGTTTTTTGTGTGTTGTCTTCATACTTGGCCACAACATCTCTTGGGGCAATACCTTTTAGAAGACCAGATTAACCTTGACCTTCATCCAAAAATGACCTTGACCTTCAAGGTTAAATGTCTAAATTTTGCTTGTTTATAGCTGATTTTTGCTATAAGTGGCTCTATTTTTGTAATTTTTTAATAGATTGTCTTAAAACTTGAACACAATAATTTTTTAGGACAGACCTTCAAGTTGACTAGCAGATCTTGACCTTCACTCATAAATGACCTAGACTTTGAAGGTCAAATAATTGAAATTTTCAATTTTTTGCTGTAACTGGCTATAACTTTGATGTTAAATTATTATTAAATTTTGATTAAATTGTCACAGTTTTGTTATTTATATACGGTTTGATTTATACTTTGACAAAGCAAGACTTTCTACCAAATAAACATATTGATTACCTTGACCTCAAATTGAACTTGACTGTAAAGGTAAAATTAATGAAATTCTATTGGCAATAACTTTGTTATTTATCAATGGATTTACTTCATATTGAGACACAACATCTTTAAGGTCAGGTCTCATGTATATTAAACTCAAATTGACTTTGACTCATGTATAACATTGACCCTGAAGTTCAAATAGTTTTATTTTCACTTATTTTTGCTATAATTGGCTGTAACTTTGTAATTAATCAATGTATTTGTTTTCATACCTAGACAAAACAACCTTTTGGAAGGTTAAAATGACTGACCTTAAGCTCTTAACGACCTTGACACTGTAAAATTCAAATTATTGAATTTTGGTTAAGTTGTCATAATTTTGTTATCTATATATGGATTTGATTCATACGTTGACAAAACAAAACTTGTTACCAAACAGACATGTGGATGACTTTGACCTTTAAATGACCTTGACTGTCAAATTATTTATTTTTGATGATATTACCTTAACATTGTCATTTATATATGGAAAGGATTCATACTTGGACAAGACAACAAATGTGACTGGACAAACCTATAAAAGTTTTTTTTTTTAAAAAGGGATAACTTATTTTTTCTTTAATAATTTTTTAAAGATTTGTCTCAGCTGTTTATTTCTTTGCTTTAAGAAAAAGTAAAAAATCGAGCGTTGTCACCACCTGGCAGTGGCTCATGTTGTGTAGTTGAAATACTTTGGTGTTGTTCAATAGTTTTACCAAAATATAATAAATATGATAAACTTATTTTTACCATGAACCAGACTAAGAGTGGTTGAAATAAAGGTCCCCCCTTTGTCACACAAAAAAAAATTAAAAATTGTTCAAATTGATATTTAAACATACGCTGGTAACCATCAGTGGCATAACTGAACACATTTGTAATGTAGACCTATTTGTTTAAGAGGTTTGAGAGGGTGGATATTGCATTATTAAACAATGCCTTTATGTCCATCATTTATGTATATTTGGAATAATATTTGTGTTAATACTTTCAGATAAACCAAATCGATTTACAATGAATATCAATTTGAAATTTGTTATTGAGCATTAAAGAAATAATAGTAAAAATTTGTTTTCATTACAGCTCAAAAGATTACATGTTATTGTATGCAATCAATAACTTTGTATTTTATTTATTTAAGATTTAACGACTTGTATGTGAATGTTATATAAATTGTATAGCAATCAGAGTTAACCCCATTATATTTATACATTACCAGTACATCCGTCCATACTTTTATTAGGTTAACTTATTGGTAAATAATCATGGTAGCTTCATGTGGACGCTGGGAACTTGGATTTTACTTTTTATAAACAAACAGAATTGTTTTTCATGCCAAATTAACTTATATTACCATGCCCTGTATGAATTATGAATTATTTTTGAAAAAAAAAAGTCTGATTTTAATAAAGCTTCATACTGTTTTGATTTAGGTGATCACTACTTAGATAGATCCTATAAAATTGTTATTGCCCGCCGATGGAATCGGGAGGGGGGTATTGTTTTGGCGTTGTACTTCGGTTGGTCCATCTGTCCGAATTTCGTTTCCGCGCTAGTTCTCTGCAACTACTGACTGGAATTCAACGAAACTTTATGGGAATCATCAATATCAAGAGGAGATGCACATATCATCGGCTTGTTCCAGTCAGTCTCTTCAACTCAGAGTTATGGCCCTTGAATAGTTATGCATTATGTGTATAGAGCAAAAATTGTTTCCGTGCTACTTCTCTGCAACTCTAACTGGCTGGAATTCAACGAAACTTTATGGGAACCTTCAATACCAAGAGGAGATGCGCATATCGTCGGCTTGTACAGGTCAGACACTTTAACTCAGAGTTATGGCCTTGATAAGTTATGCATTATGTGTAAAGAGCAGAAATCGTTCCACTCTACTTCTAGGAGTTCAACGAAACTTTATGGGAACCATCAATATCAAGAAGAGATGCGCATAATGTCGCCTTGTTCCTGTCAGACACTAGATCAGAGTTATGGCCCTTGATTAGTTATGCAGTATACATATAGAACAATAATGGTTTCCGCGCTACTTCTCTGCAACAACTGGCTTGAATTCAACGAAACTTTATACCAAGAGGAGATGCGCATATCGTCACCTTGTTCCGGTCAGACACTTTAATCAGAGTTATGGCCCTTGATGAGTTATGCAGTATGCATATTGAGCAATAATCGTGTCCGCTCTACTTCTCTGCAACTTCTGGCTGGAATTCAACGAAGCTTTATGGGAATCATGCAAAAAAGCAATTTACATCTCATTGGCATGTTCAGATATAACTATTTAACACAGAGCTCTATTATTGCCCTGAATATTTTTCATGTACAAGGAATATTACTGTTTACACCATGATAAAAATATATAAATAAAGCCTTATGTCTTCAGTTGTTGTGTTAGTAATAACCAGTACTCGGCGGGGGATATAAATTCAACAAATTTGCTTGTTAAATATGATCTAAAATTCAATGGCTTCTAGAGGTCATGACCTAACAGTGTTTTCCTTATATGCACATAGAGAAAACTCTAGTGAACAATAGATGGTTATTATTGTACTCGTGTCATCATATGACACTGTAGAATGTATGACTCCTTACTTAGTCACAATTTTTGTACTATTTTTAGAAAAAATAAATTCTAGATATCTATGCAGATTTTTAGTTGATAATTATAATTTCCTCTTCATCCATGTCCATGTTAGGTCCTTTAGACATTGGAATGTAATGTTTTCATAAGGACTTCAGGTCCGTGACCAAGTGGTTAGGGTCGTGGACCTCATATAGCTTGCCCCTCATTGATGTATTATTTTATATGAGAAAGTAGCCATCCAGCTTACATAGCATCAGTGGTTCTGAGGTGCTCAGTCTTGCCTAAAATAATGCACGGAGGGGCGTCTGATGTCTTCCTCCACTAGTAAAGCTGGAGGTCAAAGTTGCCATGTGATCTTTTAAAAACTTAGTTTGACTAAAACCCCGACTAAGAATATTAAGGAATCACTTGTTCCTTTCTTGTGTGGGTTAAAAATCTGCGATTCTTTCATATGAGGAAGTTTGATGGTTCTCTAGTGTTTGCTGGTACAAATTTGTGGCTGATGTAAATATCGTTGAGGTTTATTAAATTTCACAAAGCATCTCATTACATTGACAAAGAATTCGGATATTTTGAGAGAAGAGCATCATGACAAATTAGATTACTGGAGTTAATTTGGCACATATTGCGATATATCAAGATTCCTTAAACTTGCCGGCGAATGCTTCATCGAAAAACTTTGTCACTCTATGAAGAGCAACGTAGTGGACTTAAAAAACAGTGGTGGCCAAGATACAGGACAACCTTGTGTCTATAATCATTCGGGACCAATATTTATGTGTATGAACAGGCAGCTGGGCACTTTAACATGATAAACGCATGCGAACTGTTTTACAATTATAGAGGTGAGTGCTTTACATTGGCAACCGATACCCCACAATATCACAATTGGCCGTTTTGAAAGTAGCTTTATGCAACGGAGAGGTGTATATCACGTTATTAGAAATGACAATCGTGTGGCAAGTTTGTGTATATGCGCCCCATGGCGCTTTGGAATCTACATCATTGTCGATGCAGAAATTAATTGAAACTTTATTCACTCAGAGTGTAAAATGATGATCGAGTTCCCTTGCAGTCCAGATTGTGATGTTAATGAGTTGTTACTGAATATATCGTATTTGAATGAGATAATGCAAAACTTAGTTTGAGAAGCTGTACGTCACGACTTTGTAGAAACCATATATCACGATCCGCGGAAAATCGAGGAAGTCT